GAACCTATTTTGAGATTTAGTGGATAGAATCCGTATATGCGCATAAACACACCATAAGGCATTGCGATCACCATCATAGCGTCTCTCAGCGTTTGTCGGCGCAGAGAATCCAGTAATTGCGTGACCTACGAAGGATATGTCAGTACCCGACCTAGATACGCAAGGGTCAAAGGTTGCTCACCATACACGATACCAAATGCAGGATAAACAGCACCAGTACCTAGTCGTCTGGCATGTCAGAGTAATAACGAGGGACCCTTGAAGCAACATACACATTGCAAAGAAAGAACCAATTGCATAGCGGTACAGTCCTTCCCGATTAAGAGCTCCCATACGTTTGAACAAGTAGAACAAACTGTATTCGTCTTCGTTGATCTCGGTCTTCGCTTTCTCCTCGCTGTGTTTTTTTACGATATCGCTGGTTACCGAATGATTAGTGTATTTGCGATCGAGGGGAACCTCTTCCTGGATGGCCTTCTCCGTATCTTCTTCGCTACCGGCTGTCGTTGTGCTCTCAACCTTCTGTTCTTCACGCGACTCACGCAGCTTTTGTGCCTGGACGAGGCGTGCGTATGCGCCGTTCTCATCGGCCAATAGCTCATCATGGGTGCCCTGCTCCAGAACGAGGCCGTCTCCCATGACAAAGATCCTATCCGCATCTTTGATCGTTGAGAGTCGGTGAGCGACGGTGATAGTTGTACGCCCAGCGGCAGCCTTGTCCAATGCATCCTGAACAATGCCCTCGGATCGTGTATCAAGCGCACTGGTGGCCTCATCAAGAAGGAGAATGCGGGGATCGGAGACGATGGCACGAGCGATAGCTATACGCTGCTTCTGCCCACCTGATAACAAGAACCCACGTTCGCCGACCAGAGTGTCATATCCTTGCGGTAGCTTGGTAATGAAACCATCAGCATTTGACTTGATACACGCCTCTTGAATGAGTTTGAATTTCTCTTCTTCAGAGGCATTCTCGTATGGGGTGCCGATGAGGCCGTGCAAGACGTTGCCTTTGATTGTTGTCGCAAAGAGTGTAGGTTCCTGGGAAACTAGACCGATCTGAGATCGCAACCACTTTATGTTCAACTCCGGCAAATCAACACCGTCAAGCTTGACGGAGCCACTCGAGGGATCATAGAAACGCTCGATAAGTGAAACGATGGTCGACTTTCCAGAACCAGATGCCCCAACGAGTGCAGCGGTCTTACCAGCAGGGAAATTTATGCTGAGACTTTTGAGGATAGGGACGTCGGGGCGGGAGGGATAACTAAATTTAACATCCTCCAAAGTGATCTCGCCAATGACCTTTTCAGGTTTCAACCCTCCTGGATCAGCAGAGTCTATTGAGGGAGTACGCTCAATCGTAGCATATAGCTTGGCAGCAGCGCCACGTCCGTGGGTGATTGCTAAAATGAAACATGAGAAGGCGCAAAATACATAAAAGGAAACAAAACTCACCTTGCATCTCGGGTGCAAGAAGGGCCAAAGAGAACGAACCAATTAAGATAGCAAAGAAGACATTTACGACTTGGCCGGCGTTGGCTATATTTACAATATTAAAGATTCTTCTGTTACTCCAAGAATATGAGGACTTACCGAGCCCTTCATTAATGAGGGTAGTGCCAAAGTCGAAAGCGAGAGCATATGCGCTATAAATGACAAAGAAAAAGGAGGCCAGTCCTCCACCTTGCCAAATAGCACCCTTGGAGTTAGCAATGCGGGAACCATCGATGTGCTTATCATACAAAGATGATAGGAATTTCTGAGCTCCGAAAGCTTGCGCAGTTCTGACAGTGGCAATGACCTCCTCAGCAAGAGTTCCTCCCTCGGCGACATGGTTGAGAGACATTCTGTATTGAATCACATCAAGGGACCTTTGTTCGCCAGAGAAGAAACACTTACTGCATATACTTAGAGACAAATCTGTTCATGACAGCTCCGGTTATGGCGATGCATGGAAAAATCGACGTCAATGCCAATGCAAGGCGCCACGATCGAATATATGCGAGAACGAAACCGGTAACAAATGCGGCAAGGAAGCTCACGACGATAGCGACTTTTTCGGATATGCCTTGTTGTACCAAATCTATTTGTTATACGTCAACAAGGTAGAAAAAAAATCATGGGCTCATAACTCACGAGTATCAGTTTGGATGCGAGTGGCAACTTCTCCGGCTCCGACATCATCGAAGTAAGCAATTTCCTGACGGAGGACCGCCTGAAGATACCGTTCTCGCACTCTTTTCGCATTAACCTCGCCGGTATAAGTCCAAACAGTCATGTACACATATGTGCACACGAACATGCCGATGCCTGTATACATAGTTAATAGCAGTTTAATCTGAAGAGAACGAATTCACCAATGTATGTCAGATACGAGGCATCTAGTGCAGAACTCTTACGAAATCCTGCTGCAGCGGCGTCCATAATCTGTTGAGCTTGTGCAATGACAGCGGGATCGCCGCTCTGTAACGACGCGGTATAATTGTTCTCCGCCAAACTAAAATTGACAAAATCTTGGGTTAAATTACCGAATAGTAGACTCATGAGAGGCTGATAGACGATACGTAAATAGTGACATGATTTGAAATTGACGAGATTCACCTGAGCCGCACCAGCAGCAATTGCACAGACGACACCAATAATGTCAATTGTAATCTCGAATGAAGTAGAGAACCTGTTGATAGATCAGGTTGAGAGATAAGTTGAATGTAAAAGGACACACCGGAACAGCGAAAAAAAAGAGACAGGCTGAATGGTTTGCACTGGCTTAGCATCCACAACAGCATCGTCGTCATTTGGATCCTTTTTCTCGACCGCAATGGACGCATTATTATTCCCGGAGAAGAAATCGCGCTTCGACGATATTTGAGTGTCTTGAGAAGCAGGCCGTTTTTCGCCAGGCGTAGAGAAGTGATTGTCTGACATGATCTTGAGGAGACAACAGGAAGCGCTTAATGGTCTACTAGGGAAGGACCTAGTTGCACGGACCTGCTAAATTAGAGGGACCAGAGACCCTAGGTATAGTAGTACTCGGTTCGGAGTGGTGTGGCATTGTACTGTCTCGCGTTTCCAGATATATACCGTTTTACTGGCCCGGTTCACGTTAACATGGTTAGTCATCCAGTCGCGACTGACGGGCCTTGCTTCCGCGTCATATAGGGGACCTAGGGCTGCCGACACTAACACCCACGAGGTCTATTACTGTTTCCTTCCACGGTTCGTAACGCCCCTCTGCCTGCGCATTTCGAGTTATGGTAGTGCGAATACTTGTGTTATGCAGGTATGAATGCTAGCACTCCTCGGATGACTGTTCATTCCATGATTCATTTGGGTACCGGCCCCAAGATTCAATTTCAAATCAATACAAAGCTTATGTTATCCCGTCGGATTGTATCCCCTTTCCCACCCATGTCCAGAAATAATATTAGCCCTCGCGATAGGCACATCCCGCTGTCTGCGCAGCTGGTCACTTTTTTTACAGACTCCAACATCTAGCCTGAGTACCCTTAAGACTCGAGGATCGCTATGAAATATGACTCGGCATACTCATTCAATCGGAGGTTAGCGTTAATGTTGACCAGTCGACCGATAATGATCATGCATGCAATCAGACACTTGATGCATCACGACTCGGAGGCTTCTCAGGGCTTTTCATGCGTAAGTAACGTCGGTTGCTGTTGATTACCCGTACAACTGATATTGGTAACTGGGCAGCGGCAAACCCATCTCGGCTTGAAGATCTGATATTGTAAATTTGGCGTTCTCGAGGACCAATGATATATCTTCCCTCGTGCTGGATCTTATGTTAACGTTATCATGTCAGGATCGCTTTCAGATGAGTCACTTATCTTGGGCCATGAGAGCATACCGATTGCTGGTGTCAAAAGGTATTTCTTCGTTTGGTATTATCGTGGATGTTTATTCAGGTATGTACTTTGTTTGGTTTCTTCTCTTTATGCTAACCAGTTCTCATCTTCGCCGTTCAGCAAATCGATGGGTCGCTTGTGGACACTTTTCAGCATCGAAGGAATTCGCCGCCCATCTCCGCTGTTAAAGACCGGTATCTATTCTAAAGCAGTGGGCTTTTGAAATACACTCATTATTTTTAAGTTCATACAGCATTAACTCATGTTGACCTACAGATGGAAAATTTGACCGAGTCACTCGGCCACTGAGTGGCGCCACTCACAGCTATGTACAGTCCCCAGAAGCAGAAGGAATTAAACCGCTTTTAGTATATTTCCGGCCACCAAGCATTGTCCGACTTCGCTCAGCTTACAAGTTGTGATAACGCATCGTAGCCCCATAACATCACTTGCCACGCCCCAGTTCGCGAAGCGAACTCCGTTTTTTTTTTGAAATTTGCGGACATACAAGCAAGCTTCGGACCCGCCTGCATTGACCTCATTAATATAATTTCCGGCACCTATTGGTTTTCCTACCCCATTGCCAACCGGAACTAACCCACAAAACAACATTGCATCCTGCTTTAGAAATTACTTAGGAGACACTGCGAAGGGTTGCCTTATTTAGTTTCATCGTTGTTCAGAAATTAGCCTCAATTTCATCTGGAGTCAAAGTCCATGTTAATTTCCAAGCAACGGATAATCGTACTACCTTGTACTACTTTTGCCAAAGGACCAGGTTATGGTTGACCAGTATTCAAATCTCAAAAGTACCGGTGGAGTTTCATCCTCTCTCCATGGGCTGATCCAGCCACAACATGAGTCCACCACCACCACTGTATGGAAAGCAGGAAACAGGGACGGGGATATCCTCGGGTTGTTCCCGGCCACTCCGAAAACACGTTCCAAACTGCCCCCAAAAGTGAGAGGTGGCGAAGACTTGCAGTTGCAGCACATAGGTCCGAATCGCCGCATCAGACACTTCCCTGCCTCCTTGCATTTGTGTTATTGGTCACGTAAAATTTTAATGCTATGTAAGCTTGTGTAAGTGCTCGGCATTCTGCACTATCTGAGACCTCGCACCAACGATGGTTAGGTCTTGCTGTAAGTGACCTTCCGTTGGAAGGGATCTAGTTTTTCAATTTTTAGTCCCGTCGACATGCGTTGGGTTTTCCAACGGGATGGACTCGGAGGCACAGCAATGGAGGCACAGCAATCACCATTGGGGGAATACTTGCCCGCTTTCTCGGCGTCGAAGAAAAGCTGAGGGCTTGTTAAATTTCCCACTGGGAGTCTATCTGCCGAAGTCTTGCGCGTGCTCATCCCTATTGGCTAAAGAGGTCTCTGGAGAAATTGACAGTCTCCTATTCATAGGGGAATGCGATTGATCAATGATCCCATAACTTTTGAAGTGTGAGCCTCAGGAGCCAATCGGAAGTCGCACATACATATTAATCACATTTGAGACTTTGATGTGAGACATCATCAGCTTCACCATTCGTGGGTTCCGGAGGCGTCGGTGTGACTCGATAAGCATAGACTCGTAAGTAGTACTAGCGCCGCTGTGCTTATCGATACTGTGCAAGGCGGCGTTGTAATATTTTGGGGGTTCAGGCTGATTTAAGTTGGCTTGCGATGCTGGCCAGTCCTGCAAAATAAGGAAGACGACGGTTCGTTCTAATAAAAAGTTCGTGAGGACTCTGCGCGGATAAAAATAATTAGCAATAACGCTACTTAAAATCCCCCGTCGACTCCAGGAAGCCTTCTGAATTGACATCATAATCATTTGCCATGTGCTACAGTCGTTGACCAGTACTCACTGATGATCCAAGACATCGTGGAGGAGGTGTTGGTGTCTTTCGGAAATTTCCGGCCAGTGTGCCGTCTTACATCATCTCCCGCCGTCGTGCCCGCCTCTCGTCAGCCAGCGAGCACATCAGCGACGATAGCCAACACTCAAGACGTGGGTCTGTTCCTACCATCTAGTATTCCGAGTCCACCGACAACAACTGAACCGTGTCCACCACTTGACCAGCCAACGGATGTTGGCGCCCTCTATGACGCCTTACAAACACACCACGAGCTTGCACAGATGCTCGCGGTCGCTTCTCAACCTTATCGCTTCATTCGTCGTACACACTTATTCAAGGACGACATCTGCTTGCTGCAGCCTCGCACAGTGCCTTTGAGCATCGCTCCTGACTTGCTATCACCAGTCATCATTATTCATAACATTTCTCGCTCAGTCGTTCGCTATATCATCCGAAGCAGTGCATTATGATCTATGGGCTGTCTTTCAACATCTTTCCTGGACATTGCCTGCGAGGAGATGCGCTCCGTTCTCTGGGCCTAGTTCGACGTTCCCGCTGCGGCTAAATGAGACTGCTTGCCAATGCAAGCATATCGGGCATACACAACGGATCTCTCGGGATCGTTGGCACCGCTGGCTTCGAAGTTCGAAAGCAGCATTCATCCTCTCGCTTGATTCAATGTGGACGTAGAATGCCAGAAAAGTAGAAAGTATTGATTCGGGGGAAACAGTAGAAGCCAGAAAGCGGAAGATGCAAAGACGAAGCTTTAGTCCAGAGACCTACCAGTGCCTCATAACTCAGGCACTAATTCAAACTGCAACGAAACAAAGCGACTCGACTGCCGTTATATATATCTATTTACATTTATGCAATATATAAGCACGAGATGCCGCCGGCATCGGGTGTGATTGCGTCCTTGCAATGTCTACCCGGAGGATGGAACCTCTCGGAAAAATAGGATTGGTCGGAAACGCGCGTGTGCGCGTCGTCGCACTGCATTAATATTGTTGTTTCCTCAAAGTCCAACTTCTCAATACATTCGAAAGCCACTGCATCCTCCGCATTGCATACAAACCATTCGTTATGGACAGTGAATCGAAAACAGTTCCTCTGCGACCCACATGCAATTGCATGTAATGGATGTCGTACTCGACCTCCGGACTGATCTCTTCGCTCATGATAGATTGTGCACAGCGTTGTCGAGAGTGACAGCGCGAAAAGACGGTGTCTATTTGCAGACGATGCTAATATAGCTATTTCCTGGGTTGTTATACGATCGATGGACATGTATCATGCATCAGCGAGGTCCGGGAGTAGCGAGGTCTGGGAGTCGCAGAAGGCCAGTTTTGCGCCAACCAGCCGCGTGCCTTTCTGCTTGCCTGTAGCCCCAGGGTGAGGGTCAGGCGGGTCTTCCTCGACGTCAAAGGTCACTCCTGGCCTCGGTCGATTTTTCTTCCTCTTCTGCTCAACCTCTTGTCAATCCCACCACTGACTGGCTGCCACCACAGAATCGCGCGAAGGCGGCGGCATCATAGGCGGAAGAGGCTGAACTTGATTGACGGTAGAGTGAGCCGGGAGTGTGAACCATGATGAGACTCGACATCCGACAACAAGAAAATCATATGTACCGTTGTGTTTCCACCACATACGCGCGTCGAGAGATGATCCAGACGTAGTGCGATTTCTCTTGCTAGTCAGGAAACTAAATGAGGAGAACGCATTGGACGGACGCTGCTTGCGGTCACGAGGAGGATGCGTAGATGAAGTGGTAATCTCAGGGGCTCTGTCCTTTGATGCCTTCGGTTGAACCGACGCTGATGAGGGCAGAACAGTAGTAGTCTGAGCAGGAGGTGCGGGATCCACTGCCTTATCCTTTAATTACTTAGGCGAAGAAGACGACTTAGAGTGTTGCATGGATGGTGCTGCAATCGCCGGAGACTTGTGCTGCATCATAGATAGCTTTAGAGATCGAGCAACAGGACTCTCGAGAGGCTTAGAAGAGCCAGACCCCGACATGGTGCTAAATAACCCTCCAAGGAAACCACCCGGCTTCTTCTTCGACTCCTTAGATGCTGTTGACACCTGCCTCTGCCTCATCGGGGGCGCAGTTACTTGGTGTAGTGAGGCGAAATTCGTCTGCAATGTTTACGACGTCTTAGATATTGAAGGTGCAATAGAGGAAGGCGTCATCAGCTTCTCGAATTCATGGAAGAAATTACGACTCATAGCTGGTGGCAGGTGAGATCGAGACGGAGCAGGCGTAGATGGATGTCCTGAGACTGCAACACGGGCAGCCCACGAAGGTTCAGCTGTCTTTGAGGACGAAACAAAACGTTTCCTTGCGGTGAACTGGGGAAAAACTGTGTTGACGTAGTGACTAGGGGCTGGGGGTTTTTACGAGGGGAAGGAGGACGTGCGTTGACATTAGATGTGGAAACGGGCTGTGGAGTGGGCAATGATACAGTTCGATGATAGGATACGTCGAATGCGAGGGTTTTGGTTGCTGGTTGGCGCTCGCTGGGTAGCGTGACGGTGAGATGCAGTAAGGTAAAAGTCAGCAACGCCGAACCCCTGAGTGTTCAACGTCCTTGAGGACAAATGCGGCACAAAACGACAGCAATAACCAGCGTAGAGAAGCGGCAGCCCCAACGAAGAAAAAACGGCACTGAAGACATAGGAACATTGACTTTATAAGGAATAACCGATGCTGAACAAAGCTGGTGGGGGGATAAAAAGATTTGAAAACGTGAGAGGGTGTCGGCCCGTTGGCTTACCTGAATTCCCATAATCAGCATAAGTGCTGCCCGCGATAATGAAGCCTGAGCTTTCATTATCACTGCCTTTTGGCGTAACTATAAAAGGACGGTAGTCTTAACAACTTACATATAATGAACACGGGGCCCGGGGCATACCCCAACCACAAGAATGACAGAAAACCCGATCATCAAAACAAAACTCCTCTGGCGCCTCGGGGAAGAGATACGATGAATGGATGTTTCCCCTTTACCTATCATCCTGAGAGTGAGTCACGATGGGTCAGGGATAGGTCTATGTATGTAGATGGCGTTACCACTGACACTCACTGTCCGAACCCATGTCAGAAAACACTACCTCCTTTAGGCGCAACTTCATCAATATCTTCGTCTATCTGCTCCCACAGCGCCGCCTTTTCCTTCGGCTCGAGTATCAAAATATCCCATCACTTAGGCAATTGCAAACGTAAAACTCTCCCTTGCAAGAAAGCATGTAATCTTGGGAATTGGGATGTCGCAAAATGTCCTCAATGGTGTCAGGGTCCGGCTCGTTGATGTAGTCCGAGAGGATTTGTTTGATCGCAGGACCATAAAGCTTGTCGGTCCAGCCTCCTCTGGGAACCGTGAGTGCCTCCTGCATTCAATAAGTCGGAAATTTATTCACAACATCTGCAAAGTCTTACCCCAGGGCGAGAATCTCCCTATAGAGGGCAAGGAAGGTCAGCGACGAAATGAGTTACACGCCCTAACCTGGTTGAGTGTGGAGTTCATGGAATCTTTCGGCTTGCCAGTTGGGTCCGTGGGTGCAAGTTCCGTTCGTGGAAGTCAGTTCAGGGTAAATTTCGTCGTGCGATGGTGCAAAGTCCTACCTCGGAAGTAGAATCTCCCTATTGAGGCGATGGAGGTCAGTGACGGAATATTGACGTACAATAGTAGTATTGCTTGAGGTGTTAACGGCAGTTCACGGAACAAATCCAGCTCACCACCAGGAGGTCAGCTGCAGCAATATAATATCATCTACAATGAATTCTTCGAGCTTAGCTGCGGCTTGGCTTTCGTTGAACTTAACACCCCCGTTAAGTTGTTCCTCCAACCGAGCGAAGTAAAGGGTGTTGTTAGCCCCAAGGGTTGTAGTGGGCTGCCTCAAAGAAGGGATGAAAGACTGATAAGACAGATTTCAACATCAGGGCACAGGAATATCTTGTGCTGGGCTTGAGCGTCATTCATAAAAAGTACTGCCTCCGTTGGGGGTCACAGCAACATACAGCAACATATGCGAAGAATGTTCCTCGGGATACTAAATCAGCGTGATAGTGGGATTATGGCATCTTCTCACCGGCTGAACCACTAAATACATAATGCGCAATTCAGAATCGGCTCAGACCAAATGAAAACACTATGAGTCCTGGAGGGATGTATTAATATCAGTGATTCATTGGGGACTATTTCTTCGTTCTCTCTCTGACCCATCCAGACATCAAAGTCTCTCATGCAACTTCAGGATAATCTTGCATCATGCGCCTGAGTTCTGTTTCCGGAATCCTCTTCTCAAACTCAAATTCGCACGGCCGGATATCTGGCATCGACTCGCCCATAAACCCCATGTCCTCTAATGGCTTCGTAGGATCCAGAGTGAGCTTGAAGGCCCAAAGAACAAGAAGAGCAGTTATGAATACCGATCTGTACCAAAAGAGATAACCGTAACAACCGAAGTGAGTTTGGAAGACCACGCGCGTGCAAAATACCTTTACCTGCTCGCGACATGTTGGCCAGGGCATACGCTGAAAGGAATGTCATTTCCAAAAAAAAACGAATATTTGAAAGACGGTGCTGACCGACGACCAAACCCGAAGACAAACAATTTTATATCGTCTCTCAGGCTACTTTGGCCATCAATCCAGCGCTGAGGTTTGAACGCGTCAGGTTCCGGGAAGACATCTGGATCTCGACAGATGGACCTAAGGCAGTGGCCATTAGATCCTTGGCATCTTGAAGCACAATGCTCACCAAACGTTGCCGTATACCGTGGTCCCAGCTGGAATACAATAGGTTTTCTGATGGGCAAAATCATCATTCGCGCGATAAGTCGTTCAAAGATCACTTTCCCAAATCACGTCTTTAATTGTTTGGTGAGCCAATCCTGCAGTGTGAATATTGTGACACCTGGGTACAAAACAAAAGCGAAAACGCCCACCATCGGGAACCAGAGGTCTCCATCTCAAAGCCTCAGAGATGAATGCTTGCAGGCGAGGAAGGGATTTTTGGTCGGCGAAAGTCGGTGCTTTAGTGAAGAACTTATTGAAACCATAGCGCTGCGATAGGGAATCAAGCTACCTCGGTGCCATCCGATGACCGCGTCGAGCTCGGCCTGAACTTTAGCTTGCTCCTCAGGGAAACATGCGGCTGCCATGAGCACCGTGCACATGGTGTTAGAGGTCTTTTGCTTGTTTTCAGCCACATGTCTTTGAAGGCAAGGTAACACCCTACCGTTTGTGATCCAGCTTTCAGAAAGCTACCAGCAAGAAAGGCTATCTCAGTCTCTGTGAAACCGTAGATATGGCTATTTTCTAGCATATATTTCGTGAACGAAGGACCGATGTCCTCGTTATTATGCTGTGCAACGACTCAGTCACGAAGTAAAGATTGAAAGAGAAATATATACCATCTGCTCTTTCACGCGGTTCACTTCACTGGTGTGAAGTTTCTTGCTCCTTTCAAATCTCAGCTTCAAGTCCCGGCCATACCAAGGAAGATATTTGAGCCATGGGATTGAATCCACCAGGTAAGCGTCATGGCGTTGAACTGCACGACTCGTCTTAATGAGTTGATTAACTTCAACGATTTCGGGATCAGTCGCAGACGTGGGTGTTCTTCCCGTACGCAACTTTCATAATTGTCGTTGCAGCATAACTTTAAAGCACCCGTAAGCACAGTACTACTGATAATATCATGACCAACAACCCTTACGTTACCACATGGCGCTGGAAGTTATATGGATCATCGAGAATGCCAACAACTATGTTTTTCGCGTGCGACATTTGCAGGGGCTGATAGGCCTTAGCTGCTTTGGACCGGAGATAAGAATGAAGTGTTCTGCAAGACGTTGAAAAGTAGGATAGATGAGGGGAAGTATCGTGGACTACTAACCTACGCATCCGATATAACCTGTTTCCAGAGGGTGCATTTGCGAAGCCCATTCCGCCGCTAGATATCCCCGCAGAAATCATGGGAGGACGACCGGCTACCAATTTGCCCTGACATTCCATAATATCCACAGCAGCCTGCAAAAGAACGTTGTTGAGTATGGATATGACAACGCAGCGTGGAGACAGACTTTGTAACGCCCGATGTAAACAATCTTCTCAAATCTTGATCGAATAGTGATCACAGGACCGTACTCGTTAATCCATCCCGCCACGATAAGAAATGGTCTTGTGATATGACACACTTAGCATTCAAAAGTTAAGGATTCGAATGCGAATTCTTACTTGCGACGTGGAAGGAAGTGCCCCCCAAATCTCCAAGTGGGAGGGGAAGGCGGGAGAGGAAGGTTGCTTGCCGATTTAAAACGGTAGGCCCGAGCAAATAATCTTATAACACCAAGACAAGCCACAGCACTGAGGAGGAGCCGCGTCGTCAGATATGCGCAGGTCAGGAAGTTGTAGTGGGATGAGCGCAAAGAAGGATTGGAGGGAACTCATCATAAGTCACAGCGCATCCACACAACTCACCTCAGGCTACACCCGGATATGAAGTAATGCTCGCATGCGAGGCCACGGCCTTCATATAGCCTCATATAACCAAGAGAAGTTGTTGAGCTCTAGAGATCCGGGGAGCCGCACGGCCCGCACCTACGATAATTATGCTGACGGACACCTGTATAAGGAATTGTAAATGATTCATTTAGCCAGCATACTTCATCCTATCGATGCCATGTCTTCGCAACCCAAAGTCTCCCAAACACTTGAGTGTAAGTAGGAGCATTTTCTGAGGATAATTCATCCGGTAGAGCGTTCTGTGACCTAAAGTATTTTCCTTCACAGCATTGGTAGTAGCAAATTTATATCACGTCCTTACCACCCGATGTGAACGTATTCTGTCCAGACGCATTACCCGTGACGACGCCTGGGTGGGCGGGGCCAGCCTCTCAGCTACTAGTGTACTGTGGAGACATGACCTTAGCTTCGCCACACGTCACAACGACACATGAATAGAACATAAACTTGCCTACAGCGCGGTTGTGCCCCAAAAAACTCAGCAAGAGAGATCGGGGAACAGTGACTGCATCTAGACGCCGTCCCCCGATCGCTTTCGCGAGGACGTGAGCACACTTGCAGAGCTTGATTCCGCGGAAGTAATACGCGTCGGGTCACCAAATCCTCTGCGGACCCTCTTCAGTTGCTTCCATGTATGACCAACAGATAAATTTAAACTCACCTGCGGCCCAAACACCACTATCATACTCGAAAAATCCAGCGAAAAAGATCGGGAAACAGGCATTTCGGCCCAATGTCTAAGCGTTTGTTTTCCCATCTTGTTCACGGAGGCGGGAGCGCACTTACAGAGTTTGATCAATTCGCGTCGAGTCGATTATTTTAAAAAAACCATTCTGCGAATTCTCTTCAGCTTCATCCATGTAAATATCATAGACTCCAACCCGAACTCCGCGCGGTCTTCCCAAAAAAAACAAATCTGGCGGAGAAGATCGGGAGAACAAGTGAAAATGAAATCTATATTAGTAAGAAAGGAAGCGGCTCATCTAGTACACGCAAACTTTAACAAAGTACACGAGTGTTCAATGCAACGGTTGAACGTTGAGTACTAGTACTGAAACCTTTTGAGTCTGACCTCTCCTATGGTATCATTCTCCACAAATAATTGGATACCTGGATCAATTTGGACCCTGTCCAACAAGTTCTCCGCCAAAAATAATTGCATGTGGTTTGCAGGGTGTCTTGCTTAGTACTAATAACACTGACTGGCCCACTACGCGAGTTTTGATCGAAATTGAGACCATCTAGATGAACATTGACAACACTTCGAACGGAGAGCTCGATATTATGATAGCCAGGAGCATTTTCTAGATCCCATTCTACGCAGATTCCGAATGAAAATACCTTGAAGTTTGTAACGCTGGAAATCAGAGTGAGCTGTTTCCTATTCAGGCACTTCTATGTATAAGCTGTAACCGCTTCACCGCGACGGCCTGAGTGTTAACACAGACCATCAACTTGTTTTGTCAACTGCCCCCACATCGATCCTGTGCAATCCTCTCGCGTCGCCTTAACTACATACCATTTTGTTCCTTTGAACATTAATATTAGCTGGACGCCATGTTAAAAGGATTCGGGAAATTGACTAAAAAAGCTTCAACAGCCACCTTGTCTGCTGGATCCCCCGACGAGCCTCCACGGTCGACCACTCCGACACCGAGCAATCCTGGGGGGAAACCCACTTCACGGACTGGTCTTCTCAGCATACGCGTTTTATGGGCTGAAGGCCTTGCCCTTCCTGTAGGCGCCACGGTCCCTTCTGCTGTGCAAGCCGCGCTGTCCACGCAACAGGCCAAGGTTGCCGCGTCTGTATCTCCCTCGAGCGTAACGCAGAGGCGGCTCGCGAAGCGCCATGGCGCCAAAGACAGTATCCAGCGCACACAATGCTGGTGGCTACCCTACCTGGTAATGGAGTTCGAAGTCAATCAAGTCCTAATTACCCCATTGGGTGGTGATCTGGAGAAACCACTGTACATGTACCAGGCGCAGTTGTGAGTGTCCATTCTACATCACGTACAACTCATCCTGAATTCGCTGTCAGTGACGTGTCGCGCCACTCAGAAATTTCAATACAGTGCTACTTGCGAACAGAACAGCCCAAAGTCGGCAGTGATGGTTTAGCGGATGATATGGGCAATGATATTTTCATGGGCGGAATCAAGTTCACGCCAGACTTCGATAATATTGGCGCTGTGGGCCAAGACCAGTGGCACGATGTGACAGGTGGCAAAGGAAAAATTCAGATTGGTGTGGCATACCAGCCCAGCTCTGTTGGTGATTTCATGTTTCGAGTTTTGAGCGACTAACGAAGTTGACAGGGTCAATCTCTGACTATCGATGAATTTGAGCTCATCACTGTCATTGGCAAAGGCAGCTTTGGGAAGGTAGGCTGAGTATTGATGCGCTAATAGTTGTACTTACGTTCCTTACAGGTCATGCAGGTTAGGAAACGCGACACCATGCGGATATATGCCCTCAAGACCATCCGCAAAGCTCATATAGTCGATCGAAAGGAAATCACACACACATTGGCAGAACGGCTCGTGCTGGCGCGTGTCAACAACCCTTTCATCGTGCCCCTGAAGTTCAGTTTCCAATCCGAGCAGAAACTGTACTTGGTACTCGCGTAAGGCCACTTCAATGTTCGCCTCTCGAAGTTACTCATGAATGCACCCTTTAGCTTTGTCAATGGGGGAGAACTTTTCCATCACTTGCAACGCGAACAACGGTTTAACGAGGAACGATCGCGATTTTACAGTGCTGAGTTGCTATTAGCTCTGGAACATTTACATGAACTCGACGTCGTCTACCGGTAGGCGGACTGTCTCCCTCTTTTTATGTTGTGCTCATTGAAGTCCAGCGATCTGAAGCCAGAAAACATTCTTCTGGATTATACTGGACACATTGCATTGTGTGACTTCGGGTTATGTAAGCTCAATATGAAGGACTCAGACACGACGAACACGTTCTGTGGCACACCTGAATATCTTGCACCGGAGATCTTGAATGGTCAAGGATATAGTCAGTTCCACACCGTCGCCTGTCGTATGATTTCCTGATCATCTATTTTAGACAAGTCAATTGATTGGTGGACTCTTGGTGTACTTCTGTACGAGATGCTCTCCGGTCTTCCACCCTTCTATGATGGTTTGTCCTATTACTGTATTTGTGTCTCTGCCATGAACCATCCACTTCAGAGGTCACGGACAAGATGTACCAGAAGATTCTCTCTGATCCGCTCACCTTTGGCCCCGACATTGGCACAGAAGCCCGAAGCATCCTGACTAGTCTTCTCAACAGAGACCCATCGAAACGGCTTGGAGTGAACGGCGCTGAGGAGATCAAGAAGCACCCATTCTTCGTAAACCACATAGACTTCAAGAAGCTTCTGCAGAAAAAGATCCAGCCGCCGTTTAAACCAAGTGTCTCAAGTCCCGTGGTAAGTGCATGTCTCCCCGGGAGTACGTGTTTGTTGAGCGTGTCGATGTTCAGGATGTTTCCAACTTCGACACTGTCTTTACGGCCGAGGCGCCTATCGACAGCTATGTTGATGGCTCCCACCTCTCATCCACCGTCCAAGCTCAGTTTGCTGGTGTGTCCATTACGATGTCCTTGTAGATATCAGAAATTTGACTCACCCTGTCTGCCATAGGATTCTCGTATAATGGTTCCAACATGCCTATCAGTTGATAGGTCATCTCAAATCTCATTTAGTGGATATAGCACTGGTATCATGTATTTGTTGTCGCATTGCACGTACATTCTGTAATAACTGCTCAATCAGCGTATTTTTGATATTGGTTAAACAGTTCTGGTCATAGTTTTCAAGGTGATCAGATTGGGTGGATGATGACAGGGGTAATTATTTCCAGATAGCACACAGTCACTTAGTCAGACAGCCAATCACCAGTCTGAAGTGCTTACGACCATCAGTATGGCCACTGTCGCTCATTACATTCGTTCAGACTATGATCCTGCTGATAGAGAGCAGCTAGAGAAGGACACAGGCCAAATTCCAATAGACGAAGCAGAACAATGGAACACAGCCCCGACTTTCTCTGCTGCTCGCCACGCCCCACCTCCATCCTTTGTTCCCGCGCGCATTCAATATGACGAGTGGGGTTCTGCTGTCTCGCTTACCCATGAAGTATCTGCGAATGCCTCTGCTCCAGATAGTGGAACCTCTGAGTGGTACAGAGCTTTGACAAGAGATAACTCAAAGACGTTGGGGAACCAACCACCAGCCAGATCGTCAAGTACACCCAGTGAGGATCCCAAGCCAAAGAAGGAGACTACCACCAAGAACAATTGGTTCATTAAAAGAGCGCTCCAGTCTGAACCATCAAGCAAACCCAGTTCTCCCGCACCGTCATTGGCAGACCTCATTGCACGAGATCCACCACCACTACCATCGGAGGGACGTTTTGTTCCTCCAGTCTGGTTGGCAATAGGGCCATCCAACAAAGGCTTCAATCTACTACAGAAAGGTGGTTGGAATGAAGGAGAAGGGCTTGGTGCACACGTCACTCGATCTCTGCGCCCCCGATCGCCAACACACACATCATCTGTATCACTCTCGCATGCACCCTTGCAGGGGGCAAGTATACCGGTCGGCAACGAGAAATCTCGAGACATACCGTCCGACGTCATTGACCTCACCCAATCTGAGTCAGAGTCAGAAGATGACTTTGAATCTTTCCACCAATCTTCTTCCCTTCCGCTTGCTCCAGCGTCTGGTGCATCTAAAGACCCTGATCCGTACTCCCAGAAGTCGCTGTTGACGCCTATTCCAACGATACTCAAGTCTGACCGCCTTGGGATTGGCTTGAAGGCGAAAACGGAGGGTCCATACAAGCAGTCTAAGAAGCGGGTTACTCATAACCAAGCGGCATTGGCATCCCACATCAGGATCTCTGAGGAGCTGCGAAGAAAGAGAGCCGAGGTCGGTCGAGGTCGAAGAGGATTTGCGAAGGTACGAAAGCGCGAAGAGAACGAAAGGAAACGCATGCTCGCCTATCTTAATGAATAGTTTTGACCTCGGATTAACTCAAGAGATCAAGTGAATTGCATGAAAACCACAAACTACACAGGAGCAATATTTTAATAAGTGACAGCCTTTCGTTACATACATAATGTCGTGACGTGCAGACACTGTCGTGCGGGTAAGTACAATATACAAGCAGTACAGGAAATCCATATAGCACGCATCAATTCAAGTATTTGCAGTCTAGGTGTGTATATTCGTGAGAAATATTAATCGGGAGCTGCTCGGCACTAGGGTAGGATAGACTCTCCCCATATCCCTTTTGCTGGCTCACAGCGAACATCGCGGACGTACATCTTGAGCCACTGCACCATCTCTTTGCTGATCTGATGACAGCGTGTAACATCGATCGACGACAAGCGACAAGGCTGCATTGTGGGCGTCGCAGGACGGCTAAGGGACAAGGCGTGGATATGAGCAGAGGCAGACGCGGTGGATACGAAGGATGAGCGCGAGGCCACTGCAGCCGAAGCAGAAGAGAGTTGAGGTGGGCGACCGGAGAGGCGAGATTCCACAAGTCCTCGTAAAGCATCCCATTCGAGTGCAGTGCACCCGTCAAGGTTGAGACGGTCTAACTTGGGGCATACCCAAGGATGGGCCACAGGCGGCGAGGAAAGATTCTAATGAGAAATAATTGGAATATGCGCTAATGACACGGTTACGTGGGTGCTCACCTTCAACAGGAAGCATGTGACATCCTCTACGTCGACCAACTCCAGAGTAACCAATGATGTAAGCCGCCGAAGTAACATTATAAACTTCGGTTCGTTCAAGAAACTTGACTCAATACGAAGGTACTTGAGCGAAGGGAAGTAAGAGATTGCTGTCGAAGGTGCTCCAAAACTGGTGTGAGGTTGTCGAGATAGCAGAAGTCGAGCGACTCAAGCGCAGGGAACGATATTTGACTAAGAAGCATCCGTGTACGCATGATGCCTGCGTAATAGAACGATGCCTTTGTAAGCTTCGGGAGTTTCACGACCTTTGTAGACATAAACTCATGTTCGAGAGAAACACAAGTCTCGGGATCCACGTCTGACATGTTGCGCAATGCAAGTTCTTCGAGACCTGGACAGCCTCGTAGGATGTCTAGCAAGGTGTCGACGGACGGTGAAGACCCATTCCAGTAGCCCCCTAGTTGGAGCACACGCAGGTTTGATACGACTCTCCTGTCCCAGTTGAAGTTAAAGGACGTGAAAGAGCACGAACGAAGACGAGGAGTATGCCCCTTAAAAAGCGGAAGGCAGGGGCTGGAGTAATGGTCTTCCTGCATAGAATGGAATACGCGGATACAAAGACTTTCCAGATAGGGAGCTTCTTCTCTACAGCGCAGAAGGGCAGCATGTGCCTGTGGTTTGTTGGGAACACTGAGGCGAAAGGACCTTGCTCGCCAAAGCGCAGGACGAATGAGATCCATTGCATGGATGATACTCTCCATGGCGCCGCTCGAATTGTCAACTCGAGGAGTGAAGTTGATTGTGATATCGAGAGGCACCGACTTTGAACGTGCGAGCTTGCGATGCGCTTTCTCAAGGGAGTCGTGCGGACTCACGCAGATATCCGCCCACAGCTCTGGGGTGTCGATGGCGACATCCCTCCAATATCGGCAAACCAACATTAAGGTCGCTACTAATAGGGGGTCCTCCTCTCCCATATTACACACTCCTGCAACGAATATCGACGAAAGGAGTTCTTCTGGAATTCGATGGATAGGAGATTGGGATCGAACAACTTGTTCCAGGTGCGACTCTAGCTCCTGGCGCTGATTGAGCAAGGATGCCATCTGTGTATCCAGGGAGTCTAGTGCCTCCCTCAAATGAGGAATGGACACACCCGGAGTCGAACTTCCTCCTGAGAGCGAGTGGTCGACATTGTATCGTGTAATGGATAGTGCAGAACTTTCACGACGACGAGGCGGTCTGCCGTTGGCGGACGGCGTTGGGATAAAACCTGGAATGCATTGCGAAACTGGTTGAGATAGGAAATGAATTGCTTCATAAGGTGGAGGAGGAGACGTTGGCGATGAGGACGTCGAGGACGATACGCTAGATGGCCGGAGTGAGAAAGGTGGCAGTTACATCGGGTAACTTTGAACCACGACGATCAGCGATGATAGTGGTATCGTCCCTAACTGAGCGAGATAAAGATGGCCACTGCATCATATAGTATGATGGCTACAGGTGATCGATGGGTATGTGGTTGTCACTGAGCTCTTTATGAGTGCTGAACAACCGCACGTAAAAAGTGCTGAATTAATAACGGTGATGTGGTTGTAGGGCTTTCAGCAAAACGCGGCTTGACTAGCCGTGGACGTTTTCAAACACCACCTGTTCATAATTGTCATCGTAGTTAATCGATGATTAAGATGGGACATGCCTGTGTTTGTGATCATCTTGGTACGTACAGAGTTGACCGGACAGAAAGATGGGGACCCAATCCGACGAGAGGCTGGAAGGTTTTAAGTTGATCGCACGGATAAGAATGTACCTGCGAAATAATAGGATCTTGCGGTGTCCGTCGAGATTAGCACGAGGCCAGGAGCATGTTGTATTAAGTTACTCCAGGAGGACATTTCATCCGGAATTGTTTGATGAAACTTGCAACGTGCGGCGGCAAAATAGCAATTCGGCACGAGGAGAGCAACGAGGCAAGGTGAGATTCAAACAAAGTGCAAAGTCCCTGGTTCGATCCGAATCCCCTTCCCACACAACTAACAAGAACTGCAAAATCCAGGGATATGGGTCATTTGTACCATAGACATCCTCCTTGATGTTTTCTGGGCAAAATAGCAATACAATCAGTTTCACGAGCGTGCACTGGTCATCTCCGTCAGCCCAGCCAAAATAAAGATACAATAGATAGCGTATGCCTAAGTTCGTAAAATTCTATTGGAAAACAGTAACGTACGGTCGTCTAATGGCAACGCTGAACGGGGATACACTTACGCCGGAACTCTATCGATCCAGCCTCTCTGCCCCGAAATAAATCCGTAATAGAAGAACTGGCTGAGCACCTAAAGTTAGGAGGATTAGAGTCTGAGTGATGAAATCCATTTGGCAGAAAGCGATTGGACGCACAAGTATATCGAGAAAGATGGTCAAACCACTACCTGAAAGATTTAAGCGATTAGTCAACTGCATGTACCAAGTACATAAGTCATGAGCAAATACCTGCTAGCCAACTTGCATTCCTGATCAGATAGTCTGCGTCGCGAGATGCAGCAATAATAGATAATGCGTATGTCATGTTTCCTAGGATAGAGAAGACAAATAACCCAGGAGCAAGGCCCTCGCATCTGGTCTTGAAGTTCTTGACTGCATTGGAATTCAGAACAGTGGGACTGGCAATATGCGTGTGTGACACTGACCTATTTGCGGTAGCCGGGCACCAACTGTCGAGGAAGATAGTAAGTGAAGGCATCCACACATGGTGTGACAAGAACGCACGATAAGCAGTGGCGCTGGTCCACCCTATTAGTTGGACGTGCCAATCCAACTTCGTATCTGGAAGGGCTGGAGAAGTATCATCGTTGGGAAGCCAATTGCTGATACAATACGCCGCCACACCAGTGGCTGATATGAATGAGACAGCGGCCAGGTACCGCACAAAAATTCGCGTGACCGAGGGCCCTGGTCTTTCGGAGGGATCCGCCGAGCGATTATCAGCAATAAGGCAAGTTTCTTCGGAAACCTCCCCTGGGATGTGCACAGGTACAACGTGCCGCCCGGTTTGCCGCTTCCATCGGTAATAATATACTTGGCAAAGCAATGTTGTGTCGCATAAAGTGTACTAACCGATAAATGTGACATCAGGAAGGTAGCTTACAAGTAGCACATAAAACTCACATAAACTCCAAGAATAATTACGGTAGGCAGCAATCCAGCCATCACTGCGCCCATAAGATTACATACATCACCCAACAACCATACATAGATGAAAAGGAGAGATAAACCCTCCCCGCTCTCTAGTTGGTAATTCTCAATTATCTGAGGAGAATATACGACAATCCTGTAGAGGTTGTACAAGATGAGTCTGATTTTTTGACATGAATTCTTTGCCTCACTGACCAGCATGCTATTGAAATCCATCCAAACTTCAATAAAATTCGAAGTCAGCACAGGGTCAATTGAAATATGTAAAAACGCACGACACTGCTAGCTACATTTCCTTCTTCGAACATTGATGATTGACCGGTGGTGTCACTTGGTAGCTCAGCACTCAGTGTCCAGTACCAATAGATAAGATGCTAGTGGGAGAGATCAAGGTGACTAAATCAAGGTATAATTTTTGGGGGTTTCTGGGTTTGAAATTTGAAATTTCATGAAAGAGCACGTGACGGATGCCGGTGTGTGCGTACACCACTGGCTGCAGTAGGCTTTGAACTTTCTTTACAAGTCTCCAAAGCATACTCAACACTATGAACAGTCAAGACGCATTCAGAAAATTCGCTCAGCAATTACAGAGGGCTAGTCAGTCTGGAGGTGGTGGTGGGATGCCAGGAGGTCCAGGTCGCTTCCTCGCAGGCGGGGGCCTTATTGTCGCGTTGGTGGGCGGTGGACTTCTTCTGAATGCGAGCTTGTTCAATGGTGTGTCTCGTGTCGTGAATTCTGTAGTGGGTTCTAATAACCTAAAATAAGTTGATGGTGGCCACAGAGCTATTAAATATACTCGGTAGGCTGTTGTGTCGCGCGCTTTCTAAGTTGATGGCTCATCCTGCTTTAGTCTCCAAGGTGTCAAGGATGAGGTGTACAGCGAAGGGACACACCTCATGGTCCGTACCACTCTTTTTAATGCAGTTTGATTTGTTTTTTTACGCTCCTCAGGTTCCCTGGTTCGAGACTCCAATAGTTTTCGACATTCGCGCGAAGCCTCGGAGTGTAGCAAGTTTGACTGGCACGAAAGGTGACGTCTGCAGTTCGCGGCATGCTTGTACCCGCTTACTTTGGAACTGTAGATTTGCAAATGGTTAACATCACTTGCAGAGTTCTATCCCGACCCGCTGTATCTGCTCTGCCTCAAATATACCGCGAACTAGGAAAAGACTATGACGAGCGCGTGCTACCGTCTATCGTCAACGAAGTTCTCAAAAGTGTAGTCGCACAGTTTAATGCAAGTCAGCTTATTACACAACGTGAGATGGTGCGGAGTATTTTCAACTGTTGCCTGTGGTAAACTGACGATGAGTTTTGTGTCAAGGTGTCCCGATTAATTCGTGAAAACTTAACAAATCGCGCATTACGCTTTAACGTGGTGCTGGACGATGTGTCTATCACCCACGTGGCATTTTCACCCGAGTTTACGCATGCTGTTGAGGCCAAGCAGGCGAGTAATATGGTACTACTTCGCCCATCTGCAAAGTTAATTCCGCCCTAAAGGTAGCTCAACAAACAGCTTTGAGGGCCGCCTTCTTGGTTGACCAGGCCATTCAAGAAAAGCAGGTAAGATTCCCTTGTAGCGATTACCGGTTTTTCTTGATTCAGATGCATATTCTGCAGTCTATTATAGTGCGAGCCCAAGGTGAGGCAAAGAGTGCTGAGTTGATCGGCGAAGCTATGCGCACGAACAAAGGATTTCTGGAGCTTCGTCGACTTGAGGCCGCAAGGGATATTGCCAACATGTTGGCCTCCTCAGGAAATAAAGTGATGTTAGATGCCCAGAGCCTCTTGTTGAATGGTATGATGTCTTCTGCTTTGTGATGACCGCTCCTAACAAATTACTCGTTTACAGTGACTGGAGAAGACACAAAAGAGTTGCTGAAAGTAAAGAAGTAATCTTATTGCCTGGTCCACATCTCATCACCATCGTCACCGCCGCTGCTAATAAAAATGCATATGTTGACTATGAGCTTATATATTGAACTGCAAACTACAGGGACGCACATATCTGAAGTGAAGCATGATGCATGAGGGCTCGGTGGCACTCTTGTCCATGATCACATCATCCTTTCCACTCCAGCGCGCGTCGTGCTATGTTAACTACAAAACATGGGCATGCGAATAATGTCGCAAGCGTCTTCAAAATTTCGTGGCATGATCGACCTTCTGATTAATGCGTCTAATTTTCTACGATGACTCGCTTGCCCGACTTGTGCTACATGCCTTTTCCTTTATACATGGTTATATTAAATGACAACCTCTTTCTTGACACATTTGCTTGGCTGCTCGCGCGTCTCTCGTAGACAACTCGAGCCGGAGTCCACTGAACTGGAACACAGATGAAAAGATAAGTATATACAGAGCATAAGCGGGATTTTCGGTCATTTACAGAATGGATGACATGCAGGGAAGTGTTGGCGCTAGCAGTGGGACCGCACATGACATCCTATGCCATGATTCAGATCTGCAGACCTGACAATGATAATTTGCGAGGACTCAGGACTGGCGGCACGATATCAGTTGTTTGGATCCAAAGCTTTTGCCAAACAGCCCCACAGTACGTAACGTAACAAATTCATAACTTGTTGCTTCGCCGCTTACTACCATCCACAGACAGACATCGGAACGATATGAAGAGGACAAAACAAAACAGGTTTTCTAATCACCGTAAAAAGAAAGTTGCTAAGAGCACGCAAAACCACGAGCAAAACCAGACAGCCGAGTCTGGCACTGAAGAGAGCGTCCAGCTGCCACGAAAGAAAGTAAGATGGGAGGGCAATTCCGAATCAGTGGCAGCTGCAGCAGGTATGGAGAATGGTAGCTCAGAGGACGATGCGAGCACATCAAAGGTAAAGTTTTGCAAAGACAGTCGTGTCCCGTAGAGCTCACCATCTAGTTAGATCTGCTTGACGATTTCCTGCCAATCGTAAGTCGTCCAATGAGTATGTGTTCCAAATGCATATAAGTGCGGTCACTCTAGAGGACGTGTTGCGGGCGCGTACTATGATTCTGTTAGGTGCATAGTCTATGTACTTGAAGATACGCAAGAGGATGTTCACTTCGATCTTACGAACATGCGTTGAGTCGAATCCTTCTCATCATTTTACCCATATGAACCTGTACCAGTTCTCGAACAGTGCAACGCTGACGTAGTGTTGACTAGCTCCAAAGCCGATGACCCATTTATATCGGTCCTTCAGAAATTTGGTATGTTCTCTACTGTCACTGCATATATGCGCAGGTACTTAATCCAACGACTCAGCTGAGGCTTCTGGAGGGGTCTTTCAAATCAGGCCACATAAAGAGTTCACTCCTCACAGAGGGAGAGACCGCTTGCTGTCGCTCCGTTTTCTCTCCGAGTTGACAACCGAAGATACTGGTCAATGTTTGTCATCCGACAGCAATTCAGGCGCTGAGCCAAGAAACGCATATGAATTTATGCAAAAACGCAAACAGGCAGCAGGCGACCCAACCATGAAAAGATGGAATGCGGCGATTAGGTTGGCCAACTATGCATCGGTGGAGTCTTCTCTTTGTGTGCGTCTAGATACTCGGGTGCAATGTTTTGTCTCATCTGTGAAACTATAGATCTCGTGCCTCGGCGCTCTGCTCGACTACCTTGCGAGGGAGCGAGCGGCAGGCGACCTGGATAATGATGCAGGAGTCGAGGGGCTCAACATCTCTGGCATCGAAGTGTTGACCATGTAAGTCGGTATCGCGAACGCTTCATATAGCATCGCGTTGACTCCTTTCAAAGAGATCAGGTCATGCATATCAATGCTGACGCACTTTTGTAAGCGATGTATCAGGATGTTGCCTTGAGAGTACATTAACCGGCAGAGCACAGTTCCCTTCAGATATTCGAAAATGAGAGCCACGCGTCCATCCACTCTGATAAGACAAAAGAGGGGTTGTCGCTTTTTGGTTTGTTGTCACAACTTTCGATGTCGTCGCGTTCATCAATATGCTACAGGTATTCTTGACAATACTCGGACACCCTTGGGTCGTTCATTGCTCCGCACCTGGCTCATGCGCCCGTCTCTGTCCATTCCTGTTATCGCAGCCCGTCATGACGCTATTGAATGCTTTCTACATCCGGAAAACTTAGCACCTGCGAGTACTTTGCAAACTCACTTGAAGGGTGTCAAGAATATTCCGAGGATCCTCGGGCTCCTACAATCTGGGAAAGCCAGCGTTGGCGACTGGCAAGGCCTAGTGAAGGTATGATTCACCCAGTTCTTGCTTCAAATTCAATCCGACGTCAAGCGAAGTTCACATATCACTCTGCAATGATACGCGACGCCCTGGCGGAACTTCATGGAGGTGATCAAGTAGAGGTTGTACGTAAGGTATGGTATCAATGAGTGGCTCGCCAGGAGAAGCTGAACTAAATCAGCTGTTAGTTAGTTGCATCGTTGGACATTGCGAGTTTCAAGGACACCGGAAATGCTGTCAACGAGACAGTAAGCGCTTGTATCATTATTTCTATTTACTCATGTTCCCCTTCACTGGTTAGATTGACTGGGAGGAATCTACCAACAAGAATCGCATATGTGTTAGGCCGTACATTGATGAGGAACTAGATCAGAGGAAACACGTTTACGCTGGATTGGACTCTGTCTTGGTGGGGTTATTACTATCTCAAAGATGCTGTCATTTTGCTTATACATGTTATAGTGTAAAGTCGCTGAACAAATATGCCAGAAGATTCCTGTGGATTATACGGCGTCTCTAAACGTGGTATACTTCCCACAACTAGGTAATGCATTCTCGAACCTAGTATAAGTGTATTTTCAACGGTTTCTATCGGCAGGCTTTTTGATCTGCGTTCCAATGCAGGAGAAATGGAGGTCTGAGGAGGGCATCAATGTTCTAGACGGATGGAGCTTCCAGGTGAGTCCTGACGTTGTCCCTGCCGTATCTGATGTAACAGGCTGACTAAATCGCTCAGTTCTCCTCAGAGCGAGTGATAAGTCTTATCAATGATCGACTTTGTTGCTGAACGGCGTCTTTTCAGTGCCCATGTGTATTTCAAATCGGAAGAGATGCATGGTAAGCTTGACATGAACCTTATTTCAAGAAATCGTGCGATTCAGGTCAAAGACATGGACACCCACATTGGCGATCTCCACCCATCAATAGTCGGTGCGAGTTTTGATATTTTCTCATCAGTAAGAGACTCACGGGTAACAGACCGTGAAATAGAGATCGTCCAGGAGCTCTTGGAACGGATCCTTGTATGCAGTGAAGGGATGAGGCACACATGTGACGTTTGTGCTGAACTAGACTGCCTGCTTGCCTTCGCCGAGGCTTCTCGAGCATACAATTACTGTCGGCCTCAGATCTCAGAGGATCCTATCATCGACATTGATCAAGGACGGTGAGCATTGTGGAATGCTACTCGCTACACTAGTGACCTTCTCTCGTAAGACATCCCTTACAAGAGCAGGTAGTCGACATTTTTGTTCCCAACAATGCTCAGCTTTTAGCTGGTATCGGTTTCGGTGACAGTGCTGAACCACAGACAGAAGTTGACAACCCGCCAATGTATAGCAGCATTGTTTTGTGCACTGGCGCGAATGCGTGTGGAAAAGTAGGTTCAAGTTACACGTCACAATATCAGCTAAATTCCCTCTTGCACAATGCAGAGCGTCTACCTGAAACAGGTAAAGATCTGATCACTCATACACCGGAATGTATTAAAATGAATACAGGTTGCTCTAATTCAATACATGGCCCAGGTTAGTAACCGTTCCGAGTTATCGGTCCACTTGTAACTCATTAATGACAACTTAGATCGGCTGGTAAGAAACTCGTGGCTGCTTCCGTGCTTCATGACCCTGCGAAGTTTTGTCCCAGCGGTATCTGCCACCCTGGGAATTGTCGACAAAAGTGACGTTCTGGACTTTTCCGCCCTGTGTCAACTAACTTTTCTCTGCAGTCTTTACTCGTATACAGACACGCGAATCAGTATCCAAAGTATTTTCGCAGTATCCCCGATTCCCTCCAATGCTGAACTAGTTGCAAGGCCCAATCTGCTTTTATGATTGATCTCAACCAGGTTTCCCTGGCCCTCCGAAATTGTACCGCAAAATCTCTCATTCTCCTTGACGAATTCGGAAAGGGGACGATTCCTGCAGGCTCGTTTGCTTCACGGTGCAAGCATAACTGTTGATTCTTACTTGTCCATAGACGGGACTGGATTGTTTTGCGGTGTCATCAAGCATCTTCTCAACCGAGGGTCTCAGTGTCCTAAGGTTTTAGCTGCCACACATTTCCACGATGTCTTCCAAAAGGACATGCTCGATCCCCACAAGTTCCCAATCACATTCCTCCACATGCAAGTCCTTTTCACTTCAAGCAAAGGCAACCTCAACCCCGGTGACGTGTCGATGTCTGGAGACTCAAAATCAACCGATCACGAACGACTGGAACCTACATCTGTTGTCGCCCCTGGAGAAAAGATAACTTATCTTTATCGGTATCTTCTGGGTTTATACGACCATCGACGTACCTAACCAATGGATCAGTGTCTCCCCGGGTCTTTCCCGCAACTCTCATGCAGCTCAATGTGCTACAATGTTTGGTTTGCCGTCCCGTATTGCGCAGCGTGCGCAGTACGTCAGGTAGTTTTCCTTCCTCTTGCGCACCTCATGGAGAGATTATTCACTGGTACGTCAAGCAAATTGTTGGGTGACCATGAACTCGGTCAGCTTTTGGAGGAGGAAATGACTGCGGAGGAGCAAGAAAATATCAAGGCTGCTGGGATCGCCACCTACAAATTTCTAGCCATGGATCTCACGAACGATTCTCATGAAAAAGACATCAAACCAAGGCTTGTAGAGGCGCTTGGCCGGGCTCCTCATGGATGACTATATTCTACCCATGCGCATGATACCATTGTAAGGATCGCTGTAACTCTAGAAAAATACAAGCAAGGCCTTCTCGCTCAATTCTCGGGGGAATATGTATTTTCCTGTCCTAAAATTTGTCTCGAGTGAATCAGCCGATGGACCTTCGGCCCGCCGAGTCTGCTATTAAACTAAGTCATTTCTACTCAGCCTCCTTAATCGCCTCTCATCATAGCCCCCGTCACACAGATCATGTGCTTCAAGACCTCTTCGTCCTACCGGCAGGATCCCTTGCAGTTGATGCATTGATATCTGAGCTTGTGACCCAAAGTGTAGCAAATACAATTGAATGACTTTCTAAGTGAATACAAGTCATCTCCGAAGCGCGCGTGCTTACCTTCGATTAATTAAGGGTTATACATTGGTCTCGAGACGGAGGGTTCAAGAAATGCATTCTGAGTCTTCGGTAGGTCAAGTCTGCAACATGCCAGGTCCAATGATATCGAACTACTGGTGGAGTGGGCTTCCAAGCCTATACACGACATATATCGTCAGTCAGACTCTCTTAAGGCTGCACAAGTAGCCTCTGGACAAGTCTTTGCAAGCAGACTTACCCATGCGTTTGTCAACTTTTCCGCATCTTTTCTTCCCCTGTAACGGAATTTGTCACTTCCACTCTCAAAAAAGATGGACGTGCTTCAGCCCCTTGTCAAACGACTTCAGGCCAAGCCTTCAAGGAACCAAACTTCTACGGCTCGAGCTGGGCGCCTGTCATTGATAAGCCTGACATAGTTCACGGCATGAGAATGTACAGGTGAATCTAATAGTAGTTCCAGCAGGTCACATATTTATCGACCACAGGCACACCGGATGCTGAATGCTCAGGTCCCCCCAAAGAGATCATCATATGATGAAGTGAAGAAGGTCGTTGATCTTTGGCTTGCCCATGCCACGATGATGCGATATAATTACAATCATGTGAACTTGACTGTCGATTCTCTGTATGGACCAAATTCTGTCGTTGTTGTGTAGAAAGGTACTTTGAAGTCTCGTGTCCTCCCCTCAGCTAGTTCGATGCTCGAGCATTACCTAGTCTCCCGTAGCTAGACCTCGAAGCTTGAAGAAGGAAGATAGTCGATCGTTTTTCTCACTATTATTGCGGTCTAAAAACATGCTCAAGCTCCGGTTGAGTCCAAAAAAAGAGTCTCGAGCGAACAAGCGGGTCGAACGCGGCCCGCTTCTATCATTCATACTTAAACTAAGTGACAGTTATTTCTACCGAGCCCCCTCTCAGTCACCTCTCATAATGGCGCCCGTCACACAAATTATGTACTTTAAGACCTCCTCGTCCTACCTCCAGGATCCCGCTCGGTTGATTTCTGAGCTTGCGACCACAAGTTCAGTAGACAAAATTGAAGGGTTTTCTAAGTGAATCACTAGAGTCATCCTCGAAGCATGCCAGCTTATCATTGATTAAGGGCATACCTTGGTTTCGAGACGGAGGATCCAAGCAATGCATTTTGGGTCTTTGGTAAGTCAAGTTTGCGACATACTACGTCCAATTGCGTTGAACTACTCGTAGAGTGGACTTCCAAGTCTGCGCATGACACATATCATCAGACAGACACTTTCAAGGCTACACAATCAGCTTCTCGGCAAGTCTTTGCGAGCAGACCTACCCACACATTTGCTGGGTTCTCCAACACTAGTCAGATCTTTTCTGCTCCAGTGACGGAATTTGTCACTTTCACTCTCAAAGAGGGTGTCAGTATGAACGCGCTTGAGCCCCTTGTCCAACAGCTTCAGGCCAAGCTTCAAGGAACACCCAAGTTCTACGGCTCGAGCTGGGCACCTGTCGTTGATAAGCCCAACGTAGTTCACGGCGTGTTAGGATGGGAAAGCGTGCAGGTAATTTCAATATTAGTTCCTCAGAGTCACCTGCTTATTCATCACAGGCACACTGGGATGCTGTAAGCTCAGGTCCCCTCAAAGAGATCATCGATAAAGTGAAGAAGGTTGCAGACCTTTGGCTTGTCCACGCCGTGCTGACGCGATACAATGTGTGAACTTGATTATCGAATGCTTTGTACGAACCACACTTTGTTGTTGTTTTGTAGGAACATATTTTGAAGTCATGAAACATGCAGTCCTGGATATTTCCGAGGAACATCGACAAGTTTTTCTCTGTTTTCTACACGCAGTATTTACAAGTTAGCTATATGCAAGTCTCCCGCTGTGGGTGCACTTACCACTATCGTATGCAGTAGCGGTCAGTGGTGAACTGACGCTGATGCTGGCTCACGAAGTCCATAAGTACAGCTTCGTCGTGTTGTCTCCTGACAAACTTATGCTACTATGCCTTTCATGTATGGAGGCAACCGTAGCTTGAACATGACACTCAGCCACATACACAGAAATAGTCCAACAACTTGAAGTGTGAGATTCAGAAAATAGCAACTGGCTCTTACGAAGGCCCTCTGTCGGAGTGAATCTCAGGCGTGATGAGATTGAAGAACACCAGCATTTTCTACAGCCTTGAAGACAAGGCACCCGAGCCTCACTCCGATGCTGAAGCTGGCGATGATGATGCAAAAATCCCTTGTTACAGTTATCGAGGATGCTCTGGGCAGTGGACATCAGCTAACTTAGAGTCTGTTCGGGAAGACGATTTCGCCCAACTTCATCAGCAAAAGTGGCGCAAGCTGACAAGGCCTCGGCAAATGCCGTAAGCCTGACGTAGAGTTCCAAACCTGGCTACAGGCCTTGCGGGCGTCGTGCCAGGCATTGTAAGGCTCCCAGATGACAAAGTAATGTTATAACCACGTCACTCGCACATGTATGTATGCAAGAATCATCAATACAAGTAATGTAATATATTTCTTCCCTCACACAGCTGAAGACAAGTCCTTCCAATGCATTCTAATACTCAGCATAGTCACCATAATCCTCTTCAGTATCTGCAGCACCCTCTCCATCCTCAGCACCAAGAATGGCATCATCCAATTTATCTTGTGAGCCTTCAAGTCCTTCCTCTTCTGAGCTGTCATCCAACAACAACTGCTCCTCTAGGTCACCATAACCAAACTCGCTGCACTTGTCATCCAATACTGAGCCATCCCTGTCATCATCAGCCCCGTCATCTGATTCCTCATCTCCATCAAACAAATCTGTATTGAACTTGGAAGCAGCACTCTGTGAGTTCTCTCCTTCTTCAAGCTCATTGTCCAACTCAGATTGAGTTCCTGTATAATCCATATGCTCCCCACTGGAACTGCTAATGCTGTGCATGTCTGCATCTGTCAGTGCATCTCCACGATCATTGCCAGACTCTGAGTTGGTATCCTCATTCATCAGTAAACCTGGCATGTAAAACATACCAGTGTGCTCGCTTTCCTTCATAAATGGCACTGAGTCAAGTGCATCTCGGTCCTTGTAGAAACTTTGTGCTGCCTCTCATGTGGTCTTGTGTCCAACACCACCACAGAACCACATGAACATGTTGCAGTTGTTACAGTACCCCTATTCTTTTCTCACCATCACTGTGGACACCTTATGGCTGTACTTCTAACACTTCCTTTTCACTGTGCTGTTTCCTCATGGTCTCTCTTATCTCTGACTTATACCTTTGTTTTCCCATAAACCTTCCTTTCCTAGTATCTGTTACCCTTTGCCCAGCTTGGTCTGTGCACAATTCCTCTATGTATATAAACCCTAGTTACTGCTTGTATTTCTCTAACTTGAATCTACTCAGTTCTCTTTCATACTTGAACTCTAGCTCCTTGGGAAGAAGGCTAGCCATTATCCCATTTGAACTCTAGATCCTGCAGGAGTCTAGATGATTGCTCCTGAGGGAGGCATCACTCAATAAGGCTTAGTCCTTGATTGACCTTGACCCTTGATTCCTTTATTAGAACGATGCTCTATCTGAGTTCATAACAGCAGTCTACAAATCTAAAAAAAATGTAAGTCAATCATTTGTTTTGCAAGTCAAAAAACCACCAACTGGTTGACATAGTACCAGCTATAATCCATATCACCTTCACAAGGCTGTTGAGCAATTGATGGAGGAAGAAGGTTCACAGTGGACCCATGTGCAAATCCTGGGATCACATGGACACCATGAATCACTTGTGCAGGGTCAACAAATCCAAAAGCATCTGTTCTGACCTTGTTAGCATCATAAAAGCCAATCTGGTGTAGCTGATGCACAACCCAGCCAGATTTATGATTTGAGTCTTGACAGAACCAGTGCACCCATAGGAAATTGACATGTCATGAAGCCTGGTCACAAGAATCTGAACCATGATACCTGGCATATATGTGAAAAATGCCAATAATATGCACATACCAATATGGGTGAGGAGTGAGTTTGCCAGGTTCACTTTCCTCATTGCCTAGGAGCATGATGTCTGCATGTGTATGTGGATTGAGTGAATCTTGAGCTCTTTGAAGATTGTATGTCATGTAGTTGACATGGAGTACTTTGTGTTTATAGATCTTGTTGTTGGGGATGATGAGCGAGTTCTGCTGTGCAGCAGTAAATGTGTGCTCCTCAGAATCATCATAGCCAAGAAATCAACTAAGAATGTGGTCCTTGAGTCACAGCAAAAAATCCTGCACAAAATCAGATACACTGAAAACCACAGAGGCTGATAGATACCTTCACTGCAAGGTCCTCACGATTCTTGTGCAGCCATGAAGTGATGTCCCAGTATTGACAGTGTGAGTTTGAAATCTGATACCAGGTCTCTGGAGAACACTGTGGCAATGACTCTGTTTCAGCAAAACCAACCAATGGAGAATTTTCTGCATGGTTCAAATGACCTTCAGCTCATTGTGCAGCAGCCTTCTGTTGAAGCTTGTGAAGGAGTCGTTCATGGCGCTGCTGTTTTGCAATACCATGCACAATTTTGATCTTGTTAGTGCATGCATAAAAGTGTTTCACATGGTGATGCTCTAGTTCACCCCACCATTTTTTTTTTTTTTGGGTCATTGTTTATTGTCCTGTGGGGCAGGGCCCTATGTTGGACAGTACTTACAGTGTATTTACGGTTCTAGTATAATATGTGCATTGAGATCTATGTGTGTCCATGATATTGGTCCAGGCTTTTGTGAGGACGATAGGCGCCATCTGAAGGTGTGACATGGGGTTTTGAGTGGCTTTCTGGTTAGCTGACTCTTTCTGTCTGGTTCTAATCTTTTTCTGGGGGGGTGATGTCTCCGAAGGAGCTGAGCAGGCAACGAGTGCAGGTGATGAATTTGAAGAGGGACTTGGTGCATTTGTCTTTGTTTAGCAGATTTTTCAGTTGGTGTACTTTGCAGCTGAGTTCTACTCTCATAGTGCTTCTTTGTCTGGTGTATGTCAGGCAGGCAAGGAGATAGTGATGAACTGATTCTTCTTGTTCTTGGCAGGATGGGCATAGTGGGGAGGGGGCTTTCAAGATGTGATGAAGGTGTTTGTTCAAAGGTACATGTCCTGTTCATAATTGGATTAGCAGTGATGCATGGCATCTGGGGAGCTTCTTGGCCAGTATTGCGAAACCTTTGGAGGGGAAAGATGGGTCTATCTCTTTGAATCATGTGTATCTGGGAGATGTCTGGAGGGTGGATGTTGTCTCAAGTGCAATGGTGCTGTGAAAGGCCTGCTTTATTGCTGATTTGCTGCATGGGAGTAGGATGGGGGTGTTGTCTGCATTACAGAGGGATGTAGGGAGTTTGGCATTCTCTGAGCTCTCTCCATGGGCAGCATGTTTTGCTTGTTCATCTGCTGCCTCATTTCCAGGGATGCTTATATGGCTGGCTGACCATTGTATGATCAGTTTGTGGTTGTCATTCCTCAGCAGTAAGCAGCATAGATCATCATGGAATATATCGATGAGGTAGTGGCCTGGCTTCAATTGGAATCCACTGGTTGCTCATATTGCTGCTTGGTTATCCACCCCAAGTGCCATTGTTGGTCTAGCTCTGCCCCTTCTTCTTGTTCTTTCTCTCAACAGCTCTACCGCCAGGATCATTCCCACAATCTCTCACCCCACCATCAAAACTAGAACCTTGAATCAAGAGTGGATATGTATGTATTAGTGCACAACTTGTGTTGAAAAATTGTCAGTTGTCCCAAACAACCAGATTGACTTCACAAAGTTGCCAAGTGCATGTAACTTGTAGGTAGACATGTTAAAAAATCGCTGTTGAGTGCCCTTGGTGACAATCTTTTTCCCTTTCTTTGTCGGCATGGCTTTTGAATTCCCCTTGGCAGAATATGCAGGTTTTTGGTGCCCCTGAGCAGCAGCCTCTTTTGGTAGCTCTTGTGTCACAAATGAGTCACATGTAAACTGCTTGAAGTGGTGGAGAGCTCATCCCAGTCTGATGGTCAAGTTGCCAAGGAAATGGAGTGTTGTTTCGGTGTGCATCTGAAGCTTTCCAAGTGCATGCCAGGTTGCAAGCTCAAAAAGTAAGTCGGGAATGACTTTGTCATGATCAGGTAGCAAGCCCTCCATTACTGGAATACAACACTATATATGAATCAGGTTGTTAGACAGCTAATAGTATACTAAAGGGTGGACAGACCTGCAACAAGTCTTCATAATCTCTCACAGTGAGTTTGGTGAGATTTGACATATTCTGACTGAACTTTTGAATAATGTCCCTCCTGAATGTTGGCACACACCAAAATCTTCAAAGTATTAGTCTTTGGATGCATTAGATCACAGAACTCACCTAGCATTGAACTGTGTCATAGTATCTCCACCAAATGCATGCAGAATCTGTAGTAGATGGGTGAGAGTCCCTTTCCAAACACTGAGTTCAAATTTGTGCATAAAGTCAGGCATGAACATTGAATGGAAGTCAAATCCAAACCTAGATAGTCATTCAGAAAATGCATTCTTTGACTCTATCAGTCAAAGTTATCTTAATGAAGTTTGAAACTTACATGTGTCGGTACCAGTGACATTGGCCCCAGCAACTTGTCAATCACAGTGCTGCCAATGTTGCATCCTTTCATAAAGATCCAATCACACACTCTCTCAATGGTACTCCTGCATGCATGGTTGTCCAATCGCACATCCCTTTTACACCATAGTCTATCCAGCTTCATCCCAAGGTTGGCAATCTTCTCCTTAGGAATGAGGCAGCATGGACAGGGAAAATTTCCCAGAAATTTGATGCATGTGAGAAGAATCCTATCAGTGTTTGATTAGTTTCGTGGCATAGGCAGAGTATTTAATTTTCAGGATAGTCAGTGGCATATGTAAGAAATCAAGGAAATACTCTGCGTTTCACGTTATCAGCAAACTGTACCACAATACCATGTTCATATGTGTGCATGAATTCTTTGTCAAGGAGAAACAGCCAAATGGCTTGCATAAGCTCTCACTTGAGATGTGTGAGCACTGTGCTTGTTGCTGCTTGCCCATACAATTTGTGGTAATATTCGTGGACAATGTCTGGTAACTCAAAGGCAAGTCAGTGAACTTTGCAAACTCAATCATGAAACATATGCAAACCTTTGGGATATACGCCAGATGATGAGCAGCAAATGCAGAGGGACAATTCCTGATATACTTTGATTGATTTCCAATGAACATATAGATTGGCCATAGTGCAGCATGTCCAAATGAAGCAAGGTGTGTTGAGTCTGACCAAAGCATGATGGAAGCGACAACAGTCTCCAGCTGACAACCAGGTTCATGGGGCTGTGCCTTTATCTTCTCATGCTCATCAAGCATAGTGTTGGCCATGTAGATCTTCATAATGATACATCCTGGAAATTTACCCTCATCAGGCTACCAGAAGAGTTTGTATGGGACATTGTGAAATGATTTCAAAGCAACTTCCTTGTAGGCTGACCTGATAACTTCTAGAGGCATCTGGTAATAGAGCCCATCCATGGCACATTCAAGTGTGTCAGCTTCAGATGCATACTTGTGCTTCTCAGCAGGCAGCTTAATCTTCACAGATGCTTCATGCCACTTGTCAGATGTGCTGAACAGCTTTGAATCTAGGTCCTCATCAGCCTGGTCCATTCTTTTTGCTTTCCAAAATGCAGAAAAACCCCTGAGGTCCTCATGCTCAAAGTCATCCACCAATATGACCCCCTGCACAAGGCAGTCAACATTAGTGTCATATGCCATTCCAGACTCTCAACTCTAAATCCACTTCTCTGGATATCTGGATCCAAGATCCGGATCTCCAATGATCTGATCTATCTTTATCTTCCTTCTGGAATCCAAACCCTATATTAGTGCCCAACCCCATTTAGACTTCCCCTGTCTCTGGACTCTGGTTAACTATGTTTCCCTTCTGATTATTGATCCATTACATACATTTCATTTCTGGTGTTTATTATTTGTGATCTGTCCTACTTACTAATAGACTTTGCATATGCTTTGTACATAGCCTTTATGTTTGCTGACTGATTCCTATATGATACCTACAGTATATAAACCTCCTGTAACTCTTGGAAATACTCCAGTTCAAATATCATCTTAGTTCCTGCTCATTCCTGTATCCTCCAGACTCAAGCCAAGTCTCTTGTCATATTCCAAGTCTTAGGATTGTATCCTAGACTACATCTCCAGCTCTACCTTAGGGTAGTCTATCTTCTGTTAGTTTCTTGTCTGGACTTCGTCCGGATTAGTCTTATCTGCTTGTCCAAGTAACATCTGGACATCTGTCAGATTTATCTCACATTTCAGATCCAGATGTCCATTGTCCGCCCTAGTCAAATCTTAGAAACTCCGGATGACTGTTCTAGCCCCCAGAAATTAAGGGCACATACTCGGGAAAGGGGCACAGCATATGAGCTGAGGCCAAGCCCTTGTGATCCAACCCCCTTGAGCACACAACCTTAACAGTTAGCCAGAGAGTTACTGCTGGATGACTTGTAAAACCAGTCCATGAGATGAAATGTGATAGCATTGAGAAAAGGTGTGAAAAATGTGTGATTGACTGCTTCAATAGCAGTACCTAAGCCCGCATACCAGGGCTGCTTGTTTGAACTGTTGGCCTGTTGGAAAGTATGAGAATCACATACATCATTGAACAATGAAGTGTTCTCAGGGTCATAGGAATGGAAAGTTTCTCAGTATGGATGGAAGGTGTCAAAAGTGTCCTGTTTGGTGTGTACCCACACTTCTCCTTCTGATTCAGTAGTACCTGAGTCAGAATGAACAGGAGATTGTGGAATGGCATGGGCTACATCATCTACTGGAGGTGGAATTGGAATGGGGATGGGAAGGGCAGGAAGTTCATCTTGGTAACATGCAGGCAGTTGCCACCTGCAATTTGGAAGACCTGATGCTTGTGCCAGTGGTGGGGGTGAGGGCAAATGATGTACTGGCAATTCCTAGACAGCAGCATGAATACCCTGTATCACTCTGACAAAAGAAACATTCACTTACATACGGCTCAGGATTCTCAAACTCTGGCTGGTTTGCCTCATTGAGTGAGGGCTCATCAAGTAAGGGAGCTTCTGACTGAGCATGCAGTGCAGGAGGAGGCTGCAGAGCTTGGCACTCATGGCAGGCATTCATGACATTATTTGAAACAGCTCTAAGGCCTTTGCACCATTAGTTCTGGTGCATTGACAGACCATGTGCTGACACAGCAGTATAATTGCATGCAGGACATGCAAATGACATAACAAGGATGAAGCTGAGGAGTGAGAGAATGATGTACTTTGCCAGCATTGCCAGCACATATCCACCTGGGTCACTGTGAGAATGTAATGGTGAGGCAAGGGGTTGGAATGAAGGATGCATTTTATACTTGCCTGCAAAACTCTACGCTCCCAAAGAGCATCCTAGCAGTGCTGTTGTCATATCTGCATATCCAGATCTCAGATTCAATCCACATCTTATTCCCATCCAACATCTCATCATCCAATCTGTCCACTCGTCTGGTCTGGTCCACAATTCATCTGAATCCACAACCAGCGCTCATCTCCTTTCGGTAATCCCCTGACTCCGGTACTTCAGTTATCTGTATATCTGTCCTGCTCACTGATCCATTACCTATGCTTCATTTCCATTTCATTATTTGTGATCCATTCCATTAGATACCTATAGTATATAACCTCCTGTAAATCTCTGTAACACCTCAGTTCGAATATCATCTTAGTTCTGCTCATTCCTGTCCTCTGGACCTGAGTATCTCTACTCTTGTCACCCTCCAAGACTTAGGATTGATTCCTATAGTCTATCTGTGTCTGCCTCTGTCTACAACAGTCCACTACTGTTAGTTTCTAGTCCAGACTTGTCTGGATTAGCCTCATGACACTTATCCTGCATCCAGAAGTCATCCAGATCCACTATGCTACTTGTCCAACCCTCCAGACACATTAGTCTTGTCTTCCTGAAATAAGGGGAAATACCTGGGTAAGGGGCACAATGCATGAGCTGAGGCCAAAGCCCTTAGGATCCGTTTAGCCTTGAGTATGACCTTAACAGCTGTGCACCATATGGTGGTGTGTCCTTTGCTCCTGCTATAGGTCCAATATTGCCATTCTCTCCCTCTGGCTGACATGCTTGACCAAGCCTCTGCAGATCATGACTGAAGCAAATAGACTATGTTTGAGCAAAGTAACTGCCCTTGTGAGCTGAAGGAGAATTGTGAAATGTGTTGTAGAGCGCAATTGTAGAGCAGAGCAACTCACTTGAATGGGAGGGCGATGCTTGACATATATACTCAATATCTCTGGTAATTCAATAATAACTGGATGTGAAGAGGTTTTTATGTATTTACCTATAGTCAGTATCTTTGGTAGTTTGTTGATAAATGGGTTTGAAGAGTCTTGGGTGTAGAATCATCACTGTGCCACCATAGATAAACAGGTGGATTTGGCAATCAAACTCTTGAAAGATGAGTACAGAGTGAGAGCTGAACCTTGTAAGTTATGGAGACAATATTTGCAATAAGGGTCAAGTTACATAGATGTCAGCTCAACACAAGAAACAATGATATTCATGTGACAATCTATGTAGGATAGATGGGTTCGGATGCCAACTGCACTATTGTAAACAAATATGTACCTCATGTCCTGGGTGTCAATGAAACAAGGTAGGTTAGTGTGGTGAAGCAGCATAAGAATGTACCATACACACACCTCTCCAAATAAGGAAAGATACCTGTGATCCCTCAACCATGCTAGGCAGAATTTCCAGTGTAGGTAGTGCTTGACAAAGTAGTCAGATAGAGAGATGTCTAGAATTGCCTGAGGAATGAAAGTGAGCAAAAAAATGGTCAAAATTTGTGGATGTGGTGGAAGGGGAAGCAGTGCCCCACTATATCCAGTGGAGCATTTGGAAATCAAAGAAATAAGAAGTTTAATGTCCAACCAGAGTTCAGGGCCATCATATGCAGGTGGAAGCCTCTGGAAGGGATTAAACTGGATCAAGAGAAAGAGTAAATGAACTAGAAATAGACAACAATGGGACAGTGAAGAACAAAGTCAGTCAGCACTTTCCAGAAATACACAATTCAATAATGTGTCAATCTTTGCTTATCTCTTATACCAACACCCTTAATTGTACTACTTACACTACTATTAATTATCCTCAATGCCTTCAATGTCTATCATTAACATGTTCAAGGACAACATACTCATTGAGATTGATGGTGTTGCCTCTACATGGGATACCTATTGTCTTGGCCTAAATATAGTCACTCCTGGTTCCAAGGTATGAAATATTTGTTTATTTACAAGTACCACTAAACCCATCATGATTTCATCAATTCAGCAAGTGATTTTCCAGTTCAAAGATATTGGAAGGGCCATTTGAGAGGGATCATCTGACTTGATACAGTGTGCTAACTATTCACTTTGAAGCTAGCACTAATCAGGTGTTGAGCACACTCAAGGCTGACAAGGTCAAGACAGAACCTGATTTAGTTGAGACTTCTGTAAAGTTTGAGGAGGACGACAAGAATTCCATAAATTCTGTGTATGCAACCTTCCGTCTAATTACTATACTCAGATTCTGACTAACAGATTTTCAAAGGAACATGTCTCCATACAACCTACTCACTCAACACTGTGGTAATCCAAATGCAAGACCAACTGACCCATTTGCACCATGGCACTACTCAGTATGGCCATTTGATTGGTCAAACATTCCATTGGAGGCTGCTAAAAAGAAGGCACTGCATCAAGACATCAAGGACTATGCATGCAAGTGTTGTAAATTATGATCTGTCCACCATTGTTTGCTCATTTTCCTGTAGTCACTCATACCTTTTGCAGTCATTTATATCAACTACTGTTTGCTATCACCTGCTCTCATACTACAAATACCTTTCATGTTGCTCACATTGAATACCTCTTTCTTCTTGCACTGTACCACTAATTTGCAATGCTCTTTTGCTGATTATTGTCATGTACTATTAAATTCAAAGTGTATTTGCTTGTCACAGTTGCTTGATGATGGTCTTGAAACTCCGGCCATCAATAGTTTTAAACTCCAATATATGTGATAACAATCCCCTGAGTTTCCCCTGAGCCCTTTACCTCACCCCTACCATGTCTTCATCAGACTCTGATGTGTCATTGTCAACTTACAGCCCCAAAAAATGTGCATCATTGAACAAGTCCAGCTCCAGTCAACGTGCATCTTCATCAGACCTTGACATGTTGTTGCCAACCTCCAACTCCAAAAAATGTGTTTCAATGGATGATATCCTTGATAATATGACTGCCACTGGCAGAAGGAAGAAGACCAAGTAAGTTTCATAGTATTCAAGCATGATCTGGGGCTCACCTCCAGGCCTATTATGTGATTTGAAGTTGAGTGACACATTATCAGAATATCACACCACTGGGTGCAAGGCAGTTGCCACCTTATATCCGTTTGCAAACATGTCACTTGCATTTCATTATGGTATGACCCTTGACAAGGGTGGTTAACATCCAGTTCAAATATGTAAGTCACCTTCCATCTTGGAACTTAAACTGATTTGTTTGCCAGATCTGAGGAGCAACAGGCATGATTTCTTGTGTTTTATAATGGCATTCTAGATTTTATTCCTGGCTTCTGTGAAAATCTTGATGAGCTGTCCTATGATGAGCTGAAACCTTATCTCACAGTGGTGAGTCCATGCATGTATGCGCATATATGCACCTAAATAACTATAAACATGTAGATTAATAGTTCAATGAGCTCACAATGCTCAGATGATCTTTCATCCCTGAAGCACTTGGTGCTTGAGTATATTCTTGCTGACTGTAGCACTGACATGCTCCAGCCTCCCATCCCAAAGTCTTCTTGCAAGTTGAATCGTGGTGTTAATCATCCCTGGCTAGCACAGGAACTTTGCCCTTGAAAGTAGCTGAAGGTGTTTGATGAAGATGTCAACTTGTGAGTGTTTTGACTCTGAAATCAATGTTTGCATAATTTGCATACTCTACCTTTAGAGGGATGGAGCATCTTCAAGATAGGACTTGGCCTCTACTCTCAACTAATTGGCTGTTATTCCTATATGCAGCTAACGCCATCTATGACAGGGAGAACCCAAACATTGGCCTCTTTTGTGGGCATGCTGGTATCAGGGTATGTAGTGCACTGTTGCTATTTGTGTGCTCACAGTTTTCCTAGGCATTCCAGCACTTGTACCTAGGACCTGCTGCTGTGGGATCATAGGAACATGATGATGATGATGGCAAGCATGGCAGAAGCAAATCCAAGGCTACCATGTATGGGCTTACAAAGGTGACGCTGCAAGCATGGGCTTGGGCCATGTGTGCAGTGTGTGTTTATGTTTATTTTATTGACTACTAGTATCCTGATTTTTGTACAGGTGTGGTTTTCCCTCTCCACCTGTAACTCATACAAAATGTGCATTGGGTCATTCAATCTAGAAGAATTCTTTTTCACTATCATCAAAACTCTCAATGACCCTGAGGACCCATGAGCAGTAGACACACTGGCATGGATCAACAAGTATGTGTGTAGTTCATCATAAATGTCTACTAACAAGAATTATAGACAGGCTTTCTGGAAACATGCAGTCAAGGCCATGGTGACTGCCTCAGATGATACTGATTCTGACCTTGTGAAAATGTGAGCAAAATGTGCTGCTTGTAAACAAGGCAGCACTTCAACATTGGCAACAAACAATGGTGTGCACAGTACTACTACTTCTCCACCCTTAGTAGTAGCAGCAGAATGCCCATCATCATCTGCACCAGTACTAACTCCACCCAGGCTCCCTTTGCAGGCTGTACCTTCCACATTATTATCATCACCATCATGTGCCTTGATACCACTATCCAACTCAGAATCATTCCCACCCTCCCTGGCGAAACAGCCACCCACTATATCCATTGCCATTCTTCCCAAGCCAGTGCTTGTTGCACACAAAAAGGCCAACCCTGTCCCCAGGCCTAAACCTGTTCCAAAGGCCAAACCAGTACCCAAGACATGGTCCAACACTTGCAGTTCTGCACATCTCTCTGCTGGTGCTATCCAGGTTGAAGAACCCATGAACAAGGCGGGTGATACTGCTATTGTGGATGTGAATGCTCCCACACCTCCAAAGAAAAAGCCCATGCCCTGTCATAGTAAAAAGGCTGCCTAGGTATTTTGAATCCTGGTCGGTTTGCCTATTCTGACTCTTGCTTTAATCATACAGATTTCAACACTCTCACTTGCTGGATTCCACTTGATCATCTCGTGCCCATGCTGTACATTCACATATTGCAGTGACCTATCTCCATATTATATGAGTGATTGGACATGCATAATATCCTGTATGATATGGACCAGCAGACCATTGGCCAAAGGTAAAAATATCCCCAACTATGATGGATGGGCCGGGAGGGATATTATTCCCAATGGAGGCAGGTGGGCCCATGTGGGGGATATGTACAGTAGATGAGTGGGCCAATGGACATGAATATTCTATAGATGGATGGGCTGAGATAGTTGGATATTATGTAGATGGGTGTACCAATGTAGATGTGTATCAGATAGACAGGTATGTCAAGGGTACTTGTTATCACATACATGGGTGGGCCCAGATGTATATTATATTAGATGGGTAGGCTGAGGGTGTGATATAATACATTATATTAGACAGGTGGGCTGAGGGTGGTATATAATATAGATGGGTGAGCCCAGATGAATGATAATTGTAGATATGACAGAGCTTAGGTAGTTGTATATCATCAATATCAAAGGAGGTAATAATTCAAAGTTGGAGCATGGGAGAGTTCTAGAGGAGTACAGGAAATACCTAGAGGAGTTCCCACTGCACAGGAAGTGGAGAGACCCCAAGGTAATATCTCTATGGGAAACAGGATGGAAGGATAGGAGGTCCAGAGGACAGGAGGACTGAATGTCTGGAGGACAAGATGTCTGGAGATACAAGGAACAGGATGTCCAGAGGTCTGGAAGGAATAGGGGCTACATTGGATGAAGTCCAATGTAGAAACAAACAAAGGTAGACTACCCTAAGGTAGAGTTGGAGAGACAGGAATTGGACATAAGTCCAGAAAGAGGGTAAGTGCTGGAAAGGCAAGGCTCTGGCCTAGGGAATCAATCCCTAGGCCTGATGGATAGGACAGAACTTAGGTGGACCAAAGTCCAGGAGAAGATTGGGCAAGTCTAAGTTGATATTCAGACTGAAGACTCTACAAGAGTTGTACAGGGGTTATATACTAGAGGATATATGAGAGGATCAGTAAGCAATGGAGTAAGGCTATGTATGAGCATGTGAAAACATATTAGTAAGTGAGATGGAACATAAGTAAATGAACTCAGAGATAAAACTAGTACAAAGATCAATCAGCAAGACAGAAACAGAGGTAGCTGAGAACCAGAAGGGGGGATATGCCTAAATAGGGTTACGCACAGGATCTCAGACAGAGGGTGGGAATAGGCCTGGAGATCTGGAAGGCAAGGTAGAAACAGGACTGAGATATGTGAGGTAGTGGATGTAGTCTAGAATCTGAGGGAGGTAAAGTCTGGATGTCTTGCTGGACAGAATGTGCATATGGTGGACAGGATAGGGGTGTACAGATCAGGCTAGTAGTGAAGATCCGGAGGTCTGGAGCTCAGGGGTAAATCCATAGCAGGGCTAATCCTGCTGAGGTGTGGAGCACATAGTGGAAGGGGATCTGGGCATGAGTCAGATGTGGGGTCCAGAAATAGGCCTGGAAGGCGTGGGAATATTACAGGATCTAGGTCCAGCATACGGGATATGACAGTATGCAACATGTGAATTTTTCACTACACAAATCACCAAGTATTGAGTGCTGAGACTTGAAACCTGAAACTTGAGAACCAAAAACCAAAAACCAAATCTTGAAGAAATGCATATAACATGAATTTTTTTTATTTCATTACACAATTCACTGAGTGTCAAGTGCTGAAGCCCAAAACCTGAGACTTGACACCTGAAACTCAAAAACTGAACACCACAAACTGAATCTCAAGACTCAAACTGAATCTCAAAAAAATATATATAACACGAAATTTTTTATTTCATTACACAATTTACCAAGTGTCAGGTGCTGAAGCCTGAAACCTGAAACCCAGTACTACTGACTTCTGAGTGTTGGGACTCAGGACTCAGTAGTCAACATAGGCAAATGATAATGAAAAAATGAAAGTTGGTATTATGCTTAACTTTCTTAATGAAGGTTGTTGTCTGAGTCAGGGTGAGTGTATTGGCAGTCTTTTCTTGTCTATCAGGTATCATTTGACCAAGATATATGCTAAAGAAATTTGAAATATTGGGGATAATGAAAAAAATGACAGTTGTAGTCTGAGTCAAGGTGAACATATTGGTAGGTGATATTAGCACTCGGAGCTTGAATACTGACTACCAACTATCAAGTGTTGGGACTCGGTACTTAAATGGATATAGCATGTATCCATAAAAATACAAAAGATGTTCCTATGTGTTTATTTCTAGGTGAATAGACTTTGAAATTATATCCCCATCATCTATTCAGCAATAGAAACAATGTATCAGGAGCTCAGGACCATAGGTTAATCCTTTATTGTATAGTGTACCTCCCCCTCTCCTGGTGGTTCACTCCCTGGGTATTTTTTCCCTGCAGGACCAGACCTCAAGGACAGTAGGGAGTCTATTCCTGAGCATATTTGGAGTAGATATATCATATAGCCAGCCCAGGACACACATGATCCTTCTCCAGGAACAAAGCATAGACAATTGCACTTTTGGCATTTTTCATGATTTTCAGTATCTTGCCCTTGCATTCATGATCCAATCTTTTAATATATAATGAGCATAGCTTATATTCTTGCTTCTTATGACCAAGATCAGCTCACAATAGGCTGGAGTTGTGAGCTAGTGTGTATGCTTGCCATTTCTACTGATAAGGGGCCATACCTTCAAGACATTGAATCTTAATAATCAGAAACCTGGAGTATATTTAAAATATATCAAGTATCATAGACATAAATTTACAGACAAATCCACCAAAAATTGATTGCTGAGGAAGTGGAATAGACAAGAAATTGAGTGTGGGAAACTTCAAAGACCCAAAGCATCGAAATCAGTTGAGCAGTGGTAGGACTTTAATGCTGGGTCAACTCATATTTTCACTACATCCCTTCCACCCACCCCCTACCCTCAGGGCAGTAGGCAGTATGGGTTCCTCAGGTAGTTTACAATCTATCCTACATATTTTTAATGAAATATTTGGCCAGAATCATATATAAATGTGACTTTGTGTAAAAAGATGCCTATTGTCACTTTTCACACATATGTCATTTTTGCCTGTCATTACATTAATCCTTCATGGATCTTTCTAAGCTTTTAGGGCTATTATAATGGACATATATGGGAGTTATTCCAGGTCTCTGATCACATCACAGGCTTGAAATGTTGGATATCTCAACATAATGTGCAAGTCTCACTATTGATGTTCATTCTTTTATCTTTACACTCACTTACTGCAATCACAAACATTTACCATAGTCTTCCATCTCTTGCAGATACATATTATAATGAGTCTATTTGTTCTCAGACTGAGTTTTGCATCTCTTGCAGCCTTCTGTCTGTTGCTACTCGCATCATGTGATGTAAGGTGCTTCAGGGGGTCAAATAAAATTGGGAATTGGATTGACTACTGAGTCCTGACACTCAGTAAGCAGTACATCAATATCAATAACTGAGTCTTTACTACTGAGTACTGATATAACAAACATACAACAAGTCAGAGTGTAATAAAACAGCTCTACTCTATATGGTTCTGCATCTGCCTAGCTGCTTCACCTGCAAAAGCAAGAATGTTTGACCCATGATGGATCTGCAACTAGATGAGTGTTAGTAGTTATGATATCAATAAACATGAAGCTATGCAAAGGTAACCCAAAGGTAGAAATGACAAGTCCAGAGGTAAAAAGTGTTAGCCAGAGTGTGGGAACCTTCAGCTGGAGTGGGAAAGGGAAAGGGAATGGTAAAATGAGGTTTGGAAACTAGGGAAAAGCAAAGGGAATGCAAAGGGACTATGTGTAGACAAGGTATTCACAAAGGAGAGACTATCAAGGGAGTGATAACACAAGGGGAGACAAAGTCTCCGAAATACAGGTCCAGAAAATGAGTAAAAAGATATATTCCAAAGTACACCAAAGTATGAGGAGTATCTAGTGACCAAGACTCTAGAGAGGTAAGGAGAGGTGGTAAATGGTAAGGTATCCTATGCATCTGCACAGTACTTAACTAAGTATGTAGAAATCTGGAATGCTAGTTGAAATTCTGGGTCCAGAAATATGTATGTAATATGCCTGCAAGTGGTGTGGCTCATGGGAATACATGTAAAATCAACTGCAAACTGTTTGGCTGGAGTACCCAACTACTGATTCCTGGGTACTAAGTACTGATTCCCAAGTCTTGAGTACTGACACTCAGTAGGACCACCAATACACTCACATAGACTTGGACTAGAACTTTCATTAAGGAAGTGAAGCATAATAATGATTTTCATTTTTTCATTATTGCTGATGTTTCAGATTTCTTTAGCTTATATCTTGGTCAAATGATAACCAATTGATAAGGAAAGGCTACCAAGACACTCACCTTGACTTGGACTACAACCTTCATTAAGAAAGTTAAGCATAATAACAACTTTCATTTTTTCATTATTATTTGCCTATATTGACTACCAAGTCCTGAGTCCCAACACTTGGAAGTCAGTAGTACCGGGTTTTGGGCTTCAGCACTCAACACTCAGTGAATTGTGTAATGAAATAAAAAAAATTCATGTTATATACATTTTTGTGAGATTTGGTTATTGAGTCTCAAGTTTTGGTTTGCAGTTTTTGGTTTTTGAGTTTCAGGTTTCAGGCTTCATGTTTTGGCACTCAACACTCAGTGAATTGTGCAATGAAATAAAAAAAATTCATATTATATACATTTTTTTGAGATTTGATGTTTGGTTTTTGGTTTTCAAGTTTCAGGTGTCAAGTCTTGAGTTTTGGGCTTTGGGCTTTCACTGCAGGCATTTACCCATTTTCCTCCACCAAACATCCAAAAAACATTGATTGAGAAGATAGAATTTTCTCCTCATTTTGTCTGTCAAAACATTGAAAAAAGTAATTCATGTTTCAATGATGTTCTGTGTGTGGGACATGATGCAAGAATCAATCATGTTTCTTCAAGGATAATGCTGTATTTTCTGTCTATTGTCTTTGAAATAACAGCTTAAAATAATGTTGATTTTTGTCTCCATGTTTGTCAAATGTTCTGTGTATATTTGAAAAACATAGAGAAGAAAATCAACATTATTTTAAGCTGTTATTTAAAAGACAATAGATGGAAAATATAGCATTATCCTTGAAGGAACATGATCAATTTTGGCATCATGTCCCACACACAGGAAGTCATTGAAACATGAATTACTTTTTTTCAATGTTTTGACAGACAAAATGAGAGAAAAATTCTATCTACTCAATCAATGTTCATTGGATGTTTTGTGAAGGAAAATGGGAAAATGCCTGCAGTGTTTGGGTTTCAGGCTTCAGGTTTCAGGTTTCAGCACTCGACACTCAGTGATTTGTTCAGTGAAAAACTCACATGTTGCATACATCTTTGGCACTTTGCACCCAGTGATTCAATAAATGGACTTCAAACTTTTTTGAGTTTTGAGTTTTGAGCTTCAGGTTTTGGGGTTCGTCACTTGAAACTCAGTGATTTATGTAATGGAATAAATTTTTTACATGTTATACACATTTTTGTGAGTTTTGAGTTTTGGGTTTTGGGTGTTTGGGTTTTGTTAAGGTTGTACTCAAGGCTAAATGGATCCAAAGGGCTTCAGCCTCAGCTCATGTGCTGTGCCCCTTACTCGAGTATTGCCCCTTATCTCAGGAAGGCAAGACTAACATGTCCAGAGGGTTGGATGAGTAGCATAGTGGATCTGGATGACTTCCAGATGTGGGATAAGTATCATAAGGCTAATCTGGATGAGTCCAGACTAGAAACTAGCAGTAATGGCTGTCGTAGACAGAAGCAGATGCGGATAGACTATAGGAATCAATCCTAAGTCTTGGAGGGTGACAAGAATAGCGGTACTCAGGTTTGGAGGATGGGAATGAGCAGAACTAAGTTGATATTTGAACTGAAGTGTTACAGATATTTACAGGAGGTTATATACTATAGGTATCTAACAGAATGATCAATCAGCAGGGTCTGAGGCTATGTACAAAGCATATGGATGGTCTATTGGTAAGTAGAAATGGATCACAAATAATGAAACAGAAATGAAGCATAGGTAATGGATCAGGGAGCAGGATGGATATACAGATAACTGAAATACCAGAGTTAGGGGATTACTGAAAGGAGACAAGCACTGGTTGTGGATTCAGATGAATTGTGGACCGGACCAGACAAGTGGAACAGATTGGATGACGAGATGTTGGAGGGAGATAAGATGTGGGTAGGATTGGAGATAAGATGTGGATCAAATCTGAGATCCGGATATGCGGATATGACAGGTTTTGGGTGTTCAGGTTTTGAGACTCAGTGATTTATGGTGAATGAAAAATGGATATGTTGCACACTGGGTTTCAGTTTTCAGGCTTTTGGGCTTCAATACTTGGTGATTGGTGAATGTCAGACATGGTGTATTCAGGTTTTCAGGCCTCAGGCTTTGGTGGTTGATGGTAGGTATATGTACTCCATGTGCTTGATTCTCTGGTGCCTACATCAGCACACTGATTTGTATGTTATCCAACTATCTCAGCCCAGTTATGTTTATTGCACTCGTTTACCTGGGCCCACCCAAAATGAAACTTTGGGTGTCAGCATTTGGTACTTGGCATGGTGAAGAGTTTCAAGTTTCAATGTTTGAGTTTTGGGTTTCGGTACTTGGTACTCAGTGATTCGAGACTTGAAACTTGTAAAAATGTATGAGTTTCAAGTTTCAATGTTTGATGTTCTAGTTTTGGGTGTTGGGTGTTGGGTTTCAGTACTCAATACTTGGTACTTGGTGATTCAAGACTCAAAACTTATAAAAATGTATAAGTTTTGAGTTTCAAAGTTTGTTTCGATGTTTGAGTTTCAGGTTTCAGGTGTTGGGTTTCGGTACTTGGTGAATGTCAGACATGGTGTATTCAGGCTTTTGGGTTTTGGGTTTCTGTGGTTGATGGTAGGTATATGCACTCATATAGGGGTATTATACCAATACCTTGGCCCATATGTCTAAATGATATGTATCTGGGCCCACCTGTCTATGTAATATACAGTAAGCAACAAAACTGTTGCAATGTTTGTATGGGATTGATTACTCTGGCTATATCATTACAGGGATGGCAGCTATGAAAATGTGAATGAGAGCAATACTGTAGCCCTACATCCAGGCTACAATAGTTGTACTACATTGGAGATGTGAAAATATTTCCTTAAAAGGATATAAGCAATTTACTACATGGTATAACATTATAAGACATACTCAATAACATAACTGATGTCTATTGATAGGATTTTGATATTTAAAAATATCAGCAACAAAACCATTGCAATGCATACCATGTAGTAAATTGCTTATATCCTTTTAAGGAAATATTTTCACATCTCCAATGTAGTACAACTATTGTAGCCTGGATGTAGGGCTACAGTATTGCTCTCATTCACATTTTCATAGCTGCCATCCCTGTAATGATATAGCCAGAGTAATCAATCTCATACAAACATTGCAACAGTTTTGTTGCTTACTGTACCCCTATGTTAGCCTACATGTCTATATAATAAATATTTCACCACCCCATTGGCCTACCCATCTACCCAATATACCCCTATGTCAGCCCACCTGTATATATAATAAATATTTCACTGCCCCATTGGCCCACCTGTCTATATAATAATATCTGCCATACATCTCTCTTCAGCCCAGCTGTCTATAATATATGTCTATCCTACTCTACATATTACCCAGATGGGCCCACCCATCTCCATCAGTAATAATATTTCTCCCAGCCCATCTGCCATCATCAAGGATATTTATAACATTGGCATAGATGGGCCTACCCATCCCCATCAGAAATAATATCCCTCCTGGCCCACCTGTCAACATCGAGGATATACATAACATCAGCCCATAGTCTGCTGGCCCATCTTATATGGGATATTATGTAGGTTGGGTGACCTGTATAATATGGAGTTTGTCACTGAAGGGGCTCAATACTTGAGGAGTATAATGAAATATGGCCATTGTGGGAGTTCCTCTGGCCTGATCTTGATGTAGAAAAGGATGTTCCAATTACATTTGTGATGGGCATGGAACTACACAGAGCACTTGCCAAATGTTGTGTGGTGGGTCCTCTAGCTTCTGATATTACCTTGCTGCTGATACCCCACACTAGCAAATAAAATGCTTTTTGTTATGGAAAACATGACAGATGGTAAAGCAGGAGTTCCACCAGACTGGTGTAAGGCCTACAGACTATTGGACCTACTGGGGGGCATAATACTGAGTACTGAGTGCTTACCTGCAATTGGAACAATGTCAGGCATTCAAACAAAGACAGTGCAAATCAACATGAGAAAGCAAGAGTGTGTGTGCTTATTGTATCTGATAATGTGTTCAGCTTGGACTCCTGCATTCAAGGATCAAAGATTATCCAGACTGCAGATAGGTCTGGATACTGAGTACTGAGTGCTTACCTGTAATTGGAACAATGTCTGGCATATGAATGAAGATGATGTTGGCAAACCAGTGTGAGAAGACAAGTGTGTTTGCTTATGTTTGTTGTATCTGAGAATGTGTTCAATGAATGCTTGAACTCCTGACTCCTGAGTCAACAATTCTCCAGGCCGCAGATGGATCTTTAGTCTGGATGGATAAAAGGCGAGTGTCTTGACACATGTATCCATATCCATACCTCACAACTTTGTTCACACAAGCAGCACTTCAAGTATCAAACATGTCCTCAGTTCATGTGGAGACCTTCACTGAAACTAAGGACACATTAGGTATGTCCTATATCTACATTCATCTTGCTGTACTGACCAAATTTGATTATACTAGAGGTTGTCATGACTTTGCTGTCAATGCTTTGTCTCTCCTCTGCTGACTGTGTGAATCTAGCCTCTAACCTTCTCTTCAGAAACCCCAATGAAGGTGGTACTTTGCACACCATAGATTCACAAACAGTGTCTTCCACCAGCAGTTCTCCTATCAGCAGTGATGAGGAACAAGAGACTACCACCAAAAGTAGCTTGCCTACCACCACTAGCACTGCCTCCATGCCTACCAGCATGGTCTCTACTGCTGCTGCCACTGCCATTATGTCTACTATCACTGTCACTGTAGATACAGCCAATGGCTATGCTGAAGTTGATGCAGCTATTGCTGTAGACAGTGTCCTCAGTGTGTACATGGGCATTTACTTTAATGTCCCCATGGACAATAAAACTGGGGTGACCATCTACTATATCACAAGAGGCTGAAAGATCGGGGTGTTCTATGGATGGTATGCATGTTGATTCCCCTCCAATGATGAGCTTGACTTACTAATTGACCACTGACAGGAACAATGTTGGTTCATGGGTCCAAGGTGTCAGTTGCACTCTCTATGGTAAGGTGGACTCTGTGGATGAGGGTATTGATATCATCAAGTCTGTGATTGAGACTGGTGTTACTGTGAGGGTATGATGTATTATCTAGCATGTATCTAGTGTAGCAACCATGAACCAAAATTTGTTTGAGTTTCACAATCTTGATATGGGGTCTAAGACTACAGCACCTGGTTCAACAATCTACAATTATTCATTGCCAGACAAGCTTCTCCTCATAGAGAGCTTGATCAAATACCTCCTGCCCTTGGTTCATCAAAGAAATGATCTGTTCTTTGGCCACAAGCCACAGCTGTGTCCAGCAAAGAAGTTCAGTGCATTCAGTTTGGAGTTGATCTGAGTATGGACCCTTAAGATTGGTGATGGAGTGAATGAGTACTTCAACATCCTTGACCAAATCCCATGCTTCCAACAATTCCTTCTCACAAATAGGTCTGACTATATCCTACCCTCAGACATTGATGTCCTGTAGTACTTCAATAACATGCTCCTGACATCCCATGTTGGTTTGGCTGCCTGTGTATGTACTAGCCCACAGAAAATCCAGACTCTTGAAGGAATTTAGTGTAGCCTGTAGAGTAATTGGTAACCTACCATGAGCACACAGTGAGCAGATAAACACACCTCATTAGTGCCCCCTTTCACCATCTTCAGCAAGACTTCATATGCTCTCGTCCTAAATGACTGGCTTATGTTAGTGCACAAGAGTATTGGTGGGAACAGCTTGAAGGTACTCACCAAAAATAGTGCCAATCTTTTGATTCTTTGCATGCTCTCTGACACTCCAGTGACAACTTGTGTTTGCATCCTATACTACTTCAGAGTGAGACCAAGTTAGAGCAACTTCAGGACAGTTATGTGTCAAACACTACTACAACACTTTAAACTTTGGGACAATTTGATCCTAAAATAACCTTGCACCTCCTGAACCCAAGCATGACATGATTTGAAGTGAAATAGAACTTACTAACCGATGGCAAAAAAATTCACTGTTTGTGCAACCTTCAGTATACCAACCTCTCTATAGCCTAGACTTATCTGCAGAATCAGATGGTACCACAAAGCAAATATTCTCCTGAGCAGATTGCATTCATGCAAACCTACCATGATAAATTCCTCAAGTATAAAGCAAATAAAAACTACAAACTGTTCTGGTCTCCATTCTGTGAGGAATGGTCTAAGGCCTTCCCAGAATGACTTCAAGTCTTCAAGCATATTCCCCTTGATGAGGTGTTGTCTGAGGAGCAACATGCAATCATGGCAGAATCCTGGAGATTGCACCAACAGGTGTGTTCATTAATGTTTATTATCCCATTAGACAATCAAAGACTTACCTTACTATCACAAGCACTTGGTGGAGAAATTCCATAATGACCTAGGTGGTTTGAAGGCTAGTTGAGTCGCAAATGCTGTGCATACCATGACTGTGAACAAAATGCTGGGCCACATAATGAAGAAAGGTTCTGCTGAAAGGAACTCTTGTGTCTTGAAGCCATAAGAGATGTACTCGAAGATTCACTACCAAGACAAGGTTAAGGATGCTGTCATAGCCAAACAGCATTTATCTTCTAAGCCAGACAAGAAATCTTTGCTTAGTGTCATCAAGCAACAGACTAAGCAAGCCTTTGAGGAAGAATCCAAGGAAGTTAGAGACAAGGTCTTTGCAGCTGTGGAAGCAATGAAAGAGAAGAAGTGTGCTGAGATGCAGGGGGCAGGGGGGCAGGGCAAGTCAGATGTGAACAAGGAAGTGTAAGTTGTGCAGTCTTCTTGTGTGCACTGCCTTGGCCTTCAAGTTGCTGACCCTAGATGACACAGTGATATATCCAAAATCACATCAATTCTCACTTAATTCTTTGCGGAACTGCATGAAATGACTGATTGGGTGTTCACAATCTTGATGGGTGGTCCTGACCCTGCCATGGGAGGTGTTTTAGATATTAGCAGCTTCCACATCAGTGCAACAAAAAACAACAATTGGTTCAGCCAGACATACCCTGACTTTACACAGAGCATTATGGCTCCTTATACTCAGTTTGTAGAGTGTGTATTTTGTGAGTTGCTTTAAGCTGGATTTTGTCACAGTCTAAGATTCTAATGGTTGATTTCACTAGCCAAAGCAGCATTGCTCACCAGGGCAAAACACTCAATACCATCCACTAGTGTATCAGGACCAGTTTCTGGCATGTCTGCATTACCTCCGCAAATGCTTAATACTGCCAACCACGTGCTCTCCTTTGAAGAAGATTTCACTTACAAAAATGATGACACTCTGGGAGGGATCACTGCTGATACATCACCTATCATTTCTGGGCCTGCATTACCAGTGCATCATGCACTCAATACAGCCAGTCAGATGCCCTTGTTCAAACAAGATTTCACCTTTAACCAAAATGATTACCTTTCTGAAGCTGCTACACCCCAGATTCAGGAGCACAATCCCTTAGACATGAACTTTTTCCCTGACTTCCCCCCAAAACCAGTTGAGACAGCTGAGGACATTGAATTAATGCAACCACTGTCAGTATTACTCCCTGCACCTCATAAATCTCCCGATAAAGCTTATTCCCTCCTTGAAGGCCCAGCTTTGGAACCATCAATTGAACATCCTCAATTCAACTATGGTCTATCATCACCACCTCAGATTCACCATTAGTTCCAGAATTTGGGTGATTTTGAGAGAACCACTAACCATGAGTATGTCTTTGACACTGTCCTAGAAAAGACTGCACTGCTTCCTCTGCTTCCTTTGGCATCAGCTTCTTTTCCTGCACAGTCCATGCCACCTTTTGCTCCTCTACCAGCAATGAATACTCCAGAAAAAGAGGGCAGGCCATCAAAACATCAAAAGACAAATCACCCTGCTGCTGAGGGAGTCGAGATTGGCCATCAGTTTCAGAATTTGGGTGGCTTTGAAACAACCACCAACCAAAAGTATGTCTTCAATTCCATCCCAGAAAAGACTGTGCTGCTTCCCCCACTTCCTTTGGCATCAGCTTCCTTTCTTGTACAGTCCACGCCACCTGTCATTCCTCCCCCAGTAACGAATGCTCCAGAACAAGAGGGTAGGCCATTGAAACATCAGAAGAAAAATCACCCTGCTGCTGAGGGAGCCACCAGGCTTAGTCCAGTGGTTGAGTCCAGTGGTTGAGGAAGGTTGAGGAAAACACCAGTAGTTCCAATTCAAATGCACTGCAGCAGCCAACAATATTGGCCAAGTCTGTGGTTCACACAAGGGCAAGTAGTGATCCCTGAAAATGACATGTTTATTATCATCTTGTAAATAATTTGGTCTTTGTGAAATGTGTCTAAAATATAGCTTGACTGTGACAAGTTTAAATGTGTATGAATTCAAGTGATTAAAAGGGGAGGGTGATCAACAACAATTTCAAGTGCCTGGAATGAGAGCATTGCAGCAACACAGGGAACTCATTGATCATCAGGTGCTTGAGTCCAGGGTTGTGACAATCCTAAATCCACCCACTCAAGTTCTTTGCTGCTATAATCTTCTCAATTATAGGAGGCTCTGAGAAAGGGTGAGGGTGACAGATTGAATGAGGCAACATTGATATCATTGTTAGGGATGTCATACATGTAGTTCACATAGCATACCTGGGTGCCTGGAGTTTTGTTAGTTATAATTGGCAGAACTAAATTGAGGTAGTTTTGCCCACAGTGCAGTTAGACATGACTACTATCCCTTCCACTGCAATCAGCACCCACAGACACCTGGCCTTCCCAATAAGTAGCTTTACTAATACAGGACAAATATGTGTGCCATCAATTACTAGAATAGTCATTTGCACTAAAACATTAACACCAGCCATAACCCTTGCCCCAAATCCTGCGCATCCTTAGATATATCTACATACAAGCCTCGGGGAAACTAGGTAGGTTCCGTTCCATGTACATTCCACCCTGATGCTAATTCGGCTGTTCCCATTTTGTCACTAAACCATCCACTCCACTATATTAACTGTTCCCACAACTTTCCTTCCTCTCCCTCATCGTCATCTGTGATGCCAAGGCTGTCAGTGACATGTAGGCTTGGTTCTGGACATCGCCCTTGTGTCATATCCACATATCCGGATCTCAGATCTGATCCTTATCTCATCTCAGATTTGATCCACATCTTATCTCTGATCCTACCCACATCTTATCTCCCTCCAACATCTCATCATCCAATCTGTTCCACTCGTCCAGTCCGGTCCACAATTCATCTGAATCCACAACCAGTGCTTGTCTCCTTTCAGTAATCCCCTAACTCTGGTATTTCAGTTATCTGTATATCCATCCTGCTCCCTGATCCATTACCTATGCTTCATTTCCATTTCATTATTTGTGATCTATTTCTACTTACCAATAGACCATCCATATGCTTTGTACATAGCCTCAGACCCTGCTGATTGATCATTCTGTTAGATACCTATAGTATATAACCTCCTGTAACTCTCTGTAGTACCTCAGTTCAAATATCATCTTAGTTCTACTCATTCCTGTCCTCTGGACTTGAGTATCTCTACTCTCGTCATGCTCCGAGACTTAGGATTGATTCCTATAGTCTATCCATATCCACCTCTGTCTCTGACAGTCCATTACTGTTAGTTTCTAGTCTGGACTCATCTGGATTAGCCCTACGATACTTATCCCTCATCCGGAAGTCATCCAGATCTGCTACGCTACTCGTCCGACCTTCTGGATGCATTAGCCTTGCCTCCCTGAAATAAGAGGCAATACTTGGGTAAGGGGCACAGTGCATGAGCTGAGGCCAAAGCCATTTGGATTCAGTTATCCCTTGAGTACAACCTTAATACCTTGACGAAATCAACAGTTCTAGTGCTCATCTCCCTTTGTTTGTCACCCCTTGTCGGTGACTCTGGTGTTGGCAAGGTACATTGCTGCCATGTCTACTAATACCAAGTACCTACTAACTGATGACCTGATGTCATTCAACAGTCTCTCCTCCTCCTCTGTTTCGCAGATGACACACACACTGAGAGTTATAGCACTGTTTGGTGTTAGGTATGTTGCTGCCATTCCTACCAATAGCAAGTACCTACTGACTGTTGTTCAACAGTCTCTCCTCCTCCTCCATTTCACAGACGACACGTACACTGAGAGTTATGGCACTGTTTGGTGTTAGGTACATTGACATACCTTCTACCTTGCTTTAGGAACATCCCCCTTTTGTTAATTTCATAATTTTATCTGGCAGGGCTCTCCTTGTCACTAAACCTTCCACCCTGCTATATGGAACTGTTCCCACAGCCTTCCCTCCTCCCTCATCACCATCTCACATATTCAGGCCGTCAGCCTTCTCGCAATATTGTACTCCAAGGCAAGATGGTCTTGCAATATCATACTGGCGAACAACTTGGATTGAATGAGAACAGCAGCGAAGTGAAAAGGAGTTTGTAGCAATATATGTATTCAAAGTGTTTGCAATATCATACTGGTGAACTACTTGGATTGATGTCAAAATCAAAGTTTGTAAGCGAGGGATCAAGATTATCTGTATGTGTCATGATATCAGGTACTGGCAGAAGCAGTTGCTGTTGAAGGAGCCAAAGTAGATGCAGAGGGAGACAAAGACAAAGGTGCCAAAGTAGACATAGAGGGCTGGACAGAAGAAGGTGAAGGCAAAGGTGCCGAAGTAGACACAGAGGGTTGGACAGAAGAGGGCGAAGGCGCTGAAGTGCCTGTGTGTGGTGCATTGACCTCTTCATCACTACTCTCAATAGTGTCTAGGCTTTTGTATACCTTCTTGTGACGAGGAATGGAAGGTTCCTCTGCTAGTTGGACGCATTTTTTCCCCTTGTCTGAGCAAGGCCAATGGGAGGACTCAACTATCTCTCCAGTATCAACCTTCTTGTTGTGCTCTTGAAGGAGCCACTGATATTCATCCTTGTTGAGGAGTCTCCATGAAATCAGCTTGTTCTTCCACATGTCATGGAGCATCTGCAGCTCAGGAAGGGAAGTAGAAACTTCGCTAAGATTTTTGAATGGGATGTGGGTGGGCCAACCTTCACAGATGATGTGATAATGTTGGACAATGTTGCACCAGTAGTTCACCTACTGCATTGTTGCCTTGGGTACCTTAGTGATTTCCTCTAAAGCAAATATAGGCATGATCTGATGGATCTGAATTTTTTTTAAAACATATGAAGTGCACAATTGATTTGTTGTCTTATTAATGCCCACTTCTCCAAACAGCAGTCCTTGTAATTGTGAGCAGCACCTGCCCAAATAATTTAAGTATGGTATGATGAAATAGCAATACCGATGAACTCACCTCACATGCCTTGGATAGCAAAACCTTCCATCTTGCTGACGAGGTGCTGGTCATCAATATTCATTACCAATGCCATGAAATCATTGACACCTTCAGTGGCAAATATTATACCACATAGTGGGATGTTAGTAGAGCCCCACACTGTGTAAAGAATTGTTTCAGTGCTGGTGCGACACTTAAGACTATTCAACTAAGTTTACATCAGCCACTGTATAGACTCAATAGCACAAAAAAGCACCTTGTTCTCAATAGCCTTCAGTGTTTGGGTGACATCGTTAATCTTGGACTTCATTGAGATTCTAATACCTTTGGACTTGAGAAGCTTATTCTCCTCATATTCTTCAACAAGATGATCTTTTTCATCCTGAGAGAGCTCACAATATTTGTCGGAGTAGTTATGTAGAAGATCTTACAGTACACCTTTTCCGGAGCTAGTTTGAGCTAATTATGCTGTCAGTACTCAAGCAAAGCAAGAAATGCATCATACCATTGTCATCCTTCGCCTCCTGATTTTTCTTCCAGCAAAATGCATTCCAGGCATTCAACTTCAAATGCTTGAAGCGCAGCCCTCCATGGCCCATATACAAGTCGTTTGTGACACATTGGATACTCTTGTGGTGAGACGAGGCAATTGTCTTCACCGTTTCATCAATATGGAGCCAAGCATCATTGAGTGCTGTCTTGAAACCCTTAGATTTTTGGCGATGCTGGGAGGTGAGAAGAGCTCTAGCTTCCTTGCTGAGGATGACCTTCAGATGGCACTGAGATAAACCTTGTGAACAGTGACTCATTGTCTTGTTATGAGGCATGACTTCACACTGAAAACAAAACAATTCATTATAAGCCACTTTATATACTTCAGAGAGCCTGAGAAACAAAATAAGGACATGAAAGTCAATCAACAAACTAACGCAGATCTACATTAACAGTTGAAGATCAAAGCACCCTAGAACTTCAGGTGTGTGCACTTATGAAAGGACAAGGGGCACCATGATCTAGAAAAATAAAACAAGACTAAAAAAACAGAGTGTGCAAATTAAGACAAGTGTGCCAAGCACCTTGAGAATCACAGATAGTAGCATCAAAGTCTGGGGGCATGCATACAATTCAGTTTCATTAAATAAATACTTTGATCTTCATACCTTTTTGATGCTGCCTAATGGAGCGCCACTCAGGTCCACATGGAGGGCCTTCATCAAATTAGCTGCCTGTTCATAAGTGAGATCCCATTTGGGGGACCTTAAGACTACTTCCCACCAGCTACTGCACACGGTAACAATGAGGTTGCAAAGTTTCAAGATTGCTTCATCACCAATTTTGAAGTGATCAAGCATAGCATCAGTATTTGGACTGATGCTAAGCAGGGGAGCGAAAACCTTAGGGTCCAGTACAGCGTTTGTCCCAGACAACAAGAAAGCATCAGCATTTCAATACTGTTTTATCTTGGGGCTTCCAACAGAGCCTGAAGAAGCCAAGGCTGTGGCATGCTTCACAGCCACTGACTTCAGGTTTGGTGGCATGGGTGACTTGGATGAAGCAGCAATAATGAAGTCATGCTGAAACTGTGTGGGAGAGCGAGCTGAACACTGAATTCAAGCCCCAGTAGGGCACAATGGTGCAGGTAACAACAGGGATCCAGTTGGGTTCACTGGAGTTGCAGGATCTGTAGTAGTTGAATATGTCAGAAGCAGATAAAAAAACGAATCCAAACATACATTGGTTGGGAGGTGTGATATTTTCTATACTGCAATGCTCCATAAAATGCCTAAGATGGGGCATCACAAACTCCTCACAGAATGCCTGGATGAGAACAGAGACATCTCCACCAATTTGATCAGGCACCTCACGCAGTTCTTGTGGAGTGATGTAAAGGTCTACCACAGTACAATCAGGAGTGTTCCAGACTTAGGTCCACCTCCTGTCCCTCTGACTCTACCTTAGGGTAGTCTACCTCTGTTTGCTTCTACATTGGACTTTGTCCAATGTAGCCCCTATTCCTTCCAGACCTCCTGTCCCTCATACCTCTGGGCATCCTGTCCTTTGGATGTTCCACCCTCCATACCTTTGGACATTCTGTCCTCCATACCTCCATGTCCTGTCCTCCATACCTCTGTACCTCCTGTCCTCCGTACCTCCAGACCTCCTGTCCTCCATACCTCCAGACCTCCTGTCCTCCATACCTCCGGACCTCCTGTCCTCCATACTCCAGACCTCCAGACATCCTACCCTTCCATCCCATTTCCTGTAGAAGTACTACCTTGTAGTGGGAACTCTCCTGAGCACTTCCTGCATTCCTCTGGAACTCTCCCGCGCTCCTCTGGACTTTGTTGGACCATCATCGGACTTCCTCTGAAATGAAGGGCACATACTTGGGTAAGGGGCACAGCATATGAGCTGAGGCCAAGCCTCTCTGAGTCAGTCTCTCTCTCCTTTGAGCATGGTTCTTAACACAGGCATGAAATGTGGGGGACAATAGCTCAACTCATTCATGCTTGAATTATCTGTAGAGCGCAGTTTTGAATGAGTAGTTGTACACCTTGTAGCGGTTGAGGTGGGATGCAAAGACTGAGTAAAGCATTACTTGTAGCAGCACCTATCTTGATATCTAGTAAAGTCAAAAGCAGCTATCTTAATGAAAGTTGTCTATGTACAACATACCTGAATCTGGATACACAATCCTAGAATATATATATGCTGTGTCCATTGTTCCAGTTCATAGACTGATGCTGATAGTGGTGAAGGTGAAACTGAGGATTTCACTGCCAGTCTGGTTCATAGACTGATGCTGATAGAGGTGAAAGTGTAATTGTATTCGAAACATCGAGTCTACTAATCTACAATGGTTGATATATAATCTGCAATGGCCTGGGTAGTCTGTATTTGTTCCTTGTGCTCCATAAGGTCTGTAGCATGCCCCAAAGCGATGTCATTGACAATATCATGATCTGGGGAGTGATCAATTTGACGTCATAAATATATTCAACACCTGAAAGACGAACACACCAGTGGCAGATTGATGGTTCAAACACTCTACTGCACCAGACTCATTCTCTACCAAGGAGCCAATCCATTGTCCATGACCTTGAATACCTGAGAATCCAGGTTGCACCTCAATCTCATCTAGCCAGAATAAATGTACTGAATTAACTGCAGAATGCAGTTTCCAGTGCTTCTGCAGCTCCCAACCCAGCAGAGGATTTGAGTCAAGGATTTTATTGATGGTTGTAGATATCTGTGCACCTTCATCATGAATGGCAGTCTGCAGATGATGAACTTCAATGTTGAGATGCTCAACTTCTTCATATGCATGGCGAAGCTTGAAGAATTTGACTGAGCCTTCTCGATGCGTAGGCTTGGCCCAGTCAAGTTCATGCATGTCAGTGCGTGAATATCAGAGAACATCAAACTCGCCCAGGAAACTATAATCAGCTATGTCCTTCCATGATAAGCATGGTCGGGAAGGATTAAGGGCAGTAGCTTGCACATTATACTTGTTGATGGCATTCTGAATTGCATCTGAACGTCTCTGCAATGCCTTTCTGATTTGTTGCCATAATTTGTACCCTGCTAATGGTGATCAGCTTCCGTTGAACACAACACCATTTGCTTACCCATTTCTGAAAGTGAGAGTTTGGATAGTTCGAATAATTGCATGACCATGAGACGCTCCAATTCATCGAGAGCTACACAATACTTCTGGAGCGATACCTCATCCTTGTACTTGTTGTATTCATTGCCTCCAACTGTCCATCACTCTTTGATTGTGAGCTGACTCTCGATATGAGCAGTGAAAGCTTCAGCATGCTGGAGTTTAGTGTAAGCAGTGTCGACATGAATTTGGGCTTGACTAAGAATGGCATTAATTTGATGTATGTCACCAACAGGGACACCTGTCAGTGCCTGATTGGCAGCCTCTCGAGCCTTGTTCCATTCTAACCTTTTATGAACTAAGTGAGGGAGGAAGAACATGCAATGCCAACCAGTCAAACTCACTGCCATTGTCCTGCATGATTTGGGAATCATGCATGGACATGACTACTAGGTAGCCCCCCTAAAAGACAAAGTCTGTTAGCTTAGGCATCAGGCTAGTCAACCCATACCTTGGTTTCAAACCTTGGTCATATAGTTCAGTTTCCCCTCTGTGATTCATGAATTTATTATATCTTGAAGAAAAGTCATTTGTGAGATGGGAATCACATAATGACCTAGTTGATATTGTGAAGCAAGAAGGTTAAGGTATTGCCTTGCCTTTGGCTTATTCACTTTGGCTAGATAAAACCATAGAGAAAAGTTCAAAACCTAACAAAAACCTATCTAAAAAGCCTGTGTTTTGTGTCTTGTTATTGTATTATTATTTCTGAGTTGTTTTCTCTAGTATTTCCTTGATTTATTTTTCTATTGGGATGCTCTGACCCATCAGATACTTCACACAATTGTACCTACAGGGTATGATGTCATAATGATGTCATATGGCTCCACAGATACTCCTGCAAGTATTCTGTTGAAAGTTATGATGTCATGATGATGTCATGATAATGTCATTTGTTCTGGAATGTTCTGCTCCACTTGCTAGAATGTTCTGCTCCACAATGACTCACCTCTGATGTCATTACTCCACCTATGGAATATTCTGGAATGTTCTGCTCCACTTTCTGGAATGTTCTGTTCCACTTCTGATGTCATTGCTCCGCTTTTTTACTTACATAATATTCCCACACAAAATGTATATAAGGAGGGCCCATTCTCCCCCAAAAAAAATAGGATCTCCCACTTGCAATCATTTGAATCTCAGTTTGAGCTACTCACTGTGAGGATTGTTGCTTACAAAGAAAGCCCCTTTGAAGTACCAAGTGCAGGGAAAAGACATTCCCTTGAGATTACATAAGTTTCTTACAATAGAAACTTAGTTTATTTGAGACCAGCTTCTCACCTAGTTTCTGATATTGACCAACATGAGCTTTGGTCAATCTGTTCATTTGTGAGACCCACTTCTCACCTAGTTATCTGATATTGACTAACATGAGCTTTGGTCAATCTGTTCATTTGTGAGACCAGTTTCTCACCACTTTGTGCCTATTTGACCAACCAGTCTTTGGTCAATGTATTTGTATTTGAGACCGTAGTCTCTACAGAGGATTATCTTAACGAGGAACCACATTCCAGTGTCTAGATGGTTTATCCTAGACAAGTTTATAAGTTGGGATATAACACAAAAGCTCTGGCTAAGTTAATCACATAGATTGGTTTAGCGAGCCTCCCAAGAACTCGCACATTATCTACCACGAAAGAAGAAAAGTCATAGACTGTGTTAATCGAGGACTGGAAAGAAGTCTTATCCTAGTGTAATTGTGGTGTCATTACATTTTACATGCATTTATATAAGACCCTTGGTTATTAAGACAGCAAGAACACTTGCCAATGCATATCTGAATCCAGGTATGACCCTACTTTTCATCCAGCACCAGCTCTAAATTCCATCGGTGTTGGTTACAATCAACTTTGATACAGTTAGGTATTCAGAATCACTGCAGATGATGAAAACTGGCCTCAACCTTGGGCATGAAGAATTGCTTCTTGCCCAATTCCTGCCAGATCAGAACATCATACTTGAATGGCCTGCAGTTGTCCTAGACAAATTTGGTGTCATTGTCCTGTGGTATCTCCCAGGAGCAATTGATCCGGCAATCCAGGTTGGTTTATACCACTCCCCTAACATCTTTGCTGACTGTTTTAGAATGATATGATAGTGATGACCTTGATGATGTCAGGTCCACTGGGTATGAGTGTCACCCATGGTGGAGTGGCCAACAAGAAATAGTGCACACATGAGTCCAATTTTCAAAGCAGTCAACAAGGTCATACCCCAGGATGCATTAATCTCTCTCCAGGATGGTTTTTACAAGCTCATCCAGTGAGTTGGCACTTGACAGCATCACACAGCAGCCTTATTTCTTCATAGGCTCTGAAGTTTCATCCCAAAGTATCAGTGACCCTCAGAGTGTGTGGTTCATCTTTATGCTAGGCGATGCAGAGACCAGCAGCTCTTATTGCTGCTGCATTGAGAGTTATGCACCCCAGCATATATTGGTCATCATTGACAATGAAGCTGGGACTTGGTCTATGGGCAGACAATAATCAATTGGAGGAAATGGGAAATCACCTGCAAGAATGGGTGTCTGTGTTTACAGCCCTTGCTGTCATGTGCAACCGGCATTCACCCTTGCACCATGATACTCTGTCCTGAGCTCAGTGGTTTGATGTCATGACCAGTGTCAGCAATTATTCACCAGCACAAATGCAGATGCCCAATATTGGTGTTGAAATCACCTATAATTCAGGTGTTATGGCAGGTGCTTCAGGCAGAATTGTTAGGCATGGGATGGATAAGGTGAATGGTGATCAAGTAGGCTGGGTGTGGTACATGAGGGATGATATTCATCAATTTGTAGATAAACAAGTCAATAGTTCCAAATGCATTGTACTGTGATAAGTGGGCTGGTCACCTTTCATCTGTGCTGCTCCTTCTGGCAGCTTGTATTCAGGCATGGGCAGTTGACCTCAGCAGTAATTGCAATGATTGTGCTGAGGCTCGCCATTAATATTCTGTATCAGTGGGCCTCCCTCACCTGTATCTATTCATTGGCTATGCAGGATGTTGGATGGGTGCACACATGCATCTGTTATTTCGCAAACCAATCTGTGGGCCCACCCATCTATCCCTATTAATATTTGTTGTCAGCAATCCCAACTTGTGTCATCATCTTCATCAGTGCCACTGGACACTGGATGCTGGACACCAGATGCCAGACCTATCATCATGTACTGGCAATTTTACCAACCAACATATGGGCCCACCCTTCACTGTTGGATACCATCTCACAGTATTAGGCTATATGTCATATCCTGTATGCCAGACATAGATCCCATCATATTCCCACACTTTCCGGACTTATTTCCGGACCCCATATCCAACTCATTCCTGGATCCCCTATCCTGTCCTCCATACTTCTGGACATTCTGTCCTCCTGTCCTCCTGTCCTCCAGACCTCCGGACATCCTACCCTTCCATCCCATTTCCTGTAGAAGTACTACCTTGCAGTGGGAACTCTCCTGAGCACTTCCTGCATTCCTCTGGAACTCTCCTGCGCTCCTCCAGATGTTTCCCATGCTCCTCCAGAAGTCCTCTAGCACTCTCCACCAGAGTGGCCAGCCTCTGGAAGTCCTCTGGACTTTGTTAGACCATCATTGGACTTCCTCTGAAATGAAGGGCACATACTCGGGTAAGGGGCACAGTGTACAAGCTGAGGCCAAGCCCCTCTGAGTCAGTCTCTCTCTCCCTTGAGCATGGTTCTTAACACTATATATCATAACACTACTATCCTATACATTATAGTACCTTTGAAATGTGTAAACTGTGAGCCCATTCATTAGCCTTGGAGCCTGTCTACCTCTGGCCCACCCAATATATTAGGGGCATAATTCCACATGGGCCTGTCCCTTATATGAGAGGTATATTGTAATGTGGGCCCATGATGGGCTGGCCCAACACCTGTGGAGGAATGTCAACTTGGGCTGTCCAATAAGTGTGGGGATAAGTCACTGTATTATGTGGCCTTCCATTCCTCCTCAACAATGTGTGACTTGGGTCAAAAGGGACACTAAAGATTTACTCAAGGGTGGTTTGTTTTTACAGTTCAGAATAGACCAAAATGTAAGTGACCTTGTACTAATCGCAACCTTACTCACAACAAAATCAACAGGGCAAAATGAGGAATTTGGCCTATCCTGCCCTCCATGATACCTGCATAGCCTTTTTTTACACAGGGCCTTACCAGATCACACGGAGGCAGCCAGAGAAGTTCCACATGCAATTACCCATAATTACCCATATCATGTTTGGCTTTAGTTGCCACAGTGGTAATGTGTTCTCTCCCCAATGTTGTGCTCATGTGTTGATTTTTCCTCTACAGTTCCACTGCATTTTTGATGGTCTTGAGAAGAACAGGAATGGTAAATGTTATCCCAACTTTTCCTCAAAGGAATACTCTCCCATCTACTACAAAATGATCCAAATTATCGATGATACCCTCAAGGATGAATATCATGGCCCTAGATTGTTAGCACAACTTCAAGAATGGACAGAAGCTGGATGGTGAGTTATTTTTGTGCCAAAAACTTTAAATTGATTTCATTCATACAGGGCTGAAAATATCAAGCTCAATGGTGGTGCAGCAGAGGCGAAACACAATGATCTCCAGGTCATCCTGGACTAACTCTTTGTATTCCACATCTGAATTGCAGTTCTCTGCTACTCTTAGTTGTACTCCATACTGTTTCTCTTGATCTGTTGCATCTGCTACTAGTATTACGTGCTTTCATGTTTTTGCATCCAAGAATCAATATATATTATCTGCGGCTATTCATTGTACAGAGTAAATAGTAAGCTCAAGTAAGGTGTACAGGGAGCATTGTCTGTACAGACATGGACAGAGGAAACCAGGACTACTTGAGAGTTATTTGGTGCTCACTGGGCATGTCTGTGGGTATCTGTACAGAGATTAACAGAAAAGTCTGCCACTGTAGCAAGCTAGGTAGTAGGGACCAAGCTAGGGAACTGAGATACTGTACAGCTCTGTACAGGCCGTTTTAGTTTGCTGATGTAGAAAGGTACTTTGAAGTCTCGTGTCCTCCCCTCAGCTAGTTCGATGCTCGAGCATTACCTAGCCTCCCGTAGCTAGACCTCGAAGCTTGAAGAAGGAAGATAGTCGGTCGTTTTTCTCACTATTATTGCGGTTTAAAAACATGCTCAAGCTGGCTCCGGTTGAGTCCAAGAAACGAGTCTCGAGCGAACAAGCGGGTCGGACGCGGCCCGCTTCTTATCATTCATACTTAAACTAAGTGACAGTTATTTCTACCCAGCCTCCTCTCAATCACCTCTCATCATGGCACCCGTCACACACATTATGTACTTTAAGACCTCCTCGTCCTACCTCCAGGATCCCGCTCGGTTGATTTCTGAGCTTGCGACCAAAAGTCCAGCAGACAAAATTGAAGGGTTTTCTAAGTGAATCACTAAGGTCATCCTCGAAGCATGCCAGCTTATCATTGATTAAGGGGATACCTTGGTTTCGAGACGGAGGATCCAAGCAATGCATTTTGGGTCTTCGGTAAGTCAAGTTTGCGACATACTACGTCCAATTGCATTGAACTACTCGTAGAGTGGACTTCCAAGTCCGCGCATGACACGTATCATCAGACAGACACTTTCAAGGCTGCACAATCAGCTTCTCGACAAGTCTTTGCGAGCAGACCTACCCACACACTTACCGAGTTCTCCAACACTAGTCAGATCTTTTCTGCTCCAGTGACGGAATTTGTCACTTTCACTCTCAAAGAGGGTGTCAGTATGGACAAGCTTCAGCCCCTCGTCACACAGCTTGAGGTTAAGCTTCCAGGAACACCCAAGTTCTACGGCTCGAGCTGGGCACCTGTCGTTGATAAGCCCAACGTAGTTCACGGCGTGTTAGGATGGGAAAGCGTGCAGGTAATTTCAATATTAGTTCCTCAGAGTCACCTGCTTATCCGTCACAGGCACACTGGGATGCTGTAAGCTCAGGTCCCCTCAAAGAGATCATCGATGAAGTGAAGAAGGTTGCAGATCTTTGGCTTGTCCACGCCGTGCTGACGCGATACAATGTGTGAACTTGATTATCGAATGCTCTGTACGAACCACACTTTGTTGTTGTTTGGTAGGAAGATATTTTGAAGTCATGAGACATGCAGTCCCGGATATATATTTCCGAGGAACATTGGCAAGCGCTTCTCTGTATTCTACACGCAGTATTTTACAAGTTAGCAATATGCCAGCCACTGTGGGTGTACTTACCACTATCCTATGCAGTAGCGGTCAGTGGTGAACTGACGCTGATGCTGGCTCACGAAGTCCATAAGCACAGCCTCGCCGTGTTGTCTCCTGACAAACTTATGCTACTATGCCTTCCATGTATGGAGGCAACCGTAGCTTGAACATGACACTCAGCCACATACACAGAAATAGCAGCCTCGTCCAACAAGTGTGAGATTCAGAAATAAACTGCTCTTACGAAGGTCCTCTGTCGGAGTGTATCTCAGGCGTGATGAGATTGAAGAACACCAGCATTTTCTACAGCCTTGAAGACAAGGCACCCGAGCCTCACTCCGATGCTGAAGCTGGCGATGATGATGCAAAAATCCCTTGGTGCAGTTATCGAGGATGCTCTGGGCAGTGGACATCAGCTGATATCCTGGCTGTTGATCCTGGAAATATTGTGTTGCTGATGTACAGAGGTGATTTGCATGGGCTGGGAGATCACGCGTCACGAGAATATATGAGCGCAGGTACTATCTTGCCCCGTATAGTGGGAGCTCGTAGAATATTTTTCTCAAAATCTTGAATTTCGTGACATACTTTAATCAACCCTCTGTGACGCGTCACCGGTAGGTGAGAGTGAATTTCTATATTTATATATCGCTGAAACTGTTAAGACGCGGCGCTCTGCGAGCTGTCTTGGGGAATATCGAACAAGATTGACAAGATAAGGGAAATAGGTATACAGTACGAATAGCACAGAGACCGTCTGATTTTTGATGTTGGTGTTTTCTAGCTTGCGCTTGCGTCACTAGTGAGTGAATTAGCAACGCAACCAAGGCCGTACGACGCGTCACAGTTGTCTCCATACACAAAGGGATGATATTGTTGCTGTAATGACTCGTTGCTCTATCCTGGAGCTCCACGTGAGTGATTGCATTCTACCCATATGTATGGTACCATTGTAAGGATTACTGTGACTCAAGAAAATGCAAGCGAAGCCTTCTAAGTCGAGTCTTGGGGAAGCTCGGTGTCTTATCAAGCAACAGCACTGGTGTCTCTGTGTATCTCCATACCAGGGGGTGCACCCAAAGCTATTGTGAAAGGTTAAAAAGTAGAATGTGAACCTTCCTTGATGCTTGCCTTCTTTTATTGCACCATACAGTACGAATTGCCCGGACACAAGGCCTGCGGTCATTATCATCCTAGGTCCAAGACCAGCGAAAAGGCCGCGGAAACCAGCCTCACGAGCGAGCACTGCGAGTCGATGCGGCATGGAGCCCTTTGGTCCGTGTCCCTTGTTTATCTGACTCAATAGGGTATCCGCTGGCTGCATGCCATCGTTCCAGAGGTCAGATAATCTGGGTGAAGATACTTCCGAGTCGAGACAGATACTCACATGACTTAGAATGGCTGCTGCAAAACCTGCGATAATGCCGCTACCGAGCTGTATTGTGAATTTGTTGGCACTGGAGAGCGTGCGACGAGTCTCTTCGGACATTGAACGAAAAGCAATCTCATGACAGAATTCGTTCACTGTAAATTGCCCGATAGCGTAAGGTATCTGTCTGGACAGAACATTATTTATGCGACGTTCGTCAGTAATTATAGGCTCACTTGCAAAGAATCGGGACAAAGCCTGCGTAAAGCTCGCTCATGCCACCTTCACGCGCCAGACGAGTGAAGCCTGTGACAAGTCCAGTTGCATAAGTTCTGTCTGACACGAGACGGATCCGGGTGGCTTCTAAAGGTGTCAGGAGGATATCTGCAAAGAACCTAGGATGGAATGTAGGAAAGTTAGGAGATTGTCAGTATATCACGACATACTCAGCAATACTGGCTGATCCAAGGTATATTGCCGTTCGATACTTCACTGCCTCCTCCTGGCCACCTATAGACTCGACTGCTTTTTTCTTCCAGTACTCGTAACCAGCGAATTTTGCGCCTCCTTGTATAAGATAACCAACTGCAGTTGGGCCGAAACCTGTGAGGAGTGCTCTGGGACCTTCTGTCGCAATGACATAGCGCGTTCCAGTCAACATGTTCAGCTTCTTGTATGCAGGATCAATTTGAATTCGCGTTTTCACGACGTCGACGGCTGCACGAGTGAACGGCGGGTCAAAAGATAAGCACAAAAGAAAACTAGGCTGAAAACAATGCGCCTCACGCGTCATTGCACCGTGGGTGACCCTTCATCTGTATTAATGCGTGGTCTTTGTGGAACCGTTGAGGAGACTTACGTGCAACATAGTGCTCCTGACATGGATACTTTCAGAATTGCGTATTGGGAGATAGTCCTTATCAGACATACCCGCGAGGAAGAAGGAAGAGTAATCTTTTGAGGTGAACTGGGGGATTGCAGCAGCCTGACGGGCTTGTATTGCTTTGCTCGTCATCACGTCTAAGGTGGAGTAGGTAAGTAGTGACTGGACACGTTTTATACTATACAGCCGCTGGCGTTGCAGTGCAAGTACTATACTTGCCACCCACTAACTGCGATGATGACGTCAACATTTGTTTTAATTAGTACCCGGTGTCTTCATGAATCGTGTCCTCCCTCAATAGCTCGATCATCTCGAGCGAGCCTCTCGTAGCCAGATCTTGAAGGAAGACAGTCAACCGTTCTTCTCACCGTTATTGCGGTTTAAAAACATGATCAAGTTGCCTCTGGTTGAATCCAAAAAGTGTCGAGCCTAATTAATCTGGCTCGCTTCTATCATTGATACTTAAACCAAGTGATAGTGATTTCTAGCCAGCCTCCTCTCGATCATATCTCATCATGGCACCCGTCACACAGATCATGTACTTTAAGACCTCTTTGTCCTATCTCCAGGATCCTGCTTGGTTAATTTCTGAGCTTGCGACCCAGAGTTCAGTAGCCAAAATCAAAGGGCTTTCTAAGTGAGTCACTGAAATCATCCTCTAAGCATGCTAACTTATAGTTGATCGATCAAGGGCATACCTTGGTTTCGAGACTGAGGATCTGAGCAATGCATTCTGGGTCTTCGTAAGTTGAGTTTGCGACATACTAAGTCTAATCACGTTGCACTACTTGCAGAGTGAACTTCCAAGTCTGCACATGACACATATCATCAGACAGACACTTTCAAGGCTACACAATCAGCTGCTCGGCAAATCATTGCGAGCAAACCTACCCACACATTTGCCGGGTTCTCCAACACTAGTCGGATCTTTTCCGCTCCAGTGACGGAATTTGTCACTTTCACTCTCAAGAGAGGTGTCAGCATGAACGTGCTTCAGCCCCTCATCAAACGGCTTCAGGTCAAGCTGTAAGGAACACCCAAGTTCTACGGCTCGAGCTGGGCACCTGTTGTTGATAAGCCCAACGTAGTTCACGGCGTGTTAGGATGGGAGTGTGCAGGTAATTCTGACATTGTGTAAGCACGCTGGCTTACCTGAGTTCCCATAATCAGTACATATACTGTCGCTGATGCTGAAAGCTAAGCTTTCAGTATTTCATCTTTTGGTGTAACGGTTATGCGGGCGGCAGTCTGACCATGTTACACATTGGTTCCTCTGGTTCACCTAGTTAACAGTCACAGGCGCACTGAAATATTGTTAGCTCAGGTCCGCTGAAGGAAATCATCGATGAAGTGAAGAAGGTTGCTAACCTTTGGCTTGTGCACGCGATACTTATTACTGACGCAGTACAAAGTGCGAACTTGATGATGTACGAACCAAACTTTGTCGTTGCTGTAATAGGAAGGTATTTGAAGTCGTGAAATTTGTACAGTCTTGGATATCTTCAAGGAACATTTCGGCAGAGGTTCCTCTGTTTTCGATATGCACTGGCAGTGTTTTACAAGCTTTTAGCCGTGTACCTATAATGGCCCATGGGCCACCCGGAATATTTGAAGTCTTGTATTATTAGTTGTTTGGTTGATTACCTTGCTTGGCAACATTTCTTTCGCCTAATGCCATGGATCATCGACTTACCGATTATCGGCTGTCTTTCTTTCTAAATGCAACGTCAACCGTAGTGTCTCAGATTTATATTACTTACCGTCTCCAGTGTCCACGTATCATGGACAAGTGACTTATAAGTCGCGAGACTTGCAAACATCGCAAGTTGCAACACACTGGCATTGAGTCCCCCATATCAGACCATGACACCCCTCTGACAAGCACACCGCTAGGTGACTTTTTTGAGCTTGGCAGCCTTGACTCTTCACTGGCAAAAAACACGCGCAGTCGTAAGCGCACAGCGGTCTCGTCGGTTCCCGTGTTAGGGTCTTCCACCAAAACATGTCGAGCAAAAGCCGAGGCCGCAGATCTCGATGTCCGGGACGGAAATGATGACCAGATGATATGTATGTTGCTCCTCCTTCACTGTTTCATTCGTGGACTCACTGGCCCTTTCAGCAGCGGCCAAAGCTCGATGGAATTTTGCTGCCTATGATCACTTCACTACCTTAAATCATTGCTTGAAAGGTGATGACAGTGCTGATTATCTTGAGTTCGTTTTTACGTGCTGCGCTGATCCTGTCAGCCATAGGCTCCATCACCGCAAGCACATGCATCCACAAGGAACGAAAAATCTTAATTGATATTGAGGCATCAAAGCGTGCGTCGAGTGCCATGGTGTCTTATTGTCAGGGACTGATGCCACAGGCACACAATAAACTATCCCTCGATCAGTTTCGAAATATACAGCGGAGGCTCATCGTGCATTTATAGCGGTGTGATGCGCAGTCAATAAACGCCCATTCCACTTGGTCGTTGATCATCTCTACTATGTCGAAGAAGTAAAACTCTTACGCCCTGATGTTAAGGTGCCTTCTCCGCGCAGTCTCACGCGATATCAACACCATTTACTACGAGGCATCTAAAATATCAAGATTCACTTTTCGGTGAGATGTATTGTGAGGCTCGCACTACCACTAGTCACTGCTGATCTCATTGTAGAAACATCTTAGCTCAGTCCACTTTGTTATCGACGGATGGTCAGCACCTTTTGCTTACTCGTACTTTGGCATTGTTATCGTCCGGTATCAATCGACTTTGATTGATTACTTGAACGCATTTCGTATCTATATTCTCGTTTCAACTGTTCTGCACATTATACACTTGGTCACCAGCGGGTGACACGTATCACCTGCGAGTTGACCCGCACCTGCGATGATCTGACCCGGGTAGGCACGGGTAGACTTCCAACCAATAATATTTCGGTACCCGCGGGTTGGGTGCGGTTGTAATCCGAATCGACCCATGTCATGCCAGGTTATACCCTACTCTCATCATGGCGCCCGTCACACAGATCATGTACTTTAAGACCTCTTCATCCTACCTCCAGGATCCTTCGCGATTGATTGCTGAGCTTACGACCACAAGTTCAGCAGACACAATTGAAGGGCTTTCTAAGTGAATATTAAAGTCATCCTCGAAGCCGCATGCTGGCTTATCGTTGATCGATTAAAGGGCATACCTTGGTTTCGAGACTGAGGATCCAAGCAATGCATTCTGGGTCTTCGGTAGGTTAAGTTTGCGACATACTAGTCCAATCGTGTTGAACTACTGGCAGAGTGGGCCTCCCTAAATGTGTATCGCACATATCGTCAGACAGACACTTTCAAGGCTACACAAGCAGTTGCTCGACAAGTTTTTGCAAGCACACCTACCAGTGTGTTTGTCAACTTTTCCGATACTAGTCGGATTTTTTCCGCTCCAGTAACGGAATTTGTCACTTTCACTCTCAAAGAGGGTGTCAGTATGGATAAGCTCCAGCCCCTCGTCACACAGCTTGAGGTTAAGCTTCCAGGAACACCCAAGTTCTACGGCTCGAGCTGGGCACCTGTCGTTGATAAGCCCAACGTAGTTCACGGCGTGTTAGGATGGGAGAGTGTGCAGGTAATTCTAACATTAATTCCTCCGATCACCTACTTATCAGTCACAGGCACACTGGGATGCTGTAAGCTCGGGTCCCCTCAAGGAGATCATCGATGAAGTGAAGAAGGTTGCTGACCTTTGGCTTGTCCACGCTATACTGACGCAATCCCATGCGTAAACTTGATGGTCGTAGTACGAACCAAATTTTGTTGTTGTATAGGAAGTTGTAAAATATGTGCAGTCTTGAACATCCCCGAGGAACATTCTGGTAAACGTTCCTCTATTTGACATGCAGTGTTTTACAAGTGAGCCGTGTGCCCATAACCCACCCTTCACTTCACTTGATCGGATTCGACTCTGATGACATATCAAGCTGGCTCTGGTAAGTATGGTTTTCATCAATTCAAAGGCAACCGGATTTACCTCGGCACTGCCTTAACTATTATCCAGACTCCGTGGATCCACTGTCGTATGGAGTGGCAGCTAGTGGTGAATTGACGCCGATACTGGATCATGATTCATGAAGTCCTTGCGCATTTGATTGGACCGCAAGCACGGCCTCGCCATGCTGTCTGTCGACAATCTTATGCTATGGTTACTCTCATTGCATCACATTGAATGCTGAGCCTTGTTCCCACTGGCAGAGGAGTTAGACAATTATTTACCGCTTCAGGACGACGTAGGCCGGTTCAAGTAAACAGAGATGCGACCTAGAGGCGAGATGAGTCACCGCCTGCTGCGCCTGCATGCAACCGCGCGGCGAAATCGCACTAATAGCCAAGACAGGCTTGCAAATGCGATTAACGGCTGTGATACAGTGAGTTCCGAGCCTGTTGAGTTGAAGATAGAAACCCTTTCGTCCACCTCAAGCATACCATCAGCACCGCGGGTGCTTAGGAATGATGGCGCTTTAATATGATTTATGAGGAGATAAATGCATGTTTGGTGAGAGTGCGTCGTGGTGTGTGGCGAGCACGCACAGTCCACGAGTTGCTTATTTGACCTTGTGTGATCCTCGCCACGGATGGAATAAAGGTGGTACACTAGAACTTCAACTCCGCCCAAACGAATACGTACCGTTCACCTTCCTCATATCCACTGTCGCCTTCGTTGCGCATTTCTCCTAACTATGTCTGTCCATCTCATTCCAAACAACGCGTTGGGTTTCAATAGTACGTCTTCTCCCACTTTCTAGGTCAAGCGCCCGTCGAAACAACCATCTTTTTTTTTTGTTCAGGACCCTTCACGCAGCTCGTCAAGCAAGTTCTAACTATCACAAATAAAAATGCACAACCAGTAGCATTCAAAGTTAAGACTACGGCGCCCAAGGTGAGCTGATATAGAGGAAGATATCTCAGGGACTTATAAATTCCGTAGTTGTACTGTGTACGACCAAACTCTGGCAGGATAGAACCTGGTGAAAGTGTCGATGTCTCTGGTATGTGCCTCGTGTTTAGTCCATTTGCAACTTTGCTTACATCTTCAACAGTAATGTTACAACCGATGAAAGACGAACCACCTTTGTCGTCTAAGTGCAAGGACAAGTTCCTAATCCAAAGTACCCTCATCACACCCGAGAAGGAGACCAGAGATTTACAGGAATTCGTAAGTTTTTCCTCGTGCATATCGTGTTCTCATCTTTATATTGTTCCACAGTGGAACGCGCAAGCGGGCGCTGGAGATGAGTGGAAAGTTTACCAGCAAAAACTCCGTGTCGTATACCTCCCACCCGAAGGACAAACTGTTGAAGAGGAGGATGAGGGACATGTGGAGCCTCCTATGCCTTCCCGCCCTCTTGCAGAACATGTTGGTGGACCATCTGTGAGTGCTTTGACTACCTAGGGGCATTCGAATTACTGAATACGATCGCACTATTCGCAGAACTATGCAACTCTTAAGGATCCGGAGCCACGCCTTACTCCACCCATGCCAGAATTCTCTCACGATGACGCAGTTCAAGCTGCACAACTGGTGCAACCTCAGCGCTCCGTCACGCCACCTGCACCAGAGCGAGAAGTGAACAGTTCTCAAGAGGCTGGTTCTTATCGGGACGAACTCGATTTCCAGAGATCTACCAGTGGGGGAGTTGGCGTTGTCAACGTCAACGTGCATTCATCTTCACCGCCACCCTCACCTCCAGCTGCACGGGTGCCCTCGATCAACAATGAGTTGGAAGCGAAGTATATCGCAGCTAAGGACGAGATACAACGTCTCCGGGATCTTCTTGCGGCTGTGCCAGACCCCAGCTCTCTGGCGCCAGAGTCTATCGCACCTACCTCCCTCGCTCCCTCAGATTTCCGGAGGAGACATACATCGGCGCTCTCAGACGACGGAGAGACATACGCGGGATCTGACGTCGGTACCATGGTGGAGCATGATAGTATTATCCACCAGGAAGGCGTTCCACTACAGGTGGTTGTTATTATTGCGCTTGGCGTTTTTATCACAACGTATCTATTTTTCTAAGTAGCCGAGCAGGAACGTGCTCCTTTCATCCCCTTCCTTCGTCGATCCCTCCGGGCTCGTTGAAGCCATTTCGCGCTGCACATGCCACGCATCATATACAATATTTTTTCCGTTGGTGATATGAATGGGGTATTGGGGGGTGTTGTTGCAGTTCTCATGACTTTTCGCATTTATTACCGAGTTACATAGTACGTTAGCATTTTTCTTCTTTGTTGTGTCTGCTTAGTGTTATCGTTCTGTGCATTGCTATATATAATCCGATTTGAATAACACGACTATGGACTTGGTTGAGGAGCTGGTCTTCCTGCAGTCAAATTTGATGTTGTAGGAAAAGATCGGCGATAACCCCGAGGCCTACCGTAATAGCATTATGTAACCAGCGTTCCATGCCGCACAATAACCTGTTTGTGCGCGTTTTTGAGATCTCTGCTAGGCCGAGAGCTTGTATCTCGGAGCAACGCGAATGATGTCATCGAGTTCACTAATGACGCATGCACACGCTTGCAGCTCCTTGCACCTGGTACCTGCCGGTCCGCTCCGTCGGGCCGAAAATTGTGCCTCACTAAATTAATACCTCATTAATAATGCCTCACTAGGATGACGTAACTTCTAGTACACGCACACCATGAACACATACCCTCAAAAACAATCTAAGAAACCTATCATTTTCACTGCAGCAATCACTGCTGTGGTCTTCTTTTTCGGCTACACCTGGCTCTTCAAGCCATCTGAGGCCGCAATCGTCCAAAAGGTGTGTTGTTTATGGTTCTCCACTGCATACATGGCTGACAAAAAGTGCAGGCGACCGTGGTACTAAAGGGCGACTCCCCAGTCACTGGCACTATCACATTTGAGCAGTCTTCAGCAGATGGGCCAGTCAAAGTCTCAGGAGAAATCGAGAACCTTGACCCTTCCTCTCTGCGTGGGTTCCATATCCAGTGAGTGTCGAGGTTCGCGAAGTAGGTCAAGTATTCAAATCATATCAATAGCTCTCTGGGAGATCTCAGCAATGGTTGCATGTCTACGGGATCGCACTTCAATCCATACGACAAAACCCACGGTGCTCCCTCAGACTCTGTCAGGCATGTTGGCGACCTTGGGAATATCGAGAGCGACGAATATGGCACAGCCACCATTTCCTTCAAGGACAGATTCATTTCCTTGAATGGCCCCACGAGCATAGTTGGGTAAGTTAGATATACAGATCCGCACTTAATAGTATGAAACTCATTTCCGTTTGCCAGACGGGCTGTTGTCGTTCATGCGGTATGGCGCCTTTTCATGTTGAACGTGGTTCCTTACTAATATACCGTATAGGGTATCGATGATTTGGGAAAAGGCAATAATGAAGAGTCTCTCAAGACCGGAAATGCAGGGGGACGAGCTGCTTGTGGTGTGATTGGTCTGTTTCTAATAATCTTTCACGACAACCTGATGTTAATCAAGAGTCACTTTAGGACTCGTGTAAATCATCTGAGTATTGGAGCATGCTGCATTGTCTTGCACTTGTCACTTTCATTGCATCATCATATGCTGCACGTATTTCTTGGTCTCTGACAATCTATTTGTCTTTACCTGAGTCGCGTGAGAACTCATTAAGATGAAAAAGTGCGGATCGATACGCCCGCCAGTACCTGCGGAATTCAGTAAGAATCGAGAGTCTTGTGATCATCTTCTAGAATGACGGCGTCTCCATTGACAGCACTAGCCGGGCCATCGGATTTGCCCTGTGTTTGCTCCTGATACAGATATTCAATCTAGTCACAGCTGAACAAGCCGAAAACAAATAGTTTCTAGTTTCTAACAGGTATCCAAGTAAGTTGAATATGTTATTCAATAACATTTTGAACTTCATCTACAGTTCAGTCATGTCCAATCCCCCTTTGTTTCGTGACCCATGGGCGAAGAGGGAAGTATGGTGGAAGTCCTGTGTTCACGAACCGTGCCACCTTTTCTAGCAGGGCCTGGAATCGCACTAATAGCGTTTACCTCGCGAAGCACGGTCATGTTGGTGTTGGGATAATCTGTCAGTTGCCTGACATGAACATCATGCTGTGCAGTTACGCGAACAGGGTGCTTCGGTCTTCGACTATCTTCAAGCATTCAAATAGCCATCTGTGGAGGAATATATGCCCATCGTGCTCCATTTTCCATTTTTACCTGCGACATCTAACTGATCCAGATGTCATCTACCTCGAATTACACCACTCTCATCTTCGACATTGGTAATGTTTTGTTCTCTTGGTCCCCGCAGACCACAACCTCCATATTCTCAAACACCCTACGTGAAATTCTTTCCTCCCCTACATGGATTGACTACGAGAGGGGGAGGATTTCCCAGGCTGAGTGCTATGCTGCGGTCGGCGGCGAATTCTCTGTAGACCCCACAGAGGTTGGTCGTGCGTTCCAAGATGCTCGTGACTCTCTGCAGTCCAACGAAGAGCTCATATCGGTTATTCGACACCTCAAAGCACACTCGGATGGGATGCTACATGTCTTCGCCATGTCAAACATTTCTGCGCCTGACTATGAAGTTCTTCGTACCAAGCCTGTTGATTGGTCGTTGTTCGACGGCATCTTCACCTCCGCCGGCGTTGGCGAGCGGAAGCCTAACCTTGGCTTCTACAAGGCAGTGATTTCAGGCACAGGGGCTGACCCGTCCCGCACTATTTTTGTGGACGATAAAATAGAGAATGTCCTCTCCGCGCGTTCGCTTGGAATGCATGGTATTGTTTTCGACGATCAACGTAAAGTCGTCCGCGCGCTTTATAACCTACTTGGAGACCCTGTCGAAAGGGGCAGACAATACTTGACCGTGAATGCGAAGAAACTCCTATCTGTAACTGACAACGGCATTTTCTTACGGGAGAACTTCTCTCAGCTTCTGATACTAGAGGCGACTGACAACCGGTAAGAGAATTACCTTCTTTCCCTCCAATCGTCGAACAGCATGTCAGGGGTCTCGTCAATTTGACTGATACACATCGGACGTGGAATTTCTTTCAAGGTATATATCAAATGTTTGCCATCGTTATTTAACAGCTGATTTGGTATCAGAAAAACCATTGTTTACTGAAGAGTTTCCTTTTGACCTGGATACCACGTCCCTTGGGTTGACCGTAATGGGCAGCCCTGAAGACGTAGCACACTCCATCATGGATGACATGCTTGACTACACTGATGACGATGGGATTATTCAAGTACGTGCGTTCGGTTGTTATTTCTCATGCGTTGGCCAACCTCCCAGTAATCAGACATACTTTGACCACCGCCGACCTCGATTTGATCCAGTTGTATGCGTCAACGCGCTCACGTTGTTCTATTCTTATGGACGCGGTCATCAGCTCGATCGCACCCTTCACTGGATACGTAAGGTGCTCCTGCATAGAGCTTATCTCGATGGTACGCGGTATTATGCGACCCCAGAGTGCTTTCTTTATTTCCTTGGCCGGCTGCTTGAAATCACCAACAACATCTACTTGGCAGCCTATATAAAGCCGCTGCTGATTGAACGTGTTCAGGAGCGCATAGGGGCTGATGGTAACGCTACGGCGCTCTCCATGCGCCTTCGACTTTGTGCCTACCTTGGGCTACGCAACGATGTTGACCTTCGCACTTTGCTTCCTCTGCAATGTGAAGATGGAGGCTGGGAAATCGGGTGGATCTACAGATTTGGGTCCTCCGGTATTAAAATCGGAAACCGCGGTCTTACCACATCCCTGGCCATGAAAGCCATTCTGGAGATGCAACAACGCTTTCCTAGTCCCCCTTCGCCCCCTTCTGTGGTACCCGCTGTTCCCCTCGTCAAGCAAGCTGATACCACTGCACAATTGTTGGAGTCCGAGCGATCCGAGAGGAGAGAGACCGAAGGATCCGAGATGGTGATGGTCGAAGAGTAACTTGATCCGAGCGCAAACCAAACAGGACAAAGTCGAGTGGCGTAGTGACGTTGGCTCGCGTTCTGCAATATGTAATGTTTCTTTCTCATATAATAGTTACCAAGCTACTTACCTTTAAAAATGCCCTCAGTACTGCACAGGCATCTCAGTTCCTTTCAAGAGACTGAGATATGAGTTAGAATTGTTACCTATATTTACAAAGTCTGACAGCTACTAGTGTGCTTGTTTATAGGCAGATCAAACCATTAACAGAGTTCCTTTCAAGAAACTGAGGTTGCACTTGTTCATAGTGTTAGGTGCCCCCTACCTTTGTCAATTCACCAGAAGTTATGAGCCCTGGCTTGATCATGTATACTATGCTCCACAGCACCAACTCAAGCCTGTCTAACATCCCAAAGCTTGCTGAAGATGGCTTGAACTGGATAACCTTCCATGAAAGGACATTAACAGCTATAGGGGCTAGAGTGTCAGTAAACTACAATGCTCTGTACAGTTCACCAGAGCCACAGCTTGGTCCCCACTAGACCACCTATTACTCCCACCTTTCTAATATAGTAAGCCAGTACCTAAGATGTTTGCTCACCCATAGATTAAGTTAAAAAGTGTTATTTGTGAGGACCAGTCAATTAAGGTGACTTAGAACATTTAGTATTGTTGCCCTTGGGAAAGGTGACACAAGCACTGCATTCAGTAATAGTGTGCCATGCATGTTGCCATCAATGTTCCGCTCATCATTGGACATGATGAGCTCAACAATTCCCTTAATTCTGCTCAATTTTGTGCGCATTTTTTGTAAAGCCATTCTGCTCTTCAATACAATACATTCAAACACTGCACAGGTACATGTATAAAGGGCCAAAAATGCACAATAACATGATAGTGTACTAGTTTGTGCTGGCAGTGTCAACATCCTCCCACCCATTCTCCTCATCAGAGTCTACCACAGCAGCACTCTTTGCACCTCTCTTCAACTTCTGAGCCTTCCTCAATGCTGCATAGAGCGCTGCTTTTTCTGTGGGTTTCCTCTTCCACTTCAATGGCACTGTGGCAATTTCCTCACAGTTCATCAATTGCACAAGGACATCAGCTGGTGAAGATGTTGTGTTTGATGCTGAGGGACTGTGTTAAGAACCATGCTCAAGGGAGAGAGAGACTGACTCAGAGGGGCTTGGCCTCAGCTCATATACTGTGCCCCTTACCCAAGTATGTGCCCTTCATTTCAGAGGAAGTCCGATGATGGTCTGACGAAGTCCAGAGGACTTCAAGAGGAGTGTGGGAAATGTCTGGAGGAGTGTGAGAGAGTTCCGGAGGAATGCAGGAAGTGCTCAGGAGAGTTCCCACTACAAGGTAATACTTCTACAGGAAACAGGATGGAAGGGTAGGAGGTCCAGAGGTATGGAGGACAGGATGTCCGAGGGTTAGGAGGATGGGATGTCCAAAGGACAGGATGCCCAGAGGTATGAGGGACAGGATGTCTGGAGGTCCAGAAGGAATAGGGGCTACATTGGATGAAGTCTAATGTAGAAGCAAACAGAGGTAGACTACCCTTAGGTAGAGTTGGAGAGGCAGGAAGTGGACCAAAGTCTAGAGAGAGGGTAAGTGCCAGAAAGGCAAGACTCCAGCCTAGGGAAGCAATCCCTAGACTTGGGACAGAGACATAGGGGACAAATCCAAAGGTCCAGAATTCCAGCCTAGGGAATCGCTCCCTAGGCCTTATGGAAAAGGACAAAACTCAGATGGACTGAAGTCCAGAAGATGATTGGGCAGATCTAAGGTGATATTCAGACTGAGGACTCTACTGTAGTTGTACAGGGGTTATATACTGGAGGATATCTGAGAGGATCAGTAAGCAACACAGTAAGGCTATGTATGAGCATGTGGAAACATATTAGTAAGTAAGATGGAACATAAGTAAATGAACTCGGAGATGAAACTAGTACAAGGATCAATCAGCAAGGCAGAAATAGAGATAACCAAGAACCGGAAAGGCAGAGATGCCTAAATGGGGATAGGTGCAGGATCTCAGACAGAGGGTGGGAATAGGTCCGGAGATAGTAACAGTTAATATCTGGAGGTCTGGAGATCTGTGGATCCAGAAGGCAAGGCAGAAACAGGACTGAGACATATGAGGTGGTGGATGTAGTCTGGAATCCAAGAGGAGGTAAAGTCCGGATGTCTTGCTGGATGGAATGTGCATATGGTGGACAGGATAGGGGTGTACAGATCAGGCTAGTAGTGAGGATCTGGAGATCCAGAGCTCAGGGGTAATTCTGTAGGAGTGCTAATCCTGCTTCAATATGGAGCACACAGTGGAAGGGGATCTGGGAATAAGTTGGAGGTGGGGTCTGGTGTAGAGACTCGCACCTCTGTATGCCTGTAGAGCCCTATATTGTGATGTATCTGCATACAGTTCACAGCATGAACTTGTGGCATCATTCCCTATATCATCCCTTCACTCAGCCTATACATGCATGATCTTCCCATGCATCGCGTGACATGCATGCTACTCTCCCACGATGCATTCCTGCATGCATCCCATGCGCTTTCCTGCACTTCATCACCCATCAGCCAGGAGCATACATCCATTGTCCAGCAAGTACTACTGGCACATTTTTTGCATTTATTCTTATCATGACACCATATTTCATCATGGACCCTTACTTACATATACCTTCTTCATTCCTGCGCCTTACTTGTGTCAGCTCCACATCGTGGGAACGCGCTTAGTTGCCTTTTGCATGATAGCATTCGCATTTTTGGAGCTACCACTTAGTTGCCAGTTAGTATCCCTTAGCATCCCTCAGCATAGTGCACACTTTTTTGAGCCATAGTCAGTAGCATTTTTGACAATCACACTCTATCATCATTGCATTTGTCGTCCTCACATCCATTAGTATCAGTCATCATCTTCCCCTAGTCCCCATCACATTCCTAGCCCTTTGCGCACTTTTGCCTATTAGCATGCGACTTTCCCACGCTTCGCGCATCCTATCACTCTCTGCGCGCGTGACTTTCCCACGCTTTGTGCGACCTGTGGATGTGTTGCACTTGCTTCCCCTTGGGTCAAACGCACTTGCCTTTGCAAAGTATAGCAGCCTAGGCAGAGCTGAGATGACCACACACATACTCTGACTTGGTATTCCTTTTTGTGCCATAGCTTAGTAGTTGATTCCTTCACCGGAAATAGGTCTGGAAAGCGTGGGAATATTATGGGATCTATGTCTGGCATACAGGATATGACAGACTGCTGGTTGGTGGCTGAGTGTTGGGTAGAAGAGGTTCCATGTGTGACCTGCTAGGTGTGGTGAGCAGAGAAGATGGTGTGAAGATGATAGAAGGGGGGGCTGAAAAATAGCAGAAAGTCAGTAGTAATAATGTACACAGATAAAATATCTACCTTGAAGCACTGGATCAATGAGATCATCAGTGATCTCACTAGTATGAGGGGTTGTATTTGAGACATTGTTGTGAGTGGGTGTTGTATGGTCACTAGATGGCCTGTGTCATATCCCACAATCCGGACCCACATTCCATCATATTCCCATGCCTTCCGAGCCTATGTCCGGACCACACTTCATATCCAACTCATTCCCAGATCCCCTTCCACTGTGTGCTCCACACCTCAGCAGGATCGACTATGCTCCGGATTTACCCCTGAGCTCCAGACCATCAGATCTCCACTGCTAGCCTGAACCATAACCCCCTGTCCCATCCACCCTATGTACACTCCATCCAGCAAGACATCTGGACTTCACCTCGTCTCAGATTCTGGACTCTATCCACCTTCTCATATCCTGGTCCTGTATCCATCTTGTCTTCCAGATCCCCAGATCTCCGGACCTCCGGATATTAGCTCCGGACCTATTCCCACCCTCTGTCCGATATCCTGCGCCTATCCCCATTTAGGCATTCTCTGCTTTCCGGCTTTCAGTTACCTCTTCTTCCATCTTGCTTATTGATCCTTGTATGAGTCTTCATCTCCAAGTTCATTTACTTATGTTCCGTCTTACTTACTAATGTGTTTCCACATGCTCATACATAGCCTTGCTCCTTTGCTTACTGATCCCCTCAGATATTGTTCAGTATATAACCCCTGTAGATACTCCTGTAGTTCCTTAGTCTGAATATTGACTTAGACTTGCCCAATCCTCTCTTGGACTTTGGTCCACCTAAGTCTATCCTACCCATCAGGCCTAGGGATTGATTCCCTAGGCCGGAGCTCCGCCTTTCCGGCACTTACCCTCTTTCCAGACTTAGGTCCAATCCCTGTCTCTCCAACTCTACCTTAGGGTAGTCCACCACTGTTTGTTTCTACATCAGACTTCGTCCGATGTAGCCCCTATTCCTTCTGGACCTCCAGATGTCCTGTCCTTCAGACGTTCCACCCTCCGTACCTTCGGATGTTCTGTCCTCCTAACCCTTGGACATCCTGCCCTCTGTACCTTCAGACATCCTGCCCTCTGTACCTTCAGACATCCTGCCCTCTGTACCTTCAGACATCCTGCCCTCTGTACCTTCAGACATCCTGCCCTCTGTACCTTCAGACATCCTGCCCTCTGTACCTTCAGACATCCTGCCCTCTGTACCTTTGGACATCCTGTCCCTCTGTCCTCTGTCATCCTGCCCTCCTGTCCTCCTGTCCTCCTGTCCTCTGGACCTTCGGACCTCCTATCCCTCCATCCTGTTTCCTGTAGAAGTATTACCTTGCAGTGGGAACTCTCCTGAGCACTTCCTGTGTTCCTCCGGAACTCTCCCGCGCTCTTCCGGATGTTTCCTGTGCTCCTCCGGAAGTCCTCCGGACTTCATCAGACCATTATCAGACCTCATATGAAATGAAGGGCACATACTCGGGTAAGGGGCACAGCATACGAGCTGAGGCCAAGCCCCTCTGAGTCAGTCTCTCTCTCCCTTGAGCAACATGGTTCTTAACAGCCTGGTGGATTCTGTTGATGCAGGCAATGATGATGCAGGGATGGGATGAATATCTGTGTGGTCAGCAGAAGCACTGCCATCATTGTCATGGCTCTCCTCTGGTTCTTTATCTACCTTATTCAGGGTCAAGATCTCACCCACTGTCATGCATGGTATGGAGTTCATACCATGACATATATAAGAAGAAGTATAGAAGGAGATGATTAGGAGAGTGTATGAGGATATATTTCTCACTTAGGAGCTTAGTCATCTATTTCCCTTTATTTATTTACTTGTATTTATAGTTTCAGCCACTTGATTACATCAGTGAACCACTCAGATATGTCTGTAAGCATGTCATGTGACTGGTAATATTCTGATTTGTAAGGATTTTTCCATGACTTATCATGTTTTGTCATGATTTGTCATGCTTTGTAACATTTTGCAGTGCTTTGTAATATTTTACTCATGTACTTTAGTAAGCAGCTGATTCAGCACACCAAAAGGCTTGGTTTGTAAGCATATTCTTACCAATCCAGTGATGAGTCATTGCTTAGTAAGGATGGTTTCTAATATGTATATAAGGACTCCATTCTCACATAATCAACAAGTTTTTCCTTCTTCTTTCTTGTCTCAAACCATGAGATTCATAAGATTTGAAGTGCAGGAGTTTTCCCTCTTTCTGTCTCAATAGTGTGAGATTACAAAGAAAGTGAAGGCCTTGAGATTGCCTTTGAAAACTATAGTATTTCTAGTCTAGATTGGTTGTATACTATCTTACAGGGATTACCTATACAACAGTCTATCGTATTTGATTCAGCAGAGGTCCATATTACCTACTAGGTTTAAGTTAACCTGACAAATATATACTTCCCTTTACTATCAAGAAGTGATCTAGCAAAGAAGTAATTTATTACCCTTTGGCCACCCACAAACAACACATTATCAACCAAGAAGTAGAAAATCTGTTGACCGTGAACTTGAGGAGCTGGCACCTTAGTCTTATTGAAGTACAATTGTGATAGTCATTGTATTTCACCTCAACTTATATAAGACCCTCAAGTAAGAAGACACTGCCTTGATGCATCTCATCTGCTCATCAGCATCCTGTCTCATAATTCAAACAAACTTGCACTTCCTATCTGAAACTGCCTGTGCAAGAGCCTCTAGCCATTCAACTCCACCTTTCAGATTGCTGGGGTTACCCCATTCAGTGTGGCACCACCCAACCAGCTTGACTAGATGCTCTTGAACCATGCACTCATAGCAGACAAACTCTAGAGTTGCATTTGTGTTCTCGGTAACCTCAACTATTGAAATAGATTAGCAGACTATCAATCAAAGGCTAAGAAAATTTATACCTAGACTCTCATTTAGACCACTTCATATTCCTTGCTTGGCAGCCAATTTGTGGTCTGTATAACTCATAGACAGAACTAAAAATCTGCATTAGTTTACAAGAAAGCATGTGGATACTGAAAAATCTTACTATTTCATGGTGCAAGCCCAGCAAGCATGGTGGACTCCATCTTGATGCCAAGTTTCATCAGATCCTCCCACAGAAGTGTATGAACAAAGTGAGAAACAATGTCACTCATAAGGTGTACTTTTGGCAGCATGTTGATGTTTGGTGAACTTTGAATGGTGACAATTAACATTTCCATGCCCACATGTTCCTTCAGCACTTCGGCCTGTAATAAGACAAGTCAGATTTGAAATCTCAAATGAAGAACATTTAGGACTGACCTCACTGACCATGGCTGCAAAGCTACTATTTACCTCAGTGAGATGAGTACAAGAGGTTATATTTAGTGGCTTGCTCCATCCTGATGTTTTGATCTTTTTGAATTCCTCCACCATTTCTGTGTGCTGCTTGAGTGTCAGTTAGTGATATTTGCTTGTCTCCTTAGTGATGGCACAAAGGTTGGCTCATTGGCCTAGGTCTTTATCAATTGGCAATCAATCAGTTGAGTCTATTCTATGACAAGTTGGCAACAGAGAACACACCAGCATTGAATTTTCCACTTTTGAAATGCAGAAAGGCAGACCATGCACTTGTCTTGTTGTGCTGCTTTCTCCATAAGGCCAAACCAATGTAAAACTTTTCCAGATAACATCAATGGCTTCTGCCAAATCTGTGGCCTGTTCATCAATATATGTTAGTATGTTGTCCACTTCAGTATCCTCATCTGTGCACTTTTCATGTTGTTGGGCCATCAAAGCATGTCTTGCTTCCTGAGTCAGCTTTGGACCCTTTTTGTGTGCATGGTTTCAACCTATGATGCACCACCTGCTACTGAGGAATACTGCTCTAACCATGGCAAAAGAGGTAGGGTAGTCTCTGAGATAAAATTCATTTGTGTCAGTGAAAAATTACAATGTAAATAACAGCAAAGCGATCAGTTACTGTCACCCAATGTGTTCCAGTCCTCCCACATTGCAGCCAAGATTTGACAGACATTGGACTTAGAACTAATACTGCCCCTCTTGGCTAGCTCAGAAGCCCACCTATCAGGAACATATGAATTGAAAACTTCACAGCAAACATTGTGAAGGGTGTCACTGTAATTCAAATTCTCCAGTGTGATGCAAGTTTTCAGACCAAAGGGCAGAAGAGGTTTTCCTGGAATGGAATATGATGGTGAAAATGATATAGGAGGGGATGTGCTACTAGATGGTGCCAGTATTGACCCCAGCTGTGATGGTGAAAGGAAAAGTGATGCTGAATGGTTCTTTGAATGTGTCAAGGGAGTTGACAAGCTTACTGACAAAGTGCTTGCAGACATGCATGAGGGCAGTGGTGGCTTTGATAGTGTTTGAGCCACATGAAATGTCCTGGAGGTTGAACAAGCTGGAGTAACAGTAGGTGTAGTGTATGGTTCCAAAGGGTTGACCCTGACTTGCATAGCCTCATGAGCTGATGGAGAGATTGGGTGGGTTGGCGAATTGTCCCTGAGTGTGAGGTGCTGGAGCTGGTCACCCTACAAACCAATATTAGTCATATAAATTTTAAGGCAATCTCACTTACAAGATCAAGAGTGTGTGATGCAGAGGCACTCTCACTTATGAGATCAAGTGTGTGTGATGGAGGGTGCCTAGATAATGATACCTGTTGATGGATCCACTGAATTGATGGAGTTGCAGAAGAGGTGGACAAGAATGGCACCATTGAGTCCATAGTTCTTTGAGTGGAAATGACTCAATCAAGGCAACCAAAAGGCTGTCCAAGGATTTCAAAATCAGATAAGTGAGAGCCACTGGAAGGTAATGGAATGAGAGGCAGGGAATCATAGTCTTGGACATCTGATGCAGTGCACCTGAACTCCTGCTTCCATCCATGTGCGAGATGGGCTTCTCAGAAAGACTGCACAACAGGTAGAGCACATCTCTCAGTAAACATCTATGTGATTTCTGTGATGTGTTGATGGCATTGTAAGGGCTCAGCAAGGAGCTTTGGATTGAGATACAGCAACACAGAAAGATCTTGAGGTTGGAGGTCTGTTAATGGTGCTGTTGCACCTGGGTGGTGTAGGCAGAGTATAACACTACCAGACAGGTGGTCAAGAATGGTGCACTGGAAAAAAACAATTGAATCATGAACAGGAAAATGAAGACACAACATACCAGGTCATATATTAATTTTCATACTCAAAACAAATGATTCACTCTCTCTCATGAGGCTGCTTGTTTATCAGTGCTTGTCATGCCCTTGAAAGTGTTGCTAAGGTAGTGCTGTTTTGTTAAGGAACAGAAACTTCAGTGTGAAAGACACAACCCGACTGGACACTTGATAAAAGTACTCAGCCAGTATAATGGTCAATGCTCTGCCTAGCTGCTACACCTGCAAGCAAGAACATTCAACCCAAGGGAATCAATGGACTAGGCTCAAGCTCAAGAGATAAAATGAGTGAAAGAGAGACACTTCAGGCCAAAGACAGAAAACTATGTTTCAGGAGCTATCTAGTGAGCTGAGAAGCTACAACTAGGAAGCTACAACTAGGGGATGCTACTAAATAACCCAAGTGAATAGGGAGCAACCAAGAACTGGAGACAAGGGAAAACTGAGTAGTGACTGTAGAGTCCTAGGTAAAGGGAAGACAATTATGTAAGCAGTAAAAATGCGAACATAACCTAAGGAAAGTAACAACAAGAGAAGTATAGTAAAAATTACCATTTGCAGGCTAGAGTCAATATGATTGTCACAGCAGGACAAGTGAAAAGCATTCACAGAGTGGAGATGATCCCAGTGGTGCTGAACTTCTACTGCAAGAGTGGGATCAGATGTATGAAGCTGTGTGATTACCTCTGGGAAATGAATGGCATTGTCTTGAATGCTCATGCAAAGTCATGTGATCTCAACATTGCAGTGCACAATCTCCTCCTTGCATCATTGCAGGTCAAAGTATTTTGCAGACACTTGGCAATTGCGAGGAATTGCCCAAAGTTTGTCTAGCAACTGATTATCCATGTCTCGAAGGAGATCAAATTCAGCAAGCTAGGAGAATTCAACTACCTGCTCCTATGTAATTGGTAGTCGGGGAGGATCAAGTTCCACTGTGAACTTGTTGTAGTGATTTAGTGCATTCCAGATTGCAGTCACATGAGTCTTCAGTACTTTTGCAATCTGTGTTCAAAGCTTATAACCTGAAAAAAACATATGTCAGAGCGAGCCCCTTCAGTGACAAACTCTGTATTATATGGGTCACCCAACCTATATAATATCCCATATAAGATGGGCCAGCAGACTATGGGCTGATGTTATGTATATCCTTGATGTTGATGGGTGGGCTGGGAGGGATATTATTTCTGATGGGATGGGTGGGCCCATCTATGCTGATGTTGTAAATATCCTTGATGATGGCAGATGGGCCAGAAGAAATATTATTACCGATGGAGATGGGTGGGCCCATCTGGGCAGTATGTAGAGTAGGATAGACATATATTATAGACAGCTGGGCTGAAGAGAGATGTATGGCAGATATTATTATATGGATGGGTGGGCTGACATATTAGTACTATTTTGTAGACAGGTGGGCTGAGATGGGGGTATATTACATAGACAGGTGGGCCGATGGGGTGGTAAAATATTTATTATATATATGAGTGGGCTGAGGTGGGGGTATATTAGATACACAGGTGGGCCAATGGGGCAGTGAAATATGTATTATATAGATGGGTGGGCCAATGTAGGGGGATGTCATATAGACGGGTGGGTGTCATATCCACATATCTGGATCTCAGATCCAATCCATATCTCATCTCCAATCTGATCCATATCTTATCCCCCTCCAACATCTCATCATCCAATCTGCCCACTCATCTGGTCCAGTCCACAATTCATCTGAATCCATAACCAGCACTTGTCTCCTTTCAGCAATCCCCTGACTCCAGTATTTCGGTTATCTGTATATCCATCCTGCTCACTGATCCATTACCTATGCTTCATTTCTGTTTCATTATTTGTGATCCATTTCTACTTACCAATAGACTATCCATATGCTTCGTACATAGCCTTGGACCCTGCTGATTGATCATTCTGTTAGATACCTATAGTATATAACCTCCTGTGAATCTCTGTAACACCTCAGTTCAAATATCAACTTAGTTCTGCTCATTCCTGTCCTCCAGACCTGAGTATCTCTACTCTCATCACCCTCCAAGACTTAGGATTGATTCCTATAGTCTATCCATATCCACCTCTGTCTATGACAGTCCACTACCATTAGTTTCTAGTCTGGACTCATCCAGATTAGCCTTACAATACTTATCCTGTATCTGGCAGTCATCCAGATCTGCTACGATACTTGTCCAACCCTCTGGATGTGTTAGTCTTGTCTTCCTGAAATAAGGGGCAATACTTGAGTAAGGGGCACAGTGCATGAGCTGAGGCTGAAGCCCTTAGGATCCATTTAGCCTTGAGTACAACCTTAACAGTGGGCCCAGATACATATCATTTAGATGTATGGGCTGAGGTATTGGTATAATACCCCTATATGAGTGCATATACCTACCATTGACCATGGAAACTCAAAACCCAAAAGCCTGAATACACCATGTCTGACATTCACCAAGTACCAAAACCTGACACCTGAAACCCAAAACTCGAACATCAAAACAAACTTCAAAACTCAACACTCAAAACTTATATATTTTTACAAGTTTTGAGTCTCAAATCACCAAGTACTGAGTACTGAAACCTGAAACTTGCACATCAAAATTCAAAACTCTTCACCATGCCAAGTACCAAATGCCAACACCTGATGTTTCATGTTGGGTGGGTCCAGGTAGTTGTTATCATATACACAGGTGGGCCCAGGTAAATAGTGCAATAAACATAACTGGGCTGAGATAGTTGGATAACATATGAATCAGTGTGCTGATGTAGGCACCAGAGAATTGAGCACATGGAGTACATACCCACTATATGAGTGCATATACTGTCATATGCCATTCCAGACTCTCAACTCTAAATCTGCTTCTCTGGATATCTGGATCTGAGATCTGGATCTCGAATGATCTGATCTATCTTTATCTTCCTTCTGGAATCCAAACCCTATATCAGCGCCCAACCCCATTTAGACTTCCCCTGTCTCTGGACTCTGGTTAACCATGTTTCCCTTCTGATTATTGATCTGTTACATACATTTCATTTCTGGTGTTCATTATTTGTGATCTGTCCTACTTACTAACAGACTTTGCATATGCTTCATACATAGCCTTTATGTTTGCTGATTGATTCCTATATGACACCTACAGTATATAAACCTCCTGTAACTCTCGGAAACACTCCAGTTTGAATATTATCTTAGTTCCTGCTCATTCCTGTGTCCTCTGGACTTGAGATAAGTCTCTTGTCATATTCCGAGTCTTAGGATTGCATCCTAGACTACATTCCTGACTCTACCTTAAGGTAGTCTATCCTCTGTTAGTTTCTAGTCCGGGCCATCCAGATTAGTCTTATCTGCTTGCCCAAGTAACATCTGGACATCCATTGTCTGCCCTAGTCAAATCCTGGAAACTCCAGATGACTGTTCTAGCCCCTGGAAATTAAGGGCACATACTTGGGAAAGGGGCACAGCATATGAGCTGAGGCCAAGCCCTTGTGATCTGACTCCCTTGAGCACGTGACTTTAACATATACCTACCATCGACCACCAAAGCCCAAAGCCTGAAAACCTGAATACACCATGTCTGACATTCACCAATCACCAAGTACCAAAGCCTGAAAGCCCAAAAACCGAAACCCAGTGTGCAACATATCCATTTTTCATTCACCATAAATCACCAAGTCTTGAAACCTGAACACCCAAAACTCCAAACTTGAATCTCACAAAAATGTATATAACATGTAAAAAAAATTCATTACACAAATCACTAAGTGTTGAGTGCTGAAACCTGAAACCCAAGGCCTGAAACCTGAAGCCTGAAACCTGAAGCCTGAAACTCAAGACTTGAAACCTGAGATGTGAAAACCAAATACCAAATACCAAATCTTGAAAAAATGTATATAACATGAAATTATTTTATTTCATTACACAAATCACTGAGTGTGGAGTGCTGAAACCCAAAACCCAGTACTACTGACTTCTGTCATATCCTGTATGCCAGACATAGATCCCATCATATTCCCACGCTTTCCAGACCTATTTCCAGACCCCATATCCAACTCATTCCCAGATCCCCTTCCACTGTGTGCCAGACCCTTCAGTCACTTCTACTGCATAACCTGTTGATAGGACATGTACATTGGCCTGCAAAACCAGGTGTACAGGACACTGGCCAGTCTATGCACTTACTGTATAGGCCGGTCATACAGAAGCCTTGTAGGCCAATGCCTCATATAGAGAATGTTACAGGGTTAGCTGGTGGACTTCTGCACTATGGGTGGATTAGGCCTGCTGCCTCTGCATTTTGTGGAAGGTGGTCAGCTGGCTGAACATTGCATTTGAACTGATCAGCCAGCCTCCCCATGCAGTCTGTAAGATAGGGGTGGCCAATGGGCTTCTGCACTATAGTGCATTAGGCCTGCTACCTCTGCAATTTGTGGAGGGTGGTCAGCCAGCTGAACATTGTATTTGAACTGATCGGCCAGCCTCCCCATGCAGTCTATATGACTGGGTCGGCCTGCATGCTTCTTACTTGAGTAAGCAGTCCAGAAATATTTTTGGTTACATGAAGTTCATGATGAGCTTATCAATTGATGTATGTAGTTTACTCTACTACATAATGACTGTAAATATTGTCTATTATTTGAGCCTCACTCATTTACAATGTTCATCTTTTATGTCAATGAGTGAAAGGAGACCAGTCATGGTGCTCTATCCTACATAGGTCAGCCTGCATTTCTGGACTGGCCACCCTAGCTTGTGACCCTATCCTCCAACTGGCCGACCAGGGGATGCAGTCTGTCTGTCATGGACAGCCACCACTGTGATTTCCCATTGTAGATGGGCCAGCCTGAATTTGCAACCTACAGATCTAGGCCGGCTGCCCTTGTTTGTGACTCTAACACCAACTGGCTGGTCAGGGGATGTGGTCTGTATGGGATGGACAGTCACCCATGTCACATGGGCCATCCAACCTTTGCAATATGTATTTCTGCACCAGCCATTACAACATTTTGGAGAGGGATGTGTACCCTCATCTAGCACATTACAAAGCCATCTCCAATATCAACTTGTTGTACTCCATTTTCCTTGAAAACCTCTTGTGCCCTCAGCTGCAAACTCAGCCCACATGACAGCCTGCTTTTCAGCATATGCCTTATGTCCATTCTTGATACTCTCTCCTGACCTCCTTCTCCACATTGCTGGTTCTGAAACTAGCATACTGTCCAATACATTTTATGCTGCACCAACTTCAGCTCTTCACTCCAACAATCATACTGTGCTTTTGCTTTCAACCAATTCACCCAATAAACTAGGAATGGGGAACATAAGCTTGTTGCATTGATAAAAATCAGATAAGATTTAAACTCACACTCATACATCCACTCGCTCTTCTGACTATTAGTCACACTGTTGATTCTCCAAAACCAAGCCAGCTTATCAGAACCCTGGCCATGCCTATTTTCCTCAGTGACTTCTTTGCTCACTGCAAGGTCATCAGCCTTTAGAGATTGATAGGATGTCAATGTATCAGAGTCAGCCCCTAATCGTTGCATTGCTGCCCTTGATCAACAGTATTCTTGAGCATGTTTGTTGATGGCCAGAGTCATTTTTTGAAGTTCCTTCGTTGATCTAGTGCCCCAGTGATGGACCAATTTGTTGGAGTGCAATTTCTCTTGAAATACCACAGATCTGTCACCAAGTGCTTGACGAAGCTTCTCCAGGCAGTCATTTGCTTGACCCTTTCGAAGCTCTAGTTCTTTTTGCTGTAATGCCATGATAACATCATCCATGATGGCATCAGATGCAACCCATGACAGCATCCAAAGTTCTGCAACCTCTGCAGCTGAGTCAGCATTGTCACTGAGGTCCAAAATACTGTCTTCCTCCAGAACATCGATTCCTGGAAAATTATATCCATCAGCCTTCTCCAGGCACAGTTCAGGGTCATCCTGTTGCAATCCCTCTCTGCCCTCCAATTCCATACCATTTGTAATCACCATTGCAGTCTCATAGAATTTATTAATCCATGACAAGAGCTTCTGTCTTTTTTCTTCTATCATGATTTTCTGAGAAGCAGTTGGATCATCTGACTGTTGTCTTATAGAAGATCTCAGGGCATCTCTAGTAATACAATTTGAGTCAATGACAATTTGTAAATTTGAATATCTTACTGAGCATTTTCAATATTCATACCCTTGATCAACCATGCAATGGCCCCAGTCCGACCAATGGTGGATAGTCCATTTTCAGTCAACCTTAGCCTTATTTCAGCCATAGTTGGAGCTTTTGATGATTTACAATCAGCAATAACTAAAAGTTCAATTTCACCAAACCTACCTTTATCCATTCTAAGCTGATAGATGTCAAGATGCTCGCCACAGTCAAGAGCCGCTAGTTCAGCTTCCTTCTTCCATTTCTGGACATCAGCCAGATCAAGTGAATTTGTCAATTCTTCATATGGACCCTGAGTGTTATTAACACCCTGTACAGCATGATGATACTTTTTTAGTAATGATTTGACTATTTAAATGCCTTGTTAGTCAAAGTTAACATTTTTGAAGTAAAGGGGACTTGCTAATTCCAATAAGCTCCCTCCAATTAGAATCCCTCATATGGTCGTCCAAGACTTCCTTTCTGTGAGAGAGAGTCATGGATCTCGTAGTTGGAGAAATCTTGTTAAATGGAGCCCAGAGGGTCTCCAAGATTTCTCCATCAACATGACCAGCTCCTGTAATAAAATTGAGGCTGAATCTGGCAAAGCATGGTAGCTTATGGGCACTCAAATGAAACTTGCCAATTGCTGGCAAAATTTTTATTGATTGAGGAACAGACAGGTGATAGCTCTGATCTGCCCATTCATAGAAGTGGATGCTCCACTGGCATGCAACATCATAGATTATGAGTGCACTGCTGATATCTTCTGATGGATATTTCAATGCATTGCAAATGGAATAGTCCATGTTCATTTGCCTGACCACTGTCAGCACAAAGTTGTAATACAACAATGAAACTACATACCATTTGCCCTTCTGAAAGTCTACTATGGCATGAGGAACAAAATATCCATGCCTAGCACATGCTGTTGCCCCAACACCTGTAGCTCTTAGGTTGCTTCTCTGAACATTGGCTGCATTCACAGCACAGTGATTGCTACAAGATGATTTCTGAGATTATATTAGACAACATTTCCAAAGAACATGTCATGAAATACTTGCCTCTTTCCCTTTGACAGATTCTGTTATGTGAGTTTCATAAGGTCCCTCTGTTACCATGTATCCCTTTCCATCTGCCAGTGAAACATCATCTTCTGGAGTCTTCATCTTCATATGTTGTGCTGTAAAATTTCCATCGACAACATATCTTTGTGTTACCAACCAACTAAATCCACCAATTAGCTCATCTAATAATTATTACTGACAGAACTTACTCATCATAGGAATCCTTCCAAGATGAGGGTAAGTTGATGCCAGGTTGGGGACATGTTGGACAATAAAGAGCTAAATCCCCTGGGCCAGGAGATCTGTCTGTCTTGTGTCCAAAACCAAACCATATTCTATTCATCAAATCCCTCCATATATGGGACACCTGCATTAGTTCACAGTAACAATCCTGTTTTATCATGTAAGCCAGGAGTTCAATAATAAAGAAATTGCTCACAGGTATTTTATGAGGGAAAGCATTGTTGGTGAAATGACATAGCTTTTGATAGAAACTCATAGCTGAGGTTTTGCACTCCAAAGTGTCTATGAGGGAGTTATCCAGAATGTTGAAAGTGAAAGCAGATTGAGGGCAAGTGATGCTGGCAGGAAATAACCTCACTTTTAGGAGATGTAGGTGTCTGTCCATCTCAGCTCCAGGACACTGACACCAGGATACATGGTGTGAGTAAACTCCAGTGGAATGCACAATAACCAGGTTAGATAATCCCAACTGAGTTTCATAAATAATATCCCCCTCTCCTTGTCCAGACACATCTTCCATGGCTCCAAGATCTGACCAGGGTGATGGGTTTGAATGCTGCACCAAATTGGGACAAGGATGTCCTCCATGGCCAAGATGCATTATATACCCATGGTCTCATAGGGTAGTGGACTGGTAGAACTTGCCATTCCAAAGTTGAAGGTTGTGGAATGGGTTGTGCTGGTGGGTTTTAACTGCACATGAGGGACACCAAGCATGCTCTCCTGAGCAGGATAGACACCTAATGAGTCCCTCCTCTCCTCCACAATCCTCACATTGCCCACCATTGATCTGCTGTTCCAATCCCAACAACACCGAAATATATTCATCCCTCCAAGGCAGGTACTCCTAAAGGAAATCATTTTGAGTCTGCAATGTTGGCCAATTTTGGAGAATAATGAATTCGACAGAACTCACTTTAGTTTTTCAATGAATACCATTTGAGCCTCTTGTACCAAAATCACCATATATCTCTCTGTCATATTCCACCAGAGAATAATCTTCAATATTTTGTTGGTGTTTTTGTTTTGATGGTGAGACTGGCTCTATCTCACTGTCAGAGTCTTCATAGATAATTGAACCATTGGCTTCTCTCCATGTACAGTGGCTCAAAAAACTGTCCATATATTTTTGCACTTTTTACTATTTACAATATTGTGTGAGAATACATAAAGACCTCAGTGACATGCTGATACCATATTGTAGTGCTGCTTCAGGGCTTTGGATTGAGCACCGCATTGTGAGAATCAGAGGAGATATGGTAGAGATACAAGGCTTACAAAATCATGACTCATGTGGACAGTTTTTTGAGCACATATTAAAACTATATAAATCATCACTTATGACACCATAACAATCATGCCACCATTAAATAAATTATAAAGTGGTGTCATTATGTCATTTTAAAACCATATCTAACTATACAAACCAAAAATTTCCATATGCCATGGTTATATTCACCATGAAAGCCACCCCCCCTGCTCAAAGGGATAATATCCTCTCTCTTTCCTATTCTGGCCTCTCTGCTTGTCAAATTTCCTCCAGAACTGGAGTATCCAAGTCCACTGTGGCCAAGTTCATCAAAGAAAGTCACACAGACAAGGAAAACTTCTGTGAAGGGTGTCCATCCAAGCTCACCTCTACTGATAGGAGGACTATTATTCAACATATTGCTACAGGAAAGGCTGATAATGCTGTCCAGGCCACCTATTACATCAATTCCACCATCACATTCCCTGTCTCTTCACACACTGTGAGAAACATTCTCAAGACAGCTCATCTCAGGTCAGTAACAAGGAAGAAAAGGCTCTCCTCTCTATCACACATATGCAGAGAGGACTAACCTTTGCCTTAGCCCATCAGAATTGGATTACATGGACTGGAAGCATGTTATATGATCATATAAGACCACAATAAATAGGATTGGGTCAGATGGCAAGGTATATATGTGAAAAAAGAAGGGTGCTAGTCCTCTCTGCATATGTGTGATAGAGAGGAGAGCCTTTTCTTCCTTGTTACTGACCTGAGATGAGCTGTCTTGAGAATGTTTCTCACAGTGTGTGAAGAGACAGGGAATGTGATGGTGGAATTGATGTAATAGGTGGCCTGGACAGCATTATCAGCCTTTCCTGTAGCAATATGTTGAATAATAGTCCTCCTATCAGTAGAGGTGAGCTTGGATGGACACCCTTCACAGAAGTTTTCCTTGTCTGTGTGACTTTCTTTGATGAACTTGGCCACAGTGGACTTGGATACTCCAGTTCTGGAGGAAATTTGACAAGCAGAGAGGCCAGAATAGGAAAGAGAGAGGATATTATCCCTTTGAGCAGGGGGGGTGGCTTTCATGGTGAATATAACCATGGCATATGGAAATTTTTGGTTTGTATAGTTAGATATGGTTTTAAAATGACATAATGACACCACTTTATAATTTATTTAATGGTGGCATGATTGTTATGGTGTCATAAGTGATGATTTATATAGTTTTAATATGTGCTCAAAAAACTGTCCACATGAGTCATGATTTTGTAAGCCTTGTATCTCTACCATATCTCCTCTGATTCTCACAATGCGGTGCTCAATCCAAAGCCCTGAAGCAGCACTACAATATGGTATCAGCATGTCACTGAGGTCTTTATGTATTCTCACACAATATTGTAAATAGTAAAAAATGCAAAAATATATGGACAGTTTTTTGAGCCACTGTATCTTTTCCCCTCTGAGTTTTTGATGAGATATATGTATATTTGTAGGCACCTCATTTTCTCTTTGTCAAACAAGTATCAGATGAAGATGAAGCTACTCTGACCCTATTACGCTTGGGTGTGATTTTTGAGCTCATTGAGATTATGAGTTATGAAGGCTGCAGTGCAACATGAATTTTTGCATGGCTACATAACACACCCCCCCAAAAAAAAAAATATATATTTTTGGGATTCCCCAGTACTATTTTCTACCCCTTTTCTGTGTCTTACCCTTCTGCCTCCTTCCTACTAACTCTAAAAAGAAGCTCTGCATGGGAAACCCTGGCTTTGGCACCCCCACCCTGTTGTGCACAGCATCCTTCATAAAGTGGGCAATTATGAACCATTCTCCATTAAGCCAGGGGCCAACGGAGTGTTTAGCACCCTTCCTGAGATATAGACCATGGCTCCAGGGGAATAATCAAGCTCTGCATTGAGGTCTGCCAAGGCCAATGTAGCATCATGGTTTCTTCCAAGACTAACAAGAAGATCCAAAAGGGAAGGAGATCCACCACCATCTCTGTGGCTGAACATAACATGATTAGCAATGATTTCAAGCCCTGAAAATATTGAGGGCCAAGAGTCCACAGCGACTTTTTTTTTTTTTTGGGCTGAACTTTCTTGATGACCTCAGAGAATGCTGAAATACCAGCTTGGAAAAGATCCAGCACCACAGCAGTAATAGCATTCCACAGAACTTCTGAAGTTGTCAAAGCTGCTAGCCATTTTTGGACTTTCTTGGATCCATAATGCTCCGATGTCACCAACAGATCCATTAGTTGCTACAAATAGAGTTAAAACTAGGCCAAATATAACAACTTAGTGAAAATATAATACCTCATGTCTTTGCATGAAGTATGCAGGCACCACTGTTATTTGACCAGCCCCAAACTCCCCCCTTCATCTGAGACCATATAGCCCTCATCTCGCCAAGTTTTTTTCTTTGAGGGGGTAAGAGATTTTAGAAGGGAATCCCTCAAGCCAACAGTGATGTTGTTGACATGCTCCTAATCAATTAATTAATTAGCCTTAAGAGGAAATCCCCAACCTGAAACATACTATACGAGAAGGTGACAAAATATTTGGGAGGTAAACCACTAAAATTTTTCTGTGCCTGTCTACAACAGTTGTTGGAACTGAAATTTTGCCAAGTATTGTTTCAGGGAAGAACTTCTTCAATCTCTCTGTTCCAGCAGAGGACGACCCATTCACATTTGGTGGTGACAACTTGGCCTTATCAGCATACCTGTCCACATCCCAATCAATATTGACTGTAGTTGTGCATTTAAATTCATGTACAGTCACAAATATCTCCTCACTCACTGGGATTGACCATGGCATGTGCAATGGTCAGGGCAGCCCGGTCAATTTCATATTCTGAAATTGACCCATCATCAAAGGTCAAATTATCACCTGATGATTCCAAGCACTGTCGGAGCTGCACTGCTATTCTCATCCTTGATTCCCTTAGTAATTAATAGTCAGCTACAATAAAAAAAATAAACCATAGTTACCTAGCCTTATGCAGTAATTCAGTTTCAATGCTGCCCTCTTTAAGGACACCTAGTTCAGATGAATTGCCCATTATCTCAGCAACCCTTCTGCCCAGAGTTGCTGATAGCTCAGTGGTCCTGCTTTTGAGGTCCTCCATTGGGAACAAGAAAAAATGAACCAAAGTTCTCGCACTCTGCCCTTGTCCAATCAATCATGATGCAAAATGAACCAAAGTTCCCACGCTCCGCCCTTGTCCAATTAATCATGATGTAATTAGACAATCAGACTATATCTGAAGGCAAGTCTGTTGTGAGATAATAGCCTAATATGATCAAATTACATTAGACCCTTGATCTAAGTCCCATCTTGGTTAAGGAGTTTTCATCAAGTGCCAATGACAGGGGAAGGTAGTAAGTATGAGTGGCCCAGCACTTTGGGAATTCTTAATATCAAGTAAATTTGGACATGTAGCAGTGGTGCAGCAGCATAGACCAGCTCATTCTCCAAGTCCGCTTGCCAGGTAACCTTACCTATGATAAAGTTGGCTCAGCACTTTGGGAATTCTTAATATCAAGAAACATTCAAAAAGCAGCGACTCCCCTTACTGAACTTGGCCCCATCAAGTGAGAACTGAACTTCATTGGGTAAGTGTTCTGCCAGCAGCACTAGGTGGTTTTTTTTTGGCAACCTATATACCAGAGTCCAGTGCTCCCTGCCTCTCCATTTCCACCTAGTGCAGAGGAGGGATCAGCAGTGAGGTGGATCTCATTGTCGTGAAGTCATGGGCACCTGCAGTAAGAAAGGACTTCTGAGAGAGAGAGAGTTGGTGGGCTGGGCGAACCTGGTGGAAGGAATCTACAGAAAGTCTTGAATGTGAGCAACCAGGGTCAACCCATGTTCGTTTCAAAAAGGTACATGCTCCCTTCCTTAGCATGGAAGGGTACAAAGACATAGCCACACTACTAACTAACATTCAGGGCCTGGATCTGAAGAGCGCTGGTCCTCCCCATCAACTCTCTCTTGAAGAAGTCCTTTCTTACTGCAGGTGCCCATGACTTCACAACAATGAGATCCACCTCACTGCTGATCCCTCCTCTGCACTAGGTGGAAATGGAGAGGCAGGGAGCACTGGACTCAGAAATTTGATAAAGTGCAAAGAACATGTCCAAAGTAGCAGATGATTTTTCAAAGGCGACTCAAGGGAGATAGGAGCATACTCAAGTTTCTCAGGATCACACAGGATAGGAGCAGTCAAAGCCTAGAATTAGGATGCAGAAAATTGATAAAGCGCAAAGAACAGGTCCAAAGTAGCAGATGAGCGGTTCACTTGTACATTCATATTATAGCTATGCGGACATTATTGCCCTTTAAGTAAATTTCTCACAATCACATGACTTCAAAATTTGGCAAAAATCAAGGATCACATGACCAGAAAATGCCCATAAAGGGCAATACATTTGTGCTCAATTGCTATATCTAACTAAGTATGCAAAAAACAAAAACCAAAAAGCTAAGGTAAATGATGCAAGACAAGGATGGAGGGGCCCTCTCCATCCTAGCCTTGCACCCTACAGTACATAAATCTAGGTAAAAATAGAGAGTAATTGACAATCTAGTATAGCGCAAGTCAGTATGATATTGAATGTTAAATTGGCGCTTACCAGATTAAACTTGTGAAATAAAATTAAAATTGTGTGCAAGTCAGTATGATATTGAACATTGAATCTACACCCACCTGAAGAAACAAGGCCAGTGCAGTCAAACAGAGAAGGTTATAGAATGCTAGACAAAGAAACACCATTAGTACAGAGCATTTTGAAAACATAAAAACTGACCTGCTCAACTTAGGGAAGCACAAAAGTCACCCACAGGTCCCAAGTTTGAAGGCACCAGTCCCTGGGGACATGGATAGCCTAAAAGTCACCCCCAGTTCCCAAACTTGAAGGCACCAGTCCCTGGGGACATGGATAGCCTAGAAAATAAATCTAAAGAACAAGAGACAAGTCAAATATTGCAAGTGATAAAAAGAGACTGACCTTAAGGAGTGCTATCAAATGATAGTATGCCAACTAAAGACAATAAATCTAAAGAAATAGGGACAAGTCAATGTTGTAAGGATTGAAAAGAGACTGACCTTAAGGCACGCTATCAAGCACAACTGTGAATAACAAACAGCAAGTTAGTACTGTGAAGCAGGTGCAAAAAAAACTTACTTTGTAGTATTGTGCACTTGAAAATCACTGTAGCACTGCCTTTGACTACTTGCAGCTGCAGTCTGCAAGTAGCCAAAGAGTAGGCACACAGAATAAGTAGTGCAATAAGGGGCAAGAATGGTAGAGGAGTGAACATGGTGGAAGTTGAGAAATATGAACTGTGGAAAAAAATATGAGTGTTAAAGTATGTTTGTTAATTTGTTGATGTTTGCACTGGGTATTCCCGCAGTCAGTGGATTTGTACAAGTCCAAAATCGGCATTTGCTGGCAGATGCCACATGCACATTTGGTGAGTGGTTTTTTTCGCCAAGTCCATAAAAGTGTTTCTGTGCATGCACAGAAACGCTGGACTTAGTGAAAAAACCACTCACCAAATGTGCATGTGGCATCTGCCAGCAAATGCCGATTTTGGACTTGTACAAATCCACTGACTGCGGGAACAAACAAGTCCACAATTGGACTTTGCCAGTTTGTTAATTTGTTGATGTTTGTACTGGCTGTTCCTGTGCTCAATCCACTGGTTGTTGGACTTTGCCGGTGGGTGTCACGTGTATGTTTGATTGATTTTTGGTGAGTCAAAGTCTCTTCTCTCTCTCTTCAATTGTCAATGTGTCTCTTTTGCTAATGCATCTATTTGGTCATGTGAGTGTCTTTTGTTTGTTTTTGTATGATATACTGACTAGTTTTGGATATGTCTTTGTGTCTCCTTGTAGTTCTCTCTCTCTTGTCAATGCATCTATTTGGTCATGTGAGTGTCTATGTCTTTTCATCTGTCTATTTTGTTGACACATCTCCTTCTAGTTCTCTCCCTCTTGTCAATGCATCTCTTTCGCCAACACATCTATTTGGTCATGTGAGTGTCTATGTCTTTTCATCTGTCTCTTTTGTTGACGCGTCTTCTTCTAGTTCTCTTTTTGATAATGTGCCTTTTGTCAATGCCCCTCTTCTGCTTCTGCATCCTTTGGTCAGGTGATGTTAAGAACCATGTTGCTCAAGGGGGAGAGAGACTGACTCAGAGGGGCTTGGCCTCAGCTTGTACACTGTGCCCCTTACCCGAGTATGTGCCCTTCATTTCGTATGAGGTCTGATGATGGTCCAATGAAGTCCGGAGGACTTCCGGAGGCTGGCTACTCTGCTGGAGAGCACTAGAGGACTTCTGGAGGAGCGTGGGAAACGTCCAGAGGAGCACGGGAGAGTTCCGGAGGAACACAGGAAGTGCTCAGGAGAGTTCCCACTGCAAGGTAATACTTCTACAGGAAACAGGATGGAAGGATAGGAGGTCCGAAGGCCCAGAGGACAGGAGGACAGGAGGACAGGAGGACAGGAGGATAGGATGTCCAAGGGTTAGGAGGACAGAACACCCGAAGGTATGGAGGGCAGAACATCCAAAGGACAGGATGCCTGGAGGTACAAGAGACAGGAGGTCTGGAGGTCTGGAAGGAATAGGGGCTACATCGGATGAAGTCCGATGTAGAAACAAACAGAGGTAGACTACCCTAAGGTAGAGTTGGAGAGACAGGGATTGGACCTAAGTCCAGAAAGAGGGTAAGTGCCAGAAAGGCGGAGCTCTGGCATAGGGAATCAATCCCTAGGCCTGATGGGTAGGATAGACTTAGGTGGACCAAAGTCCAAGAGAGGATTGGGCAAGTCTAAGTCGATATTCAGACTAAGGAACTACAGGAGTATCTACAGGGGTTATATACTGAACAATATCTGAGGGGATCAGTAAGCAAAGGAGCAAGGCTATGTATGAGCATGTGGAAACACATTAGTAAGTAAGTCAGAACATAAGTAAATGAACTTGGAGATGAGGACTCGTACAAGGATCAATAAGCAAGATGGAAGAAGAGGTAACTGAAAGCCGGAAGGCAGAGAATGCCTAAATGGGGATAGGCGCAGGATATCGGACAGAGGGTGGGAATAGGTCCAGAGATCTGGGGATCTGGAAGACAAGATAGATACAGGACCAGAATATGAGAAGGTGGATATAGTCTGGAATCTGAGACAAGGTGAAGTCTGGATGTCTTGCTGGATGGAGTGCACATAGGGTGGACAGGATAGGGTGGTATGGATCAGGCTAGCAGTGAGGATCCGGAGGTCCGGAGCTCAGGGGTAAATCCAGAGCATAGTCAATCCTGCTGAGGTGTGGAGTACACAGCGGAAGGGGATCTGGGAATGAGCTGGATATGAAGTGGGGTCTGGATGTAGGCTCGGAAGGCATGGGAATATGATGGAATGTGGGTCTGGATTGTGGGATATGACAGGTGAGTTTTCTCTCTTTTGTTAATGCGTCTTTTTGGTAACATGTCTTTTTGTCAACGCATCTCTTCTGCATCTGCTTCTTTTTGTCAGGTGAGTTTTTTTGTTTTATTTTTGTCAACTATGCTAATACTAACTACAATCTCAGCTTTGAACGCTCATCCACCATGGCCTGCACCAAGAACACCACCAAAAAATCCAATGGTGGCTCAGCACCATGCGTCCTCCTCACTACTTCGAGAACTGGTAAAACCAGTACTTCTGGAGTAGATGTCCAGAGAAGGAAGGCTTTGACCACCTCCAAGGTCACAACTGTGGGAGGTGGGGACCTTGAAAAGAGAAATGCTCATCATAAGGTGCATCTATCTTTTCTGTCTTGTATTTGCTGATTCACTATATCTTTCTTATAAGGCTTTGACTGCCACCAAGGCTACCTTGCCTATTGGAGGTGGGGACTTGGACAAACTAGGTGGTCACAACGAGGTGTGTCTATTTTCTCAGTACTCTAGTTACTAATTTGCTTCATCTTGCTTTTAGTTCTGCATACTCTGCAGGGATGGTGCAGAGCACTATGAAGACAATACCCTCTTCATGTGCACTCTGTGCCCCAGAGTGGTGTGCAGACTCTGCCTGCAGCTGCTGCCCGATCTGGAGACCAAAGTCCTGCAAGAGGACATCTCGTTCAGGTGCATTTGTTGCCATATCAAAATGGAACAAGGCAGCGCCTACTTTGTGAGTTTTTTTATATCTTATTTATTTTATTTGTTCGTGCCTCATTGATAACAGGGTTTCTATAATGCCAATGGCCTTCTGGCCTTGGATAGGTTCTTGCCCATCAACGGTGCACTTGAGTTGTCCGAGCTAGCCAAAATATTGGCAGCACCGGTGATTTTTATACACCTTATTCTCGTCAACTTGTCAGTGGCTGGTAGCCCTTTGGAGTTCACTCATTCCTTTCTCAAGCCCTACCACACTGGTGACAGCATCAAATATCTTGATGTCTACTATGACATTGGGTCTGATGCCAAGGCCACCCCCTACTGCAGCAAAGTCTGCAAGATGATTAAAGGTTTGAAGAACTCGTTCATCTGGGAATGTGTAGTCATTGGCATTTCCACTCATACTGATGAGGATTTCGGCAACCCTTTTATTGGGTATGAGGATGGTGATACCAACAACTATCTCAGCACTTTGGTTGATGATGTGAGTTTTTTTCTTTCAAAGTTGGCCAATAGTGACGCTTGTTGCAGTTCTTGGAAATAATTCTCCAACCCTGGCAAACTATCATCAACCATGCCCAGGAATCTTACCTCTGGATGTTATGTTGCAGCTCCCTTGTCAACAACTCAGACTCATTCCATGGCTTGCAAGAGGCTGTTGTCTGGTAATTTTTTTTGCCTTTATTTGACATGCCTTATATTAATGTTCCCACAGACACAAGTTAACTGGTACCATTGCATTCAATGCTCCTCATTTTCAACCATCTTTCACTTCACACTTGCTCATTTCGTTCACAGAGAGGGTTCTCATTGGACAGTGCCTACTTCGTTTAGCATTCAAGGATATGCTCGCACAGTCCTGTGACCTTGGTTGACACTCTGACGTATTTCTGTGGACTGTCGAGGAGGGCGCCCTCACTTGCTCTAGGTTTGCATGGGCTAATTTGGAGGTCTGTCCTTGGGGCAACCGCCTGCCTATCCAATGCAGTGGGTGTGGTTGGGCTAATTCTTGGAGGTCTGCCTATGTCAAAGGCAGCAAGGACAAGACTTACATTTTTGAGTGCAAAAATGACTCTTGCAGTGTAAGCCATACATTCTCTCAGCCACCAGGGTCCACAGTACTGTATTCTGGTAGGAAGAATGGTAGTACTTGGTTGGCTATTCCATTAGAGACACAGTTTGCTTGATTTACATGTTTTTCAGTGCTATTTGTCTTACATTGCACTCCGCTTATGTTATCATTGTTCAGAGTTTGAGTAATCATTTGTTTGGTGTCTGAATCTTGAGATTTGGTATACAAGCTAATGTCATTAAATTTATAAGTCGGTCAGATGTATACTTAGGTGATTTTGTACTTGTGATTTGAATCATGTGACCTCAAGATAGTCATGTGATGAGCATGTGACCGTGTTTTGATCATGTGACATGGTTTGTTGATCTGTTGTCAAGTACTGGTTGCACTTTCTGCAAACTCATACTGGCCTGCATTCTCAAAGATTTTTGCATCTCATGGCTGACTGGACACATGTATTCAAGGCTGTTTTGGATGAGCACAAGATAGCCTATGTTTCCACCAAAGGAAACGCAACCAAGAGAGCTATGATCCTCAAAAGCATCAAGGATACTATATTTCAAACTGATCAGGTGAAGGATCCTTCTACCATGCTTCCAGATAATAATCTTCGTAAAGTGAGTTTCCAGTATGGTTGTGTTTACATTAATCTAATTTTATAGGCTATTTGTACATATTACTTGCGGTTCCTGGAGGATGATGAGGATCAGAATCTTGAGGAAAAAATCATACAGGGAGGTCATAAACTCATGTCTGGTCCAGGCATTGTGACTGTAGACATGGTCAAAGACCATAAGGATGATAAGCCTCTGAATGCTGCAGCTTTCAAGACCAAATTCTCACCTTTTGATGTTACTCAGAAATTGTTCAAAGAAGAAATTGGGGAGTATGACAAGAAGCATCATGACACCTCTGACCTAAGGTCCATGGGGACAAGGACAAAGCTGGTTTGGTCCTGGTACAATGCCCTGTCACCAGCTGTGCTTGAGGAGCTCAGACTTGTGGCAGAAAAGTGGAACCAGGAAGGTCCTCATTCTGATGCAAAGGACAGGTATTTTTTAATACTACATTGATATATTTAAGAAAAACTCATGTGTATCTACAGATACTGCAGCCGACACCAGAAGAAAATCATGGAGGACTTCATAAAGATGGCAGGAAGAACTATGGGCTTACATATTGTGATTCTTGCAGCTCATGATAGAGGGGAGGGAAAAATGCCTGAAATGACCATGTCAGTGTTATGTTTTACCATTGACATTACTATTGATAAATTATTGGTTTAGCTGGGAATCCTGTCCCAGGAAGGCAAAGAAAACTTTTACTCTGGCTTCCAAAGACAACAAGAAATGGGCAGGAGACTCACAAGATCAACTTGCTGACTGGCTGAATGAAGCCAAGTATGGTAAGTTTTGGATATTGCAATTTATTTAATTGCTAATGATCTAGTAGTAGCTATAGACCCTGAGGATGAATCTGATGAGGACAATGAGAAGGTGCCCAATTTAACAGTGCATGTAGACGATGAGGGCTATCCTTGCCTACTGACAGGCTTTGAATCTCTCATACTCAAGAACCAGCAGAAGGTCGTGTGAAAGGTATTTCAAAAGGCTTATGGTGATTCATTTCTATTTTCGAAGTACTGTATTTTTCTGACAGATTACATTCAACAGTGGTCATCTCAAACAACCCTCAGGCTACGGTCCACTGGGGTCATATTACCCAAGATCCAGACCATTACCTTGACATGGACTGTATCCCCCGGAATGTCGTCATCAAGGATCCTTCTCACCTGCAGAAGGAAGCCATCAGCATGATCTTTTCACTTTGGAAATATTGTGCTAACTGTAATGAACCAGTTGTATGGTTTGTTGGGTACAAGGAAGGTGACTTCTATGATTCACTGGCTAAGCAGGGGGATGTAAGTCAAAAATCAAGGAAGAGTCGAAAATATGTTCAAGTATCATCTGATAAGGATGAGGTACTGAAGAAGGCCCCCCAAGCCAATCTTTCTTCTGATGAAGAGGAAGACTTGGCAATACATGCTAGCCATGGTCCATCTCTTTCCAATTCCTGCCCAAAATTCCATATTGGTGGTGACATAGTCAGTTATCTTCAGTCCCTCTCTATCCTCCCATCATATCGTCATCTCTTGGCCACAGTTCAAAAACTTTCTGAGACAGTGTGTATAATTCACTACTCTGTGATACAACATTAAATTTGACTCTTTTTGAAAGCAAACTCCAGATCCTAAGGGCAAGGCTAGGAAGCAACATCTGCCTGTCTGGGCATCTTGGATGTGGTCTGAGGCATATCTACCTCAAAATATGCACAATAATTTTCAGTCATCCTTTCTGGCTTTGGAGGAGCTAGAGAACTATACCATTGAATCTCGTGGTTGGAGTATGATTGTTGTCCTGGGACTTGGACTCCTCCTTTGTGAGTGTAGCCATGCTCAGGAGTATGAAGCAGATGAGGCTGGAGATGATGTACCTGAATATTTGGGTAACTCCATCCTTGGTATCCAGGCAGTGGAGAAGATTGAGGAGGCAATTACTAGAATCCAGGTGAAGGTGGATGCAATGCTGCCAGGTGATAATGAGAAGCAGATGACAGTGAGGGAAGAAGTTTGTGTGGGGTGTCTGGAGAACAAAAGGCAAGTGAAAGAAAGGAGGGAGGCAGAGCAGGCCAGGGTGGAAGAAGAAAAGAAGGTGGATGAGAAGGCTTGGGTTGCTGAGAAGAAGAAGGTAGTGGAGGAAAAGAGAGTTGCTGAGGTGTCTCGGATGGCTGAGGAGAAGAGGGTTGCTGAGGAGGCTCAGATTGTTGAGGCATCTCGGATGGCTGAGGAGAGGGCTGCCACCTCAAAGAAGGCAAGCAATACTAACACTGGGGGAAAAGGGAAGGGTAAGCGACCAGCAACAGATGTGAATGATTCAGTCATGAAAAAGGTGAAGACATCTGCTCCTCCAGATCCTCCTTGTCGCTCTACCCGAGAGAGAGTGGCTTCAAAGAAGTATAAGGACTGAGACACTGTTATTAGCACAATACCATAGAATTCCCTTCTTGTAGTTTGGTGTCATATATATTTCAATTTTCACATCAATTTTGAGTAACATTGATGTTAGCATAGACAATACCCTGTATATTGTATGGTCAATATAATTGACAAAGGTCCTCTATTTGGGCCAGCCACCCTATGCTGTATGTAGAATATGGGCGGCTGGCCCACTGATATTATATTGGCCCAGTGGGCCAGCCACTCTGTACAGTTGGTTTATATACTGTAGGTATCATATAGGAATCAGTCAGCAAACACAAAGGCTATGTACAAAGCATATGCAAAGTCTATTAGTAAGTAGGACAGATCACAAATAATGAACACCAGAAATGAAATGTATGTAACAGATCAATAATCAGAAGGGAAACATGGTTAACCAGAGTCCAGAGACAGGGGAAGTCTAAATGGGGTTGGGTGCTGATATAGGGTTTGGATTCCAGAAGGAAGATAAAGATAGATCAGATCATTTGAGATCCAGATCTCAGATCTGGATATCCAGAGAAGCGGATTTAGAGTTGAGAGTCTGGAATGGCATATGACAGTATCTCCCCCTTTAGGCCGAACCCTTGAGGCACAGGGGGTCAGAAATGAGGGTCCGGGAGAAATGAGTGCAAGACAATGGAGAAGTCGATGGGGGATTCCAGGGGACAGATTTCACAGATATAGTATTTCCAAAGTGTCCTATTTGATTCTTACCCCCCATATTCTTCCATCAGCTTATTCACTATGTCTAGCAACTCTTCCAATCAATCTAACAAGCCCAAAACTGCCAGGGAGGAACTGGAACTGTGTCAGGCCTGGATGAGGGCGGAATTAGCTGAAGTGGAGGCCAACATCTGTCTGGCTGATGAAGCAGAAGAGTGCTGGAAGGTGGAAGAGCTCCAGAGGGTGGAGGAGCAGAAACATCAGGAGGATGAGGAGAAGAAGCAGAGGGAGTTGGCTGAGATCCAGAAGGAAAGGGCTGAGAAGGCCTGGAGGGCAGAAAAGGTGAGTTTCCTGTGGTCTGGACTGGTCCGGAATTGAAAATGTGCTTGTCCTCAGATGAAATATGATCTGGAGGCATGCAGGAACTGCGTGACTAAGAGGAGGGACTGCTGTTGGGTTGAGGCTGGTAGTAGGTCCACTGTAAGTGTCTATTTGCTGGACGTCCGGATCCGGTATTTTGACATCCAGACAGATAAAGGCTTGTGATGCCTGCCAGAAAACCAAGGAGAAGTGCTATGGACATCCAAAGGGCCCTGAGGAGAACTGGAAGTACTTTGACCAGGCCTCATCTGCATCTTCCAACAAGAAGAGGACTCGTCTGGAGGGGACTCCTTCTCCCAAAGGCAAGGGGAAGAGATGTCAGTACAGTCTGGATCCGGATTCCAGATTCCGGAGATGAGGTGACTATCATCTCTAATCCAGCTACTATTATAGGGGCAGAAGAAGCAAATGTGGAGTATGATGATCAGGCTTGGGTCACTGCAGCCAACAGTATTGTGGCTGAGTTGGTCCAGACTAATGGACTTCTGGAGAGGAGCATTCAGGCAGCAGAAG